CGGGTGTGGAATTATACCCAAAGGCTGCTCTTACCCCCTTATCAATTATTTGATTAATATTTGGTCGTCGCGCCTTATCAATTAATTGAGTCAAATGTTGTAAATCGTAGCGGGTGACCAAGGAGCAAACAAAATAATGCACACGAATGCACTTGGGTCCCAAAAGATATAACGTCGATAAATAAATTGATTTAGGAGGAATTTAAACTAAAATTGGAGGTGAGACAATTGGGAGGGCATTGACTTCCGATTGGCGATTAAACATGCTTGTTCAGGAAAAAATATTTCAAAAAGGTCGGGTTACAAACCGACATAAATCAATACTTTTAATGCATTACTAACTCTCCCATGAACTCAGTATTTCTTGAACACTTCAAGTAGTAGTTTCCATTTTAAAAACCTTATTTTTTCTGCTTAAAAAAAGTAATTTCTCTTGAATAAAAGTATTGAATATATATGCTTTAATTGATGAAATGAATTGAAATGTGAATAAATCAAATCAAAAATGGAATTCCAAGTTTCGACGTGTAGATTTATTACTGTATTCATGTTTTCATTTGAAATTGATTAGATTTTGAATCGGATTGATAAGAAGAATCAAAACAATCGCGGGGCAGTATCACAGATTGATATTGCTGTGCTTCCTTCTTCTCTCTTTTTTCTCCGTGTGTGGCCCAGTCTCATTGTTTGTGCAACTGCACTGAAAATGCAAATTACAAATTGCAATTATTGCATCGGCTGCAGTTTTGTATGTTTCGAATGCGATGACGATTGCGATTGCACAATGTGCGAATTGGAATGGAAATGAAAATGGGAGGGAGGTGGGCAGGGTGTTCCGGGTGATAATGGCGCAGTAGTCGTAGTAGTCTGTCCCAGACGTCACACCGGATTGGATCGGATCGGATTGGAACGGAACGGAACGGATCAGGTCAGGTCAGGTCGGGGCAGCGAACAGCAAGAAACAACCAAAATTCTTAGGTCTTACCTTAGCCCTCAAGAAGTATTTGGAAACCTTTCAGTAATCCCTACTATTTTTCCTGTCTTTGCAGCAATGGGTCTACTGAGCGAGGGCAGTCCACTTTCCTGGGAGGAAACCGAGGTTCTGGCGGACCATGTCCGAGAACACGGGGTCAACCAGTTCATCAACCTGTACCACAGACTCAAGGATCGGCAGGGGGACATTCTCAAATGGGGCGACGAGGTGGAGTATATTATTGTCAAGTTCGATGATGAGGACAAGGTCGCCCGAGTGGCCCTGCGTGCCGAGGATCTGCTAGCCAAGCTCAACGAGAAGGAGCTCGCCGATCCCAAGGGCGTCAAATCGCTGTGGCGTCCGGAATACGGTGCCTACATGATTGAGGGCACTCCAGGCAAACCCTTTGGCGGCCTGATGGCCCACTTCAACCTGGTGGAGGCCAATATGCGCTATCGTCGCGAGGAAGTCACCGAGCTGCTTGGGAAGGATGAGTGCGTCATGTCCATCACGAACTTCCCGCGCCTAGGTGCCCCCAATTTTACCTATCCGCTGGCCCAACCACGTCCCGAGGATCCACTTAGTTCCGCTCGCTCGCTCTACTTCCCCGATGAGGCCATCTTTCCGGGTCATCCGCGCTTCAAGACCCTCACCCGTAACATTCGCAAGCGACGCGGCGAGAAGGTGTCCATCAAGCTGAAGGGTAAGCATTGTGACTATATAGAACTAAGGGTTGTAAACGATGCAGCGGCCGGCTTAAAATACCCTAATAGTTTTTAAACCACTGCACCGCTTACCAACTCAGAGGCGCATTCAAACAGCTAACTAATCATATTTGTACCCTTGCAGTTTTCAAGGATGCAAAGACCAAGTTGCCGGTAGAGGGTGCCCCGCCTGGAGAACCGGATGTGGTGCTCCTGGACGCCATGGGCTTCGGCATGGGCTGCTGCTGCCTGCAGCTGACCTTCCAGGCCTGCAACATCACGGAGGCACGCCGCCTCTACGATCAGCTGGCCCCCCTCTGTCCCATCATGTTGGCCTTGACCGCTGCCTCGCCCATTTACAGAGGCTACCTCACGGAGTCGGACTGCCGGTGGAACGTGATCAGCTCCTCGGTGGATTGCCGCACGGAAGAGGAACGCGGCCTGGCGCCGCTGAATAAGCAAAAGTTCCGGATTGCCAAGTCGCGATACGATTCCATCGACTCCTACCTGTCGCCCGAGGGGGCCAAGTACAACGATGTGCCGCTCACCTATGACGAGTCGGTCTACCAGCGTCTGGTAGAGGGCGGCATTGACCATCTGCTGGCCCAGCATGTGGCCCATTTGTTCATCCGCGACACCGTTTCGCTGTTCAGCGAGAAGGTGCACCAGAACGACAACGAGGACACGGATCACTTCGAGAACATCCAGTCCACCAATTGGCAGACCATGCGCTTCAAGCCGCCGCCACCGAATAGCTCGATTGGCTGGCGTGTGGAGTTCCGACCCTGCGAGGCTCAGATCAGTGATTTCGAGAATGCGGCCATAGTTTGCTTCGTAGTGCTGCTCACCCGTGTGATCCTCTCCTACCAGCTGAACTTCCTTACGCCAATCAGCAAGGTGGACGAGAATATGCAGACGGCCCAGAAAAGGGATGCCTGTCGCAAGGAGAAGTTCTGGTTCCGCAAATCCTCGAAGACCACCGAGCAAAGGGCAGCCAAGGCTCAGGCTCAGGCTCAAGCTCAAGCTCAAGCTCAAGCTAAGACCAATGGCAAGGCCACTTTGAATGGAGGAAGTGTTGCAGAGAATGGCAATGGACTGGCCGATTGTAATGGCAGCGAGAACGGAGACCAGGAGGAGCAGCAACCTCTGACCAACGGTTCGGCCAAGATGAACGGACACGGCAACACCAATGGCACCTCCAACGGCACCACCAACGGCACCAATGGCTCCTCCAATGGCGCAGACAGCGATCACACCGACACCGATGACGAGGAGAACGAGCTGTTCCAGCTGCTGTCCATCAATGAGATCTTCAATGGAAAGGTAGGTCTCAATTACATATATATTTAAATAAGTTCAGCCAGCTCACAGAGCTTTGAAGGTCACCATTTATTAAAAGGGTGCATACTTTACCAAGCAACTAATTCCAACTTCTCTGCCCTCTACAGCCCAATGTGTTTCCCGGTCTGGTCCCATTGATCCGCAGCTATCTGCAGTCCATGGAGGTTGACACAGATACCCATTGCACTATTGAACAGTATCTGCGCTTCATCCAGAAGCGTGCCGCTGGCGAGCTGATCACCACGGCCACCTGGATGCGGGAGCAGGTGCTTAGCCACCCGGACTATAAGTAAGTTATATCCCCATAAAATGTCTGAAAATAAGCTAATCCAAAAAACCCTAATTATTTATCCAGGCAAGATTCCGTGGTGAGCGAGCGCATCAACTACGATCTGCTGAAGCGCATCCAGGGCATCCAGGAGGGCAAGCAAGTGGAGCCTGCGCTGCTCGGCCAGGGGTATCATTCCAAGACCAAGACGAAAGACTTCATTCCGCCGGCGCTGCAGAAGCAGCTGGCCAAGAACGGCTGCTGCGAGGAGAAATGATCAAGGAGCGCGCTGCGGACGCGTCCAACGCAGCTGGCCGTCGGTGGCCGGCGCATGTGATTCAGGTTTTGTGGATCCGATTGGGTGTAGTGCGGCATATGTTGAGGGCAAAAGCAAAGGCAATGGCGAAGGCAACGGCGAAGGCAAAACGAAATGGATACGGAATGGAGCAACATTTATCAATATTATTTTTATAGCATAATTTAAAACGGATTAACAATTAGCGTGCACCAAAATCCTAATTGTGGACAAATGTTTTGCGGCCGTGCCTGGCCTTTGGAAATGAAAGGCAGGCAGAAGGAGGAGGATGGAATAAGGAATGGTTAAGGGGCACAGGAGGATTCCTCGCGAGGATCCCCAGCCAGCCAGGATATCCCCTCTTTGGCCAGGTTCGTCATCATTTCGATGGGATCTCGAGATCCGATCCTCGAGCCCTCAATCACAACCGATTTGCAATAGTTAAATAGAGAACAAATAAGAACTACGAAGTCTACTATATACCACGTCAAGAACTACAACAACATAAATCTCAACCAAGTGCCGTTCCACAAGACCTACAAAAAATATGAAGAATACATATAGTTCAAAACGAGGCAAGGTTAAAAGCGTATTTTTGTTTGTTTTCGTTTACATCATATATATTTATTATTCCTATTCTTATAAAATGCAAGTACAATGGAAAGTTGTTTATTTTTTTTTAATAGATATATTTACACACACGCAAAACACACTTATGTATGTCTAAAAGTGGCCTGCTGTTATTAAACTAGATATGATAAGTATAACTAAAACAACACTTGTGCTATTATAATTTATTGTGTATGTGATTGTTTCACCATTATAAAACTATTATGATTTATTGTGACCACAAGCAAGCAAATAAACGGAAAAAATTGTTGAATCTTTAAACTATATAGAATCGGGTCGCCTAGGTCTTAGGGACTTTTGATAAGATGCCTTCTAAAACGAGAAACTGTACTTATTTTAACGATATATACCTAGTTAACGTTATTATAAAGGGGTTTCCCCTGCGAAAGGTAGACTTAAATAGTAAATTGCGAGTTTAAAGAGACGGTTATAACCAAATAAAAAATAGATTTATATGTGTGCCACAGGCAAAAAATTTACCCAAAAAAATTTGCTAGCATTTAATTACACCTTTTTATAACGAAACCAACGGACACCAATTATTTGCTTGCCCTCAAATAACAGTATTTTGATATAAACCACCCTATGTACTGTCCACCACAAACAAGTTAAATATTCTATGCAAATAAAGAAACGTTTTGCTAAAAACCGAAACAAAAAGCTTTTTTTTCGTTAATTTAAATTTATGCGCCAAGTGGGGCAGCCCCACGATGTCTAAAATCGATAACGATAACAAACCAGCCTGCCCCACCTCTATGGTATAAAAAAACAACGCAACAAAAAGGGGAAACAAAAACAAGTGATTGGATAATGTTTATTTGTTGATCGCGCCGCTTTAACTTGGTAAAAAGTGTACGGCCAGTTAATGTGGCTTTAATGTTTTTAATTGGGGTTGTCTTATTATTAAAACCGGGTTGAGAAATAATATAAACAAACTCGAGTCACCGTTAAACCTTGTGCGCGTGTGTGAGCATTTACTTGCGGCTTTTTTTCTGGGTGTGTAATAGTGTAAATTGGTTGTTGTTGCGACCGCATACATAGCTTTGCAACAACAATTTATCGCTCATCCTTTCCGCCCAATCCTTTTACAGTGCTATCTCAAAATAGTGAACACTCGCTCGTTAATGAAAACTTTAAATAAGTGGGATCCAGTTACAGTACGATCTTTGCAAACTGAACTAGCAATTAAGTTAAATTTTCGTAGAAAAAAATAAAAACAAATATCGTTGAAATTAAAGGCAATTAAAGGCATTGAAATTTGTGAAAGGCATTTTTTGAAAATTTGGAAAAAAAACCTAGATTGAAATCGGATACTAATTTGGAATCGGATGTCTGTAAGAAAGATACATATGTGCTCAGAAGAGGGGTTTTGACTCTGCATAGGAATTATTCGACTAAAAACCCGTATATCTGAAATTGCTAAAAAATACTATATAATTTGATTTCCTTTTTTCCGATAGTTCCTAAGGGAGCTACATGACATAAAAGGCCGATCTGACACGTTCCGACCTATTGCAAAGTTTCATCCAAATAGCTTTAAAACTGAGGGACTAGTTTGCTTAGAAACGGACAGACGGACGGAAGCTCTATATTATATATCCTTATTATTAATAATGTGGACAATATAAATATTTGTTGGACCTGCGCTTTTCAAACTTATATGTAAAGTTATAATAAAGATATTTTGTTTTATTCGTTACAGTACTTTTTGTTTTTATATTGTTCACTTAATCGAGTGAGGACTGTGTGTCTGCCCCTTTTTTCGCATCCATTCCCCTCACTGGCCGGCGACAGATAGACAGAGTAGAAAAGGAGACACAAACAAGTGCATCGCATTTGGCGAGAGCAGCAGCATCATCATCATCATCGCATCTTGCAACGAAATTAATCAAGTGAATTTGCATTTACTCGCACTTGCTTTCTCATTCGCGCGCTGCGTCCAAAGGGAACAACAACAAGTGATGGCGCAGCGGAACTAACTGTCGCCCAAAAAGGACATCGGCACAAAGGAGAAGAGCAGGAAAAGGAAACACGCCCATTGGCAGGACAAAAAAAGCTGGCGACTTATTATACATAGTACATACTCGTACATATGCAAACGTCCTTGGCTTGTGGACGTCAGCAGCGGAAGTGTAGGAGGCAGCAGGACGAAGGATAGGTGACGTTTGACAACAGGAACAACAAACAACAATAACAACAACAAACGAGAAACGCAATTACTGTAAAAGGTGCGCCCAAAAAGATGGGTAAGTGAGCGGGTATATTCTCTTCACCTCCTTTTTTTGTCCTGTCCCCATTGTCGCAATTTCCATACATTACTTCCGCTTTCGATGTGTCTGTGTGTCCAGAGATGCATTTAGCAGTCCAGCAGGTGCATTTCACAAGTTCCGAAATCCTTAGTCCTCGACAAACGGAACCTTTCAGTTCCGGAATCGCTGTGAATTGTGACAGAAAGTGTAGTTTTTAGGTAATAAAAATATTTCAAATAGTGCTAATCATTTGGTAATACTTAAAGTGTATTAGATCTACACCAATATCTAACAAATTTTCATGTTACAATTTTTTATCTACCCAAATATGTGTCTTCCGTATGATATTTTTTTAATTTGTTGCATGTATTCCATTTAATTTAACTCTACATTCTGAATAGCTTTCTCATAACTTTTTTAATAAATCCTTTTAGTTTTGAAACCACAAATGTATTTCGAAATCTAAAAAACCTAGCACCTTTATATTATAAAAAATATTATTTTGAATTATTTATTAAATAAATACTTTTTAATACTATATCTTTTCTTAAAGTTTTTTTTGGAAAAACCTTTGAACCGTTTCGCTCTCATTAGTTTAAACGTTAAACTTTAGAGCTATACACATGTAAAGCAAATGAAACTTAAAATCAGTCAATTTTGAGAATAAAATAGTATTTAATTATTGATTAATAATTTTGATTAACTGAAACAACAATTTTGTATTACTTGTAATACTGCTATTGGGAGCATTATTCACTAGCTAATTTATGAACCAGTTCGTTCAAGGATATCAATATCCTAAGAGAGAGGGAAATGCGCGCGCGTGGAGAGAGATTGAGCTTTAGTGGGCGGGGCAGTGGAGGGGGCGAGTGTTTTGAAACGGATTTGTTCGTGTTGAGATTTTAACTCACAGCAACAACAAAAAATACACCGAAAGAAGAGCTGATATCTTAAAGTATTTTTAGTATTCGTTTGGACCATATACAAATTTTAAATATTTATGATATTTTTTAACATTATATTTAATATATCGAAATAATATTTTTTATGCTGAAGCAGAAAATCCTGAATCTCGGTTCTTTGTTACTATAGGCCTTAAAAAATAATACGAATTGTCGCCAACAAATGAATAATGCATTTCTTTTGGACATTATTTTTATATGAAACCAATGAATGGTAAAATATTTTGTTGAGATTTCAAATTAGCTTTTCCATGTTTTTTTTTTTTGGTGCAGTGAAGAGAGCGGAAAGCGCAGAAGCCACGTGGCTCTCTCGGGCGTGTTTGTGTTTGTGGGGAAAACAATGTAAGCTGAAAAGGATCAAAAGCGCAAGGCGTTGTTGCAGGACCAAAGAGCAGCGCACAAAGCAAAACGGGAAAGGCAGGAAAGGAAGAGCGTGCGAGCGCAAGTGAAATATGAAAATTGCATTTTCCTTTTCCTGTGTGGGGGCGCTCTATTAAAAATTCCAGGAGCGGGAGTGTCCTGCTTTGCGACTGTGTGTAAGTCCTGCGGAATTCTGCAGTGCAGCGCGGAGTCCTTCTAAAAAAGAAAAAAATATAAGAGGAAAAGGGAATACCCGTCGGCAGTCCGCAGTTTGGCCCTCGGCAGTGAACTCAAATTTTTTTTTAGCGGAAAACTGCAGCTAAAACCGAGAGTCGTTGTGTGGTTTGTGTGAGTGCCGACGCCCTCAACCAAAAATTGTTCAATTTTTCAACTATAAATAAGTCCCTGCTTTTCGTTGAAAAATTCCAGCGACAGCAGAGGTAGCAGCAGCAGTAGGAGGAGGAGCAGGTGGCCCCAGTGGAGGAACTGGAGGAGGAGCCAGTGACATCGGTTTAGGCATCGGCATCGGCATCGAGATGCTCAAGGCGCTGTACGACTTCCAGGCGGTCTATCCCAAGACCATCAGCTTCGATGAGGGCGAGTACTTCATCCTGTACCAGACCTCCGCCCGCCAGCGAAATTGGTGGCAGGTGGTCAGCATGAAGGGCAACATTGGATTCGTGCCCTCCAATTACGTAATAAAGATTAAGGTGGGCACCACACGATAGGGAGAGCGCTCAGGGGACCTACTTACCTTCGAATTTCTACAGGTGGAGCACGACTTCCTCATCAGCTTTCTTAACTCCTCGATAGAATCGCTGGAGAAGTGCACGGATCACGAGATCAATGGCATCATGTCCAAGGACGAACTGCTTGACAGGCTTCGGGAGAAGAAGCACACCATGGAGCGACTCTATGCGGTAGGTGCATCCTAATCCCTTAGCCACTTAACCACTTTGCTAACTCTGAAACCCACCCTTTGCAGGAGAGCTCGGAGCGTGATGGCGACTCCTCGTTGTCCTACTCGCACAGCTACAGTGACAAGGGCAGCCACCGGCACTCGCATCCCCATCCCACCCAGTCCCAGACGCAGCTCCACTCCCAGCACAGACAGCACAGTCCGCCGCCCAGCGGCAGTGGTGGCTCCCAGCGCCTGGACATGAGCAAGAAGAGCATGTCCAGTCCGGCGGTGGGCTCCTCTTGCGCCCTGCCCCAAACTCAGGGCATGATCGAGTCGCCCAGCATGGGCAGCATGCAGTTCCAGGGCAGCAGCTGCACCATCCAGACGCCGCAGCAGCAACAGCCACTCCCGGCACCGCCAGCACCGGCTCCCTCGTCATCGCCCTCGCCAGCTCCAGCCACACCCACTGCATCGGCCGCATCATCGAGCAAATCAGCCGCTGGCGGGGATGTGGCGCAGGATAATAGCATCACTTCAGAGCCCTCGGAGACGACGACGACCACTACGACGACCAGCGAGGATGTGGTCACCACTTATAAAGAGACCAGCCAGATGAGCACCAGCCAGCAGCACAAGCCTCCGAACGGCAGCACTGCCTCTGCATCTATATCCGCATCCGCCTCGGCCTCGGCGTTGCGCAGCAGTGCCGGCAATGGCAATGGCAACGGCAACGGGAGCACGGCCGGCATGCACCAGGAGCTGCAGCAGGAGGAGGTGGACAGTGCGCCGGACAAGTCCGACGACGCCAGCGCCGTACCGAGCGACGATGGATGCCAGGCCAATGGGGACAGTGCGGACAATAGCCAGGCGCTCGACAGCATCGATAGTCCGTCGCATCGGCAGCGGGGCCTGAGTCTGGGCAGGATCGAGGAGGGAGCCACTGGAGGCGGTCAGCTGAAGGTAGAGTCCTCGGATGTCTATCAGATTGTGGACGCCCTCCGCCGAAACACAAACCTCAGTTTCGACCTGTCCTGCGAGGCGTTGCGCGTGGTGCTGACCAGCCTGGAGCAGCTCTACAACGGAGCCATCAATCCGTATCTGGAGGCGGTGGCTGTTCACGTCACTGGGAAGGTGGCCACGCCCAAGGAGCTGCTAGGCATCACGCACGACGCCAAGCGGCTGCAGTACCTCTTCGCCCAGCTGGCCGACTGCAAGAACGATACCGAGCAGCGCACCTGGATGCTCTACGAGGACGAGGAGGACATCATTCAGTTCCTCGAGGAGCTCATCGAGATTCTGGTGGGTTGAGTTTTAATTATTTATTTATTCCACCTGCCAGAGGGCACTAAATCAACCCTTTAATGTTGCTAAAAAGTGGGCAATGTGTTAATATAAATCCTTTAAATGCCACTTAATTCTAAATTTTTTATGGGTTTAGCACTAATAATTAATACCTATAATTGTAAATACATTGATTTTTATATTATCAAAAACAGGTACACTGTAATACATTTAAACTTAAAACTATGAGAAATTGTTAATTACACACTTTTCTTGTGCTTTACAGATCAATGCTGATGAGAGCATTTGCTGCTACGAGATGTCCTGCGATCAGTATCAGATGTTCATCAACCTGGTGCAATACTACCAGATGGAGACGCGCTGGTCCATCAAGCGACTGCTGCTCAAGACGTTCACGGCCGCCTGCCACCTGGACTATATCATTGTGGACATATTGCTGACCTCGGTGCTGCCACTGGAGATTGTAAGCAGGGGAACGGGGACCTTGAACATTCCCAACAATGACCTACAAATATTTCCACATCCAGGTCGAGGACATGAAAACGCACTTCTCCAATCTGGAGCGATTCAAACAGCTGGTCAAGATGCTAACCATCATCTTCTCACTTGGGCAGCCCATGCCGGTCAACCATCAAGGTGAATTTATAACAATTGTTTAGCAAATTATTGTTCTTTAATGCGTAGAGTTTCCGACAGACTATTTGGGAGTCCATTTTGCTAGTTTTCTGCTGGAAATCGTCGAGGGCAATAATCCGGAGCTATTGGTGGATATGGTTATTGCCTTAATATTGGCCTTCAATCAGCAATTCAGCGAACACACCTTTAATGTCATCATCGAGGGCATGCAGAACCTGCCCTCCGCCAAGGTATTCACGGAGAAGCTGCTGCTCTTGCTCAATCGAGAGGGTGAGTTGGCCAGCAACGAAATTGTAAAAATCAACCTATTACCCATTAATTAAAAAAAAATATTATTTTTGTTCATAAAAAATTTTGCCGCTAATTATAGCTTTATATATAATTAATACTTTATATTTAAATAACTTTTACCAGATGATCCCACACGCTTGCTAAAGCACCCCAACGAGCACATGAACACGGTGCTGCGAATGTTCATCGACATATTCAGCCATCCGGATACGGCGGGCATGTTCTATACGAACGACATCAAGGTGCTGATCGATATAGTGGTTCGACAGTTGTCCGATTTGGATGCCGGCAGTTCGGTAAGCTCGTAGACGCTTATGATTGTCCATATTTTTACTATCTACACATTCCTACATTCCAGACGCGACCCTGCTATTTGGAGCTGTGTCGACGCATCCTGCGCAACACGAACTACCAGGAGCACCAGCACCGCAAGCACGACCTCATGAAAATCTTCACGCGCATCTTTTGCGAGGAGACCGAGTGCAGTGCCTCCGATCAGCAGTTGGTGCGGGAAATAGCCAACGAGTTCCCGCAGCTGTTCAAGGCCTAAGGCCATAAACCAAAATAACCAAAAATCCAAACCAAATCACAGAGGGAAACCAAAATTGTAAAGCGTTGCTAGTGAGGCGAGCTGTTGAAAGCGAGCCAACCGTAAAATCTTAAATTATTTAAAATTTGATCAGTGAATTGTTATGCATTTGTTTAGCGTCTCGGTCTCGGATAGCCCTCAGAACTCAGAATGCATTTCGATCTATTCCGGATCGAAAGTGAACAGACACGCGACTCTACATATATCTTATGAACATAGTCTGTAAGCAGGACAAATGTACTAGTTGCATGTGGAGTAGATGCAACCTCATAGAGATACCCAGTAGCGATGATATCTGCTAATCCATAAACATTTAGACGAAGAATGAAAGAAAGCTATAGTCATAGCCTAATACTAAATTATCCCCAATTTAGGATGATTTCACTCATTTAGAATTTAGCCAGAGACAATTTTAGCCAGAAACAGAAACAGAGTCAGAGAACAGCCTCACTTTTAAATTTTTATAGTTATAGTGGCCAATTTATTTGGAATTCAAAATTTTGACAAAGCAAAACAAAAGAGGGGAAGAAGTATAAAATATTTATAGCCTAATTATACACCTATAATGAAAATATACATTCATGACAAATGCGAATGAAACGTTAATTGCAATCTATAAGTAAACAATTGATATATTAACGATGTATGACAAAGTATTTGCAGCTAGCAAAATCCAAATCGATTCGAATGTAACGAGCATATAATGTTAAATTTGTTTATATAATCTATGGGGAGGAGAACTAAGCCGAACAGGAAATCATTGACAATTGTTAAAGCTCAAATACATATTAATTGGAAGCTAAGGAGGCTGGAAGTTTAGAAAGAAAACTCTGCAGAAAGCATTGAAAGTAACAACACCCATTTACATTTCTCCCTCACTAAAAGACACACACAGTGGCGTATGCATTAAGGGGCTTAAAAATACGTTTTATTTAATTGTTAAATTTGTGATTAAATATTTTTTTTTTAATATGGGGGCCTATGCTCTGTGTACGCCACTCTTTCTCTATATCTCTCTCACTATTTCTCAAGCTAAATAACAAAACGAAGATTCCAGCAGGTACTTTGGAAAAAACCCATACTTTAAATTGTATTTATTTTTGGAAGGTAAATTAAATTAATTATTTTCGAAGGTTTTTCATTTTACCTTATTTTTAAAGAGTTACTTTGTAGTTATAGGGTATTGGGTAGTTATTTTATAAGGTTGTTTTTTTTGCATAAATATTATATTTTTTTCTCAGAAAAGGGAAAGTGTTTTACTCTCCCTGCCAACTTCTTATTTGCTTCCAAGATCTGCTGGAACTTGTTATATCTATCTCTATATAAACACATAAACCCATCTACAAACACACATAGTTTTAGACAAATTTCATTGGCATTTATTTGTTATTGTTACGTCACAGTTACCAAACTCAAAAACTTAATGAAAAACTACAACGAAATTTATATGAAAAGTAAAAAACAAAAAGAAATAACGTTTTAACTCAGATTAGTAGATGACCTTAGGGTGGAAAACACATTGGATTATTATTTTCGATTTGATTTTGTTACCATAAAAATATATTAGTAAATCCTGCTATCATTCCAATTTAATAAAAGCCAATTTTATCAAAGAAGCAATAAACTATATAAGTTATTACTCACGCCAGTTAACAAAAAATGGCTTTGGAGACACTGCCTGTAGTATAGGAAGGGATTTCAATATTGCATTAACCTGGATACTAGTTAATGTAATTAAAAAATTTGTGGATTTCGTAATAATTTCTAATGTGATTTCCGCCTTTAATTATTGCCAATCATTTTGATTTTTAAGTTTGAAAGGTCCTTCTTGTTACATTTTTTAAGCAATCAATTTAAATCAAAACGCGTGAGCATGATATTAAAACATTCATATATTCAAAATTTCCCGTTGGATCTTAAGTTAAAACTGAGTATTTGATAAGCTGCTGATGCATGAACGAATTTAATTTGCCAAGTTTCATAATGAATAGGGATATTTACAACCAGTTATAAACGAAACTAAATCAGAAACTAAAACCAATATTAACCACAAATTGTACCTTTCGATTTTGAATTTAATTAACACTTCGATAACTGCAAAATTAATGAGGCAATAAAGTGCACGAAGCTGCAATGAGAACAATTAATGTTTAAAAGTACTACGTTAACAAAATCATACACGTTTTACGTCAAGCAAATAGAGCTAATTTAAAAGATTGTTAACCTCTCATTTTTTAACACGAAACAGAGATCCTAAAAACAGAAACCAAACAAATTACAAGTTTTAATAAACGCATTCAAAATGTAACGAAACGAAATTGCAATTGTAAGAAACTAAAATAATAAATAAAAAAAATTCAAGCATAATTTAATTGTCTATGTTTATAAATCCTTGAATATAAATCCTTGCCAATGCTGCCAATTCCGAATATTATTGAGGTTCAAGTCGAAGTATTATATAAAGGGCACCAGCATTGAATCGAAACTGAGTATTTACTTGTTTTCAACAATACATTTTTGTATATATCTTACAAAATCAACCTTTTTTAGAATCAAGCATGTTTTAATACAGATCGAACGGTTATTTATACTGTGATTGTAAAACAAACAGAAAATTTGTAATTTTTATATGGGTAGCATAGTTTTCCTTCATGGTTCAAAACATCACTAAGTCCCTATCAAGGTTGTCAACCAGTTGGGTTAAGCTAGGTATTTTTAAAAGAACGATATTTTTTAACGGTTGAAGGGGCACGGTCCCACTATTCGCGGGGGAGGAATGGAAGAAGTAATTTTAGTGTATTTTTGGTTTAATTGATAATGGTATTTCAACCGTCAGGCCTTGGTCACATTACCAACCGATTTTCCTGCAAACAGTTTTTTCCGGAAAACAAAACAAAAATAATTAATAAATGCTTAGATCGCGGTGATTTAACAGCAATGTGGAGAAGTATCGAAGAGTAAAAATCGAAGGCGGCCGCCAGCCAACAACAAAAACACCACCTACGAGCAACAATAACAACATCGGCAACAGCCGCAGCAACAACAATACAAATAAAACGGGAGTCTACTGCAAATATACACACACCAAGAGAAATTAAAATAAAAAAGCGAAAAGGTAAAGAATATACAGTGGGTGTGCGTATGTATGTATAATTGTTTGATGAAAAATAGAATTACTGCATTTTATATATGTATCACGGATAATTGCAAGTGTGTGTATGTGAGAATGCAGCAACAACAACAACAATGACAGCTTGACCCCCGCACAGCTGTGAATGTTTTCTATCTCCATTCCGCTCCCGCAGCCCCAAAGTCTTTCTCCTTTGTCTTTATCTCTGCTTCTAATTTCGCATGCTTGCTTTAAATCAAAAGCAATCTTGCAATTGTTATTTACCTCTATTTTCAATAATTCACCGTAAGTTAGGTTGAAAGCCCTAAGCTAAGTATGTATGCACATATGTATGTATGTGTGGGGAGCTCTTTAACTCCCGTTAAGTGCAATTTTTTCTTTGTTGTGCTATTGCCATCCCTTTTGCACACCACCCTATACCCCACCTACCCGAAAACTACGCACTTTGCTTTTGGCCTGCTTATTGCGTTGTGTTTTCGCTTCACCCTCTTCCTCTCCGTTTTGCGTTTTAAAAGTCTTATCAGCACGTTTAATTAAATGTGTGCTCCAAAGTAATAAATAAATTACATTTAAAACAGAAACAATTTACTACCTTTTGTTGCCCCTCTCCCACAGTCCCACTCACACATGCAGTCAATGACCCAACTCGCCTGTGTATGTGTGGGGGAGGCTGCTAAAACACAAATGCAAAATTTTCAAAGATGTCTTCCTAATTTGTGACTTCATTTTTGAAACCCTTCGTTAAACCGTTGCATTTGACCTCGTTAATTCTCCTCCTTCAATTGGTTTTGGCATACATTGTATGTACATACATATGCATGTGTACGTTTTGTTGCTAGGCTCCACAACATACTCACGAGTGTGCAATTTTGAAGGGCATCGCCACTTCGGCTTTTTTAGCCTCTCTTTGCCCTCCTTCCCCTTCATCATATTTCCCATTTCCTTCTCTAGCTCTATGTTGTTTTTGTGGCTTTGCTTTGCTTTTGCTGCATTTTACAGCTGTCGCTGTCCTTGATTATAGCTTTTCTTTTCTTTGCTTTGCTTTGCTTTGCTTTGGGGCTCTCTTTTCGTCTAATTTGTTGTTGCGCATCGCTTTGTTATTATGATTTTTCTTTGAAGGGGACAAACTACACAGAAGGTAAAACTTATATGACCAAATAAAATATTTTTGATTTGTAAAAAAAAGAACTTAGTTTTTAAATTAAAAATATTTTTTTTACTTTTGACGGTATGCTTTTAGATACACACCTTTATAGTCAATTTCTAATACCTAGTCTATACCTAAAAATTAAAAATAATGAAGTTCCTTGCCTAAGTTTCTCCTAAAACTATACGAAATCTATTTTAATTAAATACACCCAGAATTGTATGGACTTTTAATCAGAATTCGGTTGAAATAGATTTTTGGAGCATTGTATTTTGAAACCGGAAATCTGATTAATAAATGCAAAAATACGATTTTATATTATTGACGGTATTCTTTTAATATATTTTAATAATCAACTTTAAAGAGAAAATTAAGAAATTATAAAAAGCTTATTTTCATTCATTTATTATTGTTTAATTGTTTTTTATTGATTAATGAACTACTGTTTCTTTTTTTCCTGTGTACTGCTCTTTCCACCTCCACCCTCTTCCAATTCACCCCCACTCTCTCTTTTGCGCTTGCTCTCCTGATTGTCGCTCTCTGCTTCTCTGCTTTATGCTCGTGATGCTCATGAGCTCCAACGTGCGCTGCTTTCTGCTTTCTGCTTTGGGGGCTCGAAACTCTGTTGCCAGTTAATTTTCAGTAACTAGTTGAAGTAGACAACAAAACGAGCGAAAACGAAAACACACACATATGCAGATATTTGTGCATAAGGGAGAAGGAGCGCCAACAACAATATCATATAAAACCACAACATTAGTTGCAAGTAAATAACGAAGTCAACAAAAAACATATTTGTAGTAAACAAGTTAAAGATTTAATTATTGATAAGCGTGTGTGTGTATGATATATATGTGTTTATTTTAAAGTTTTCAAGAAATTCTTCAGGTTTGAATGGCGATTCAAAATCTAAGGCGTTCATATGTCAATATAGTGAGGGACCCCTTAAAGCAATAACAACAAAAGATTTAATAATTGATAGGCGTGTGTGTGTATGATATATACATGTGTTTATTTTAATGTTTTCAAAAAATTCTTGAGGTTCCAATGCCGATTCAAAATCTAAGTTCAAACATATGTCAATATAGAGAGGGACCCCTTAAAAAAATAACAACAAAAGCTTTAAATTGCAGCTGACTCTTTTTTTTTTTTTTTTTGATAGTTGTTGATTGTTGTTTGGTGATCTTCCATGTGGACGCATTACACACACATTTGCACTTACAAGTCTTACACAAAAGCAATGCAAATAACAACAACAAAAATGCACACTATGCACTATTACTTCGCTTATTGCGTACAGTGAAGCCACAACAACAACAACAATTCTCCTACACACAGAAATCGAAAGAGAATTTCACAATTTGTTAAACTAACGAAGCCAAACCGTGGCAGAAAGACAGAAACGGAAAGACTTTTGATGTGGGGTTGCCAAAAAGAGAAAGGGAGAGGGGGGAGTCAGCCAACACACACACACCAACACAAGTACAAGAGAGTGGAGAGCCAGTAACAGCAGAATTAGCTCATCCCAAAGAGTGGAAGAGTGATGGAGAGAGGAGCCCCAAAGAACGGGGACAGAAGTCAGTTGGCACAGTGGGGTACATCACAAAATCTATAAAAAGTTATTACATTTCAAGTTATATATATATATAATTGGTAAATGCAATATTAAATGAATATATTCGTTAAATGTCTTTACCCTTAGAATGAAAAACCATTTTACCTTCTGAAGTTTTATTTCGAACCATAAATACATGTACAAATTCAAAATCGTAGGATCAAAACATTCAAATTTTGTATGCGACATCATTTTATTGAATCTTTTGTAACAGTTATGGGAAACCCTGCAGCAAGCAATTTATATTTCTTCGATAAGGGAATATTAATATTAATATTAATGTTTGAAAGTGTAAATTTAATTTAGTTATAAAAGCTTATTTTGCCTGACTAGTTGTGTTTCCACTGTACATTTGTTGATTTAAAGATTATGGTGGGGCTTTGCTCTCTTTCTCTCTCTCTCTCTCTCTATCTCTCTCTCGCTCTTTCTGTGACTTTCGAGCAACAACATTAAACAGCTGAGCTTGTTTGAAAACAACAGCCACCCAACCAGCCAACTGCCCTCCAACACCCCTCTCACTGAAGAGAAATGGAATTGAAATTGAAACGAAATCGCAAAAGAGAGAGATAGAGCTTGACGGTATCCCGAAAGTATGCAGTATAAATCTGCTGAGCAAATCCGTTTCGAAGGACAACGAATTTTGCAAATGGCAATGACGTATTAGAGAGCGAGCGAGAGAGAGATATACAGCAGGAGTGGGTGGACTTGGGCGACGACGTCACAGATTGCTGACATAGTTTCCTCATTTAGGCCAAGTAAGCATGTGCATGCTATGTATGTATGTGTTTGTGCAAAAGCAAGAGATTCGCTGGTGACCTACATAACCATGAATATAAATATATATACTGCATATAGATAACTCAGAAGGTAGCTCGACCTCCTCCAGATCATATCGCCTGCTTGGGCCCCACAGTCCCACTTGGATGAGTCGAACTTTTGGCGGTCAAATTTACCTGTGATTAAAAATTAAAAAGATAAATTAGTTCAATTTTATCAAGTGTAAGACAGACTAAATTTATTTGTAAATGTACTAAATATCCCGTTTAAAATCCCAATTTGAAGGAAACAAGTCAACACTACAGATTATTTTTCCACTTATGCTTTTCAATTTAAAACCATATGTTATATGTTGTTTAAAATTGTAGTAATTTTTCCATTATTTGTAATTATTTTAAACCTTACTTTTAGTTACAAAGCAGAGATCGGCTTTGAAGTTAGTTATAGTTTTAAAGTTCCACCACAATATAAGTAATTATTGCCAATAAGTAGCAATTTTTCTTAAAAATAATAAATTAATAAGATTATGAAGTGTATATCGGGTAGATAGCACGTCTTTTGGATGTCAACCAGTACTAAGTGTCCTCACCTAAATGCAATTTGTGCTCATCCTTGTGTCCATTTGTTCTACTTTCAGGCAGCTCCCGTTTTGCTGTGGACGGTGCTAGAGAGAGTTGACGAATGCGGAGCAGTTCGAGGCAGGAGTAGGAGCATCAGAAGTGCCACCGGAAGCGGAAAGCGGAAGCAACACAATAGCAATATATACGGAACAACAAGCCAACAAACAAAATCACCGCCTTAGCCTTAGTAAAAGACAACGAGGAGAAGACCTCTCCAAAGCGATTCAAATCAAACCAAACCATCAAAATCAAAAGCCAGACAACCCTAATCCCAAAACAAACAAAATGTCCTCGCCCAGTGCCGGAAAACGACGCATGGACAACGATGTGATCAAGCTGATCGAATCGAAGCACGAGGTGACGATCCTAGGAGGCCTCAATGAGTTCCACGTCAAGTTCTTCGGCCCAACGGAGACACCCTACGAGGGCGGCGTGTGGAAGGTGCGCGTCTACCTGCCCGACAACTATCCCTTCAAATCACCGAGCATCGGTTTTGTGAACAAAATCTACCATCCGAATATAGACGAGTCCTCCGGAACAGTGTGTCTGGATGTGATCAATCAGGCCTGGACGGCGCTGTACGATCTATCCAACATTTTCGAATCGTTCTTGCCGCAGCTGCTCACATATCCCAATCCGGTCGATCCACTCAATCGGGATGCGGCCGCCTTGTACCTGCACGAGCCGGAGGAGTACCATCGCAAGGTGGCCGACTATGTGCAGCGGTATGCCACCGAGGATGCGCTGCGGGCGGCGCAGCAGGAGCGGGAGAGCAGCGACAGTGAGTCGAGCATGTCCGACTACAGTGAGGATGAGGCCAGGGACATGGAGTTATAATATCGGTTGGACCGCCAGCCTACGGAACTACCGCTAACACTTACACTGACAACAGCCTAATACAAATGCTTCGAGACCCCATTTTCCCATATCCCGACACTTTTCCTAAGACAAAAACAAGCAAACACACACACAATTTCCTCATACCCCTCAGTTGGCGACGGAACAACAAGCAACAATATATATATATATATATATATATAATTGATAAATGATAATTGGATTTTAAGATAGAAAGTGATTCGATGATGGCGTGTGATGATCTGCGCACACACGCACATACATATAAATATATACATACAATATATATATACACTAATGTAAGCAGCAAGAAAAACAAGATTTGAAAACTCTTAGTTTAGCCATCAGTAGCTGATAACAAAAAAGGATTGGAGAAAAGATCGTAACAGATATATAGACCACAACAAAAACGGAACGGAGGAGAACAAAATGGAAACAGAAACAAAATGGAAAACATAAATCGATAAAATACAGATTAAACAGATAACAGAGATAAAAGCATAGATGCAAACGCAATTTAAATGGTTAAAGTAAGTGCACATGCAATACGAAATATGACATGAAATTGCTTTTGGCCTTGATCTGGAATTAAACAGACGTCAATGCCCGTTCTTTAGAGTTTAGCAACGGAGTAACAAGTTGATAGAAAACGTATCGTAAACACAAGTACCACCATCAAACAAAAGTTTTTGGAAAACCCTCACCACATAAATACCACACGATGATAGCCCAATTCAAAGGAAGCCTCAGTTACTGCTTAGATCGATTTGCGAAATTAGTGTTTTGTTCTCCCCCAGCTTTATATGTTTTTTGTTTTCTTTATTTGTGAACGTGTTTTTATAGGATTTATCATTGTCTGCATATATATACATTATATATTTACAAATTTTAAACTGCAGAATATCATTTGACTAAGCAGCATTGTCCCTGCCCAAAAAAAAGTGAATAACGATCGAAACTAAATAGAACTAAAGTAGAAAACCAAGACAAATCCTAGTGGAAGCGTTTGGAGATGATTGCGTGGAACAGACAAAATAAACGTTGCAGTTCTTTTTCTTGTTAATTAATATTATTGTACGGTTATTATGTAATGTTTTAAAATAGGATTCGAATTGATCGTGTAATTAAATGCAATAATTCTTATGTCTAACTTATGCCACCCGTGTTTAAACCAAAACCAACTGTTTTTTTTTATTACAATACATTTTGCTTTTACACCACATTTTCTTGATTATTTGTTCTATTTCTTTGTCTCTCTCTCTCTTTCGCTCTTAAAATTGTTAATCAAATTTTAGGAATGGAGGTCACTTGATGGGATGGATTTGGAGGGTACATTTTAGAGGGATCTTAAGTGAAATCAAATGAAAGTGCAGATATTTAGACATTACCGATCTACTGTACTATGTACTAACACTATAACAATACTTACGCCTAAGTCTAACATCAGAATTAAGGAATATTCTGATAGTTGTATATAAGTTACACCACACACACACACACACACCTATATATGCCTATATCTATCAGGACACACAATGATTAATATATGCCTATATCTATCATGACACACAATGATTAAAACGTAATTCAAGCAATCGAAGTCGGACGGATTTAAATACCATGGACGAAGGCGGAAAAAATGAGTAAAAAATAGTAAACGCAAAAAAAGAAAAAAAAAAACAAAAAAAAACATGTTGTTACAAACAAGTGAAATCTAACAAATAAAAAAATGGAAACGAAAGAAAAGAAAGCTACGCCCGTTTCTTGGCCTTGTTTTGTCAATAGTTTGGTTATTTTTTGCCTGGTACCACCCTAATAAATCCATGGGGTTACTTGGCTCCTTACCTAGACCAACTGACAATTGCCTGGGGATTGTCAACGCCTTGGAAACTGGTGGAAAGTGGCACGTTTGTTGATTTCCTCATCGCTCTTTTTTTCTTTGTTTTGGCCCAAGGGCCGAGGGACACGGTTTAACGCTCCTGCGTGGAGTTAATCGGGCAATCAAAACAACAACAAGAGCAGCAACAACAACAACAATTGCACCCAGGAGCCAGAAACCAGGAAAACATGGGTATCTACTTTAAAGATCTATAAAAAAAAAAACAACAACACTCCGTGTGTCCGCCTGTGTGTGTGTGTGTGTATCTGTATCTTGTGTGGAGTCGTAATTACTCCTGGCGTTTCGAACATTTCCATAGCATACTTTGCAGCACCCCCATGAAAGTGCACCAAGTTGCAAAATAGTTGAGCTCCAGTTGTGTTCGGTTGGCATTGCAGGCTAAGTTCCATTTTGGGGCCAAAGGAGGAGTTTCTCCAAAAAGTCGAATGCACTCGGGCAGAGGCCATTAAATAGTTCTTTATCCAGAGTCACGTCGGACTGTTACGTAATGCCAGTTACATTGCGTTTGCTTGGCAAGCCATTCATTTTCAATTGCCTTGTGGGTGGCATTGCATCGATTTAAAGGTATCCTGTAATGCTTATAAAACCATGGAGAACTATTATTAAAAATCATAAGAAAAATGTCGTTATTTTATCTATTAAAATTGGATTTTAAAGTGGCATATATACCTCTTATGGTCCTCTTATCGGTTTATTTGCATAGAGATTTTGTTTTTTTTTATCTCATATTATTTAAACTTTGAAAAAATTGTTGATAAATTGTATGTCCTGTTATTATTGATCGAAACTCTTTGCTACAGAAAATATAACATTTCATGGTCTGGAACTATTAAGCTAGCTTAATACGCAGATGGTTTTTAGTGACATCGATCCAATATCCTATTATTATTTGAAATCGAATATTACTAAATTTGTGCAGTCTTAATGCTATTAATATTAATATTGCAGCTATTATTACTTAGCCTGATATAGTCCGTGTCCAAGCTGGAGTAGATCCCTATGTTTGGCTTCCCAATTGCGACTGAACCACTTGGATAGCAGTTCGAGGGATTGGCCAAAAAACATGCACGACCATGTCCTCTGTCATACATATGTAATTGGGGGTATGGGTATACGGGAACAGGAAGTTGCATTTTTAGGTCTGAAGCGCAGGGTGCAACCCGTTGATGTTGATGGACTGCCAGGTCCAAACATGTTTGATTTATTCGCTCTATCGGCGTGGTCGAGCGTGGGTGGCGACCCCATCCTCGTTCGTGTGGCAACCGGGCAACCGATATCAACAAATTACACGGAACCGTATGCCGTACATAGGGACGAGTCTAGACTGCACAGACGGTTCTCGAGGGCCAAAAACCTAAAGCCCACAGCCAAAGCCCAACACGCATCCCCCTTCCCGAGTGGAGCAAATGGAAATGCTAATAAAATTATAGTGCCTAGGGCGGAGACGGTCATAAACAGACAGATGGATAGACAGGCCCCTATGCTCCTCTACTTATATGGGTAATCACAAGATAATAACATTTTTCTCAACGGCAGCACGACACAACAAAATAAAACAATACGGAGGAGGAGTGCAGTATAGGCGCAGATTGAAATCAAAGTGAACACAAAAGTAAATGAATGCACTCGAAGAAACCGGCAAGTTAAATAGCACTTTCGGCATCACAAAAAAAGGTACCCTAAGGGCCAACTATAATTGCTCTTGGGACGAAAATAATAGTTCGATCGTTAGGAATTTTGGTATGCGAATTTAAAAATCAAGGATGTTGACTATAGATCATAAAACTTCTTCTTTTATACTTTGCTTTAGGCAGAGCAATCCAATCCCCTCACATGTTAGTCCTTTTCTATTGGTTTCTCCCAGTGCATTTGAATCGAAATAGCCGACTGAAACAATTTATGGGCAGAATGTGAACGCTATTACCCATTTCAATGGGCCATGAATGGGGATTTGGATGGGGCGCATTTGCATTTCAGGCCTTTTGTTTGCTCTGTTCCACATACATACTTGAAGGGCTTTTCTGGCTAAGCTGGGGGAGGAGTGGGGCCGGGGGGTCAGGGGTGAGCGTGTCGACTTTGACACATAAAGTAGCAAGCCAGCACAAAGACAGACACACGCACCCATGTAACTTAACTGGCAATTTTTGGTTTTCAGGCAAGGCGGGCGCCGGCAAGGGTCGTTCGCCAACACCGACACCCAATCGCGATGGTGGGGTAACGGCAACGGGTGGAGTTGGGGGTGGTGCTGGTGCTGGTGCAGCGGCACCCACAGCAACTGGAGGCAACACTGGCGTCGGCAGATCCACACTACATGCCAACAAAACGATACTGAAAACGGTATCCGTGTTCCTTGCCAGCGGCAAGCGCAACTCGAGCAACCAACAGTCGAAGGCCGCCGCGGCTGCTTTGCAGAACAAACGGCAACAGCGGCAACGGAGGATGGATGAGCTGAGCGGCAAAGTGAATCCCAAGCTGCTGGACAGCCTGCGCAAGAAGACGCGCTTCACCAAGTGAGTACAAAGTGAGTGAGGCATCGAACTTTACTTATCACATGGCGCCCGAGCAGGGACGAACTGGATGCCTTGTGCCGGATCTATCGCAAACTGGTCTCCAATTGTCAGTATGCGGCCAAAACCCTGGCCTCCAGCTCCTCGAGTGCAGCAATTGCCAAGCCACATGCCGCTGTGGAGGTAAATAGTTTGGCTCCTGTTTAAGTTCCAGAGTGTTAACCCATTCCCTCCCTTCACACCATAGGGCATCGACCGCATTGTTTTCCGGGAGCTGTTGCACAGCACCTTCGACATCGTCACCGAGGAAATCCTAATGGAGCGCATCTTCTGCAGCTGGGACAAGGCCCATGAGGGATTGCCCCTTCGTCTCGAGGGCTGGCTAATTGGTCTATCCACTTTTCTACGCGGCACGCCGGCGGAACGGGCCGCCTTTTGTTTTCGGGTTTACGACCTGAACACTGATGGCTTCATAACCAAGGACGAAATGTTCACGCTGCTGAGGAACTGCCTGATAAAACAGCCACAGGACGAAGATCCCGACGAGGGCGTCAAAGATCTTGTGGAGATTGTGCTCAAGAAGTTCGACCTGGACAAAGATGGCAAGGTGGGTAACGAGAAGCTAAGCTGCAAGCCCCACTGAGATATTTGTGGGAATAGTAGTGAGATGATTGCATTGATTGCAGGTATCCCTGGAGGACTTCATGGGCACCGTCACAGCCGAACCGTTGTTAATCGAGGCCTTTGGTCAGTGTCTTCCCACGGACAGCGCCGTAGTTTCCTTCTTCTCTACACTGCAAGTGTGATCTGCATCTGCTTCCTGATATCTTCGAAATTGTTAAAGCTATTAATTAAAGCCTATTAAATATAATAAAGTAACACGTTTATTTAATGTAAGGGAGCATAATGAAAACATTATGAAATGATGTTTGGAAAACTTTTACTGATCAATGTGGGCTTAAAATATGGTAAATAGATATGCTAACAAGTGGAATTATATTAAATTTTAAGTAAACGTTGAATTAGCTGAAAATCGAAGACTATAACTAATAGAATAGTAACATAAAGCCAAAGATTATAATACTGCAACAATACATAATAAGTGTTAATTATAGTAACAGAATATACAACTAAGGAGCGTAACGTAGACAGACGTGAAGCGAGTTCGAGTTCTGAACACTGTTACGACTAATAGCAGTCGATAGTTAACTGAGGTGACCCCGACCCACGACAGGGTTGCGTGGATCATTCCGGGGATGGAAGCAGTGCTACTTGGGAGCTTTAGATGAACCGCCAAGGCGTCATATTTATGCAAGCGTCAAGTGAAACAATAAGCCAGTCAACCGGTCCGGTAATGCGAGCAATTTTATTCGATTAGCCAGCCGCATCCACAACTACATATGTTACTTGTGTATAAAAGTATAGCCGCATAGATACACACGCCGACTAGCGAATTGTCACGAATCTTGTTTATCTATTGAATGCATTCATGCAACGCCCATAGCTTGTTCTATTCGGAATTGTTTTGTTTCATTGGGTTGCGCTTTAACCCCCCTCCCCCCCCCCCCACTGTGTCTGGGAAGTGGAAGGTGGACCAGATCGGCGGAGAACCGGAATGAGTGCAACATACTATAACTATACGGTGACCAAGTACGAGTGTCCGGATCTTCCTTGCTACTCTTGGCGAACAAGTCAACAGATTAACCAAATTGTTATTAAAATATATTACAAAGGTAATAAACGGGTTCTAATCGATTTAAGATATTCTTACTTTATATTTTGCAGTACAAGTACAAAATGAATTCTAAATTTTTAGAAACTACTTGTATATCTAATAGCTTAGTACCTAAATATATTCTGGTTTCTTTATTATTTCTAGATCTTACTTTTATTTTTTGTTAATATCATAGTAATTATTAAATATACGTTGAAACCCTAATTAAATAATATTAACCCTCAATTTAATAGGGCGTTGAAAAACAGGCTAATCTCCATGATTAATGAATGTATAACCTGTATAACCAAGTCCGTTGAATAGCAATTACAATTTTTTTTTAAATAATTATATTTTATAAAAATGAATTAACATATTACTGAATATAGTTACCCCTTAGAAAAATTTAAAACTATAATCATACTATATAAAATTAACAAAATATTTTTCAAAGTAGATAACCTGTTCTTTTTTACAATGTAGAAGAAAAAATTAAACAGAAAACTTGAAGACCTCGTTAAATAAATAATTATATGGAAATGCACGGTTGTGACTGCGGATATAACTGGTTAACCCATAGTAACAAATCAGTATTATTTTATAATTAGTAATAATTCGACTGAAGCAGGCTTATTTAACAGTTCCAGCAACCCATGTGGTTGCATTTTTATTACCCATTGACTAATCGAACTCTTATCGCCAAAGGTTGGGCTCTGCTCGGTTGATTCTTCCAAAGGTTGGGTTACACTTAATATTTCGATCCGGCTTCCAAAGTGAATCATAATGCTGAGCTGGCAACTCGTTGTGCAAATAGTAAGGACACTAATCTAATCGCGAATACGAATGTCTCAGAGGTCAACTATTGTACAGCGGAAAAAATATGACAAAACTGACGGTTCGCTATCAGGTTTCTATTATTTAGGTATTTGGACTAGAAATGTTGGACCCTAAAAACAATAAATCAGGTTTTAGTAATGTATATTGCAGGAACCAGCCTTATAAATTATAAAATTATTATCAGATATACAAATGAGTTTAGGTTGGCGCACTGGGATACTAAAAAAAACGAGTACGTAAGCTAAGTTCTGCAAGCCGGTGTTTTAATACCCTTACAGTTACACCAAAATTTTATGGTCGACTCAATGCATAGTCACAACTCAATGGATAGATCTGAAATAATATAAAACCAGCATACTAGCAAAATCAGTGCACACATAAAAAATGTCATTTGATAACTTGTAACGGTCATCCAAATTCGATGAATCCAAGGTATATAAATAAAAGCATTATATTAGATGTTGTGATGCTGATGAAGAACATATATGTATATTTTATAGGGTCGAAATAGGCTCCATTGCTGTTTTACAAACATCTGACCAAAATGATTATACCCCTTGTCTTATTCTTAAAAAACGATTTTTAAAGCTTTGGGTTTCGTTAGGAACAATTAGAAAAAGTATTATATTTGGGTTTTTTCAAAAGGTTCCTGCTTGAGTTGAGGACTGAGGGAATCAAAGATCACCCTGGAGTCCTTATCTCCAAAATTCGCTTTGGTCATGCTGAGGCATACGGAAAAACAGAGAACTAAGTGCTCGATGATCTGAACTGCAACCAAAATCTTATAAGGTGGGGAAGAAGCTTTTGTTTTGTGTTTTATCTGCGACGTGCATCTACTTTGGCACCCTTTCCACCTTTGGCATTTGTCTTTATCTTCTCGCTCTGAGTATCCGAGTATCTGAACGATCTGTGTCGTAAACTCCGTCGAGCTGTGTGTACTTGTATATGACACAAATATAGCTCTTCTTTTTTATGGGCCCCCAGTGCAGGGCACCCCCCGCCTGGGTGTATTATATTATTATTATCGGACTCCGATTAACAAACACACTTGTGAGTGCACAACTACATACATGTACTATATATATTCATACGTATGCCAGGCGAACCGTTGCACAGTATGGATGTCGTTCCATATAGATCGGATCGGGTTGTAATGGAATAAATCGGAATGGCAGCGCCATTGAACATATGCCGTAGTCGTGTTTATAGAACGCTCTGCTCCCGCCTCTGCCACTGCCTCTGTCAACGTCGCTGCCTCCGACGACGTCGCTGCCGGCGGAGTGTATCTACGAGTGGTGTACCGTAGTGTACCATATAGTACAGTATGGAAGCCCCCAACAGTGTGAGTGAGTAGATTTGAAATAATAACTTATAAGACCGGCGTGGCGGTACGGTGCGTAGTGTTTACTTTGCCGAATATTCAGTTCGAATTCGTTAACAGCCGCTAACGGTTTGCTCCCGCTGCTCCGATCGTCCGCAGATCCTTTTCTATATATATACCTATATATATATACGATCCTGAAAGAGTACTAGCCCCTATAACAACATGTCGAAAGTGTCGCAAAGGTTAGTAATCAACGAAAAGGAAAGCTGTTGGCAACGAAAAATGGGGAGAAAGGGAGACCGAAGCAACTATCTTATCGAGGGATCTCTACATTTGTACATATGAAGTGCAATATAATAACTATGTGTAATCGTCGGTGATAAGGGAACCTTATCTTGGGGTCCACAACTGGCCAGGAGCAGGGTTCAATGGTTACGGGCACGGGTACCGGTACCGATACCGGTACCGGAAAATCAACTACCGTGCATTAGACAATTAGCTCAGAATCCCATTATACATCGATCAAATGGCCAACTCATCCATATGAATGATGGTCGTGGCAACCTTTGACCATTGTGCAATCTGGATCAGCTCACTTAAAGCGCCATTCACCTTCATCCGACTTAGTTTAACTATTTCAAATTGCCCCATAAACCTTGACCAATGATCGTGTTCAGTTATCTACATATGGTTGAGCACAAGGATCATCCCGCATTTAGGGGTTTTCAGGATATAGTAATACATAAAATGATAAATTAAATTCAATATTATTTATAAAATGATTTAAAGTATACTGCTTAAAACAAGATATGATCACAATATTGAATACAATATTTAAAAGTACATATTTTGTTAGTATAGTTTTATACCTCATAAACTAAAGATGCAAAGTGTATTATAAATGTGTTTCCTTAAATGTCGTGTTTAAAATTCTTAAATTTACATTTATCAAAAACGTTTTAAAAAAAGACATTTACATTTACTCAATCACAAAGCATGAATGATGCGGTGTTTCAAAGTAAGATCATCACTTGGGCGTTGCAAAAATTCTTGTTGTGCATTTGTTTGGAACTATCTAGGTGGGCTGTTCAGCACGATTTGGTCCGATCGACTATAAATAGCATTCCAGAAGTGCGGTGATAAGAGCGGTTTCTATGGAAATGAAATGCGGGAGCGGGATGGGGCGATAGAAAGTGAAAGAGAGCGAGCGAGAGGTACCGATGTCATGGTCAAGGTTTCCCAAGTCGATGGCACGATCTGGTATACACTATATATATGGCTCGATTGTGCTGATCGCAATACGTAACGCAAATGCAAAAATACACAAAAACAAAACTAAAACCCAAACCAAAAGCAGTTTGGCATTATCAAGATCTCACGCAGCTGCGGCCGGCAGTATAATTACAGAATATGAGCTGGAAAAAAAACGCTGACCCAACATGGAACTACCCCATTACCACCCACTTTTTCCCGCCCCTTTTTGGAAAAACATGGAAGGGTCCATCTAAAACACTGCAAAAAAAATTACATCAAATGTGGATCAATTTGTGTTTCATTTATAACAGAAATATTAAGTGATCGTCTTTAACTAATATATTTGTCAATACTTAGTAATAATTGGCTTAGTAAATTTAATATTTCTTACTGTATCAAGTAATTTTTAAATAAATTAAATTGTATGCTCAATTTCCCAAAGGATAAACTAAAATATTTTTAACCGAAATCTTATTTGAAAAATGGGAAGAAAGAGCTTTTGAACGAAACTGAAAAGAATGACAAGCTATACATTTTTGTTCTGAATAGCAACAAAAAATTAGACAAAAGAATTTTGAAACAAACTGAAAAGAATGACCAGCTTCTGAATTCGAAGATACCTTTTTTTTCTGTGTAGCCACAAAAAATGTAGCACCAACAATGGAGGATGCCAAAGGTCATCCGATTGTCGCTCGCTGCGAGATAAGGCCTACACGCACACTCACAATCCAAATGGCTCTGGGTCATGCAAGAGTTGGGGTCCGGATTAGGCCCAATTCATCTCCACTCCTCTCCGGTCCAATTCCCTCCAGTTCATATATGTAATTATGATGCTCAGATCAAGAGTCAAATTAGCACAGGCACGCACATCCCACATAAACATAAGTACTATGCTGCAATACTTTAAGTGTGATGCCATTATTTTTAGCTGCAAAGTTTTTTACATATGGTCATATATACATATGTAGTTCCAATATTTTTATAGGAATTAAATAGGTATTTGCAGTCAGATTAGTTAGGAACTAGTTATTTTGTTTAGTAGTGAGGATATCGACTCTGCTGCTAAAGCCCACATCACTTAACATCGTTTTAATGATGCATTTTAATTTGAGTATACCCACAACAGGTAATGACGAAAAGGGCATAACACCTATATTTAAAACTGATATAAAGCTTAACTCGAGAGTGTAAAACCTTAGAGTTAATATACAAGTTGGCAGTAAGTTTAACATTTAAGTGTCCGTACTACCCTTCTTGGTTCAACTAAAACATTAATATTAACAATGTTTCATTGAACTTAACAATATTTCAGTTAAACTTAGATATGGTCAAAATTGGTACATTTTCACTGTCGCTTAAAAATACAAACTGATTAAAATGTTGTCCGATTCAAATCTTCTCTTATATCATAACGACAATGCACTATTGGCAGTTTATGGTATGAAAAGCGACAATCTAAAATGACTATATTCGTTCCCTTTATTGGTATAATCAAAATGTAATTAAAATCTGGCCAAACTAATTTTGTTCAGAATGAAGTGAGAGATACAAAATGAATCAAACTTTTGACTGAAATTAAAAAAGCATCTGCAAGGGTATACAAATCTATAAATAATAAATATATATGTATATCTATAGGTTAAGCTAAAAGTTAACAGTCGCCTTATTTTTTTGGGGTACAGCAAGTCGAGAATGTTTTATAAATTTAAGAAACCTTGAGAAATTGTAAAAGCTTGATAAAAATGCGTATGTATGTACTGATATCCCTTTTGTTTTTTTCAGTGCTGGCAACAGCAACAATGGCAACAGCAATGACATCTACAACATCTTCCTGCTGGTGGTGGACATCCTGATGCTGATCGCCAAGTTCTGGATCGCGATCTTTGAGGCCGTCGTGGGACTCTTCCGACCGGCTCCCCTCGAGGAGGTCAACGGCAAGGTGGTCCTGATCACCGGAACCGGACACGGCATGGGCAAGGAGATGGCCCTGCAGTACGCCAAGTTGGGGGCCACCATCCTCTGCTGGGATGTCAACGAGCAGACCAATAACCAGACGGTGAAGGAAATCCAGAAGAGCGGCGGAAAGGCCTTCGGCTATGTGTGCAATGTGACCAAGCGCGAGGAGCTGCTGGAGTTGGCCCAGAAGGTGCGCAAGGAGCACGGATTCATCCACGTGGTGGTCAACAACGCCGGCATCATGCCCTGCCATCCATTATTGGAGCACACCGAGAACGAGATCCGCCTGATGTACGACATCAACGTGATCTCCCACTACTGGGTAAGTTTCTCATTAGTCTTCAAGGTTCGAATACCTAAAGTAAATAATAAGACAAAGATCAAATTGATTTTATTGTATCAGCAAAAGGTCATTTATACCACATTATTAAGCTAATATCTGGTCAAAAATTATATAAAATTGATCCTTATATTTTATTCATCATTCTATTTATCATTCGGTGTAGATATTTTTACAACGATTACATAATTGACTTATTTTTAATCATATAATATGAAAAAATCATTGTATGAGATTAAATGCTAGATATTTAAACCTATTGTTGTCATCCCTTTTTCGTGTTTCCATAAGTTTTGTTCAAAACTTCTCATGTAGGAGAACCATATTTCAAATGAACTTTAAAAAGCATATTTTCTGTAGAACCAAATTTGTTTTTCAAATTTTAAGTTTTTTTTTATAAATTTCACTGTAGTTTTCATTACTTTTATTTTATTTTATGCCGAAACTGGCAAAAATGTATTATTGGTTTTCTGGTTTTTTCCTACACAAAATATAGTCCAATAAAGTTAAGTCCAATAGTTAATAACACATAATAATAATCGAAGATTTTCTTAAAAAAACATTTATTTATTGGAAAGATGTACATACAGTAGAGGGTTGAATTAAGTTTGCTCTCGAAACTTTTTAACTCAATTTGATTTTGTTTTGATTTTGTTTTTTTATCCTGACGCTACAAGTATAATACTTTTAAATTAATGCGCCAGTCGCAAAAGATTCACAATTAATTAATAAAGTTAACTTAATATTAACATGTTTTAAGTGACTTACTGTACTTAAATATTTGTATCCTATGCACACGTACAAACCAATTAACTAATAATAACTATGTCCACAGATTATCCAGTCCTTCCTGCCCGATATGATTGAGCGCAACGAGGGCAGCATTGTGGCACTATCCTCCTGCGCCGGACTCTTCGGACTGGTCAACCTGGTGCCCTATTGTGGCACCAAGTTCGCCGTTCGCGGCTACATGGCCGCCCTCGCAGAGGAGCTGCGTCAGAAGAACCCCCAGAGCAATGTGAGTACCACTTAAATTTACAGTTCCCAGGCACCATTTGGTGATTTATGATAATGGTGGCATGATAAAAAGTTATTGTATTATAATGAAACGTTGTTTATTGCCGACGAATTATTGCCCCTTTTACACTCTTCGGTTTATGCACAGGTTTAGCATTCGTTTAGTTACTTGTGCACCTTAATTCCAGACCAAAAGCTAATAAAGAAAACCTTAAATTTCTGTTTTGAACAAATTTTTAATATGTACTGAACGTTTGGGCTTGTCAATCACAGAAAAGTTGTATACAAAATAGTCACCGAAAATCAAAACAGAATTTTTAACCATTTTGTATGCAACAGTAAAGAGATACGTAATACCAAAATAATAAGAGGATAGATAATCAGATATTTTATATTATAACGAGTGATTTGGAACCAATCAAAGAATTGTGGCTTTTAAAATCCCTAAAGACTTCCACAATACCACTACCAAATGTACCATTAAACCTATATTAATACTAGGATTACCTGTATCTGAATTCCAGGTCAAGCTGACCACCATCTATCCGTACATGATCGATACGGGTCTGTGCAAGAACCCCCGCTACCGATTCCCCAGCCTGTTCAAGCTGATCTCGCCCCAGGTGGCCGCCGGCTCCATCATCGAGGCCCAGCGCCAGGGATTGGAGGAGGCAGCCATCCCACGGCATTTCGTGGCCGTGGAGAAGATCGGTCGGCTCATTCCCCGCAAGGCGATGCGCCTGGTGAACGACTTCCTCGACACGGGAGTGGACACCGACAAGCACTAGAGGAGGTGCTCGACTTGGACACCCTGCCTTCCCCCAGTAGGTCATAGAGCTTTATTGTTTTACACATTTTTTTTTTGTCGTTTTTACTATTATCTCCTTTTAATTGCTGTGTAGAGAAGTGCAACTAATTGCTGTGTGAAAATATGTGAATTTAGCAAGCTCAATTTAGCTGTTAGAAAGGTTGTTACTTAATTAAAGGCGAACATTGTCGGGCTAATTGTGTTGGTCGTAATAAAGGTCTCCAAAGAGTACTCCGTAAAGTGATGAAATGCTGACCCGTGAGGCTGCCCTAATGTGTTTATCTGGTTGTTTTCTGGTTCATCACGCTAACTGTGAATAGTTTCATGTGGATTCCCCTAGAATGGATTACTTTCTGGTCGAGTGAATATATATTTAGGGATAATAATAGGGATAATAATAGGGATAATAATATTGTTTAGTATACGAACTCTTTGACTTAAAACTGTTAATGCGAGCCTTTGTCATATTATACGTATATTCCAACATTAAATTCAGTTAAATTTCAGTTATATCTTTTCAATCAACCCATTTTTATCAGACCCCCAAACAAATGTTCACTGTTGTCTGGCCGATCCTTGCGAATTCCTTTGATCAGCAGAGGTCCTATTCTCGTAGTTAACTGAAATCGGAGGCCTTGGATCGGGCTGTGTATATATAATAGGTTCTCCCTGGGGTAGCTCATCGTACGGACTCCACTCCTCGAAGACCGTGCGCTCCATGATCACCTGCCTCTTAGAGCGCTTCCTCTCCACGCTGAGTATCATGTCCTGGAACTCACTGATGGCCGTCCGGAACTGGTCGTCGCCCTCGATCATCAACACGAACTGGTCGGGATTGTCGGGATCAAGCTCCAGGACGGGGCCCAGTTCCTGCTCCTGCCGCACGCGATCCTCCTCCGCCTGCAAAAGGGTCTTCCGCTTCAGCCTGACTTCATCATATCGAGCCTCCAGGAGTTTACTCCGCACGATCTCGCGCTCGAACATCTGCAAGGTAGAGATGTCTTGATAAAAAAGTTGAAGTAGTTAAAGGTTCCAAGCCCCCTATTCAATATAAAAGAATATGAATATAACCATTTATATCAAAAAGAAAAAAAATATGAATGTAACTATGAATGAATTATAGCAAAAAAAAAAAAATATATATAAATTGTAAATTGTTATAAATGAAAGTTGTTGATTAATGGTTTTAGTACTGAGTCAGGAAATAAATAACTGAAATAACATTTTTACCACAGGGAAATTAAAAGGAGCAGAGTGGGTATCCTAACCTAGTGCCTTTTTACATTCCAAGATAAGTACGATAAATATGATTAAAATCTCCCACATAACCTCATCCATAATGGAAGGTATGCAGTATAATTAGCAGGAAGCTTGGGTACTTTCGAAAAGAAGGTAATGATATATACCCCTGTAGAGTTCTGTAAGCAATAATAGATAGGCTATAGAAATAAACCAAAGCCTGGGACCCTTACAGCTGCTATTAGTGCCTTCTCCTTGCCGGTGGCCTGTCGCATGGACTCATCCAGGGTCAGGATGTGACTATCGCCATTCTGCAGGGCAATGGCCAGGAGATCACCGTCCGGCCGGAACACCACATCCGCTATCATAACCTTGAAGTCGATGGAGAAAATGGGCAGTCGCTGGTGGAGCAGCAGGTCCCAGAAGTCGACGACGCCATTCATGTCCCCAGTGACAAACAGGGAGCAGCGACCCGTGCTCCAGGCGCCGCAAACGATCTGGGTGCGCTTCCGGAAGTACATGGTGGAGGGTCCGTCCTTGACCTCTTCCGACCAGATCCTGGCCCGCCAATCCCCCGTAACCAGGAAGTTCTTGACGAAGAACGGATTCCGGTTGATACTGCGCACGGGTCCGGCGAACAGTGGATAGTGGGCCAGTAGGGTTTCCGTGGGCGTCATCCCCTTGCGATTGCCCACAAACACGTGACCCATATCGCTGCAGATGATGAAGCGAACCGGGATGGTGTACTCAAACTCCAGCACCGTCACCCCATGCGAATCCATCCTGGACTGGCGCTCCTGCGGTTCCGGCTCGAGGAGCAGCTCCTGCATGGGCATCTTGAGGTCCCGCGTGTCCCAGTACTTGATGGAGCCATCCAGCGAGCCCGAATAGAACTCCGTGTTGGACTTGGAGTGGACCCAGCAGAGGGCCGAGGTGGTCTCCCTGTGGGACACCTCCAGAGGACAAGTCCGCACCGGCAGACCGCCCTTGAAGGTGTTCCACAGACAGACCTGCCCCAGCCCAGTGCCGCCCACCATGTTGTTCTCGTCCTTGGGACAGATCTTGGCCAGCGACACGGCCTCGTTGCAGTCGTAGGATATCTTCGGCCTGAGAGGGTTCTTTACGTCCCACACAAAGGAGGAGTTCGCCTCGCCGAATGGCTCATCCCCCAGCAGACGTAGTCGCTCCCCCTTGTCGAACTGATTGTTGTACTGGGTCATGAACTGGCGGTCGTTGTTGGGCATCCACTCGATGGACTTCAACCGGCGGGACGGGAGCCACAGGTCGTGGAACACGTTGAGCACCCTCGCCCGGAACCTCATCCGGAGGTCGTGCCCCAGTTCCAACGGAAGATCCGCAAAGAAATTCTGATAGATATTGACAGTGTTGTTCTGCTCCGCCACAGTCATCGTGCTGCGGATTATCCCCAGGACCTGCTCACCCCAGCTATCCTCCCGCTCCACCTTCTTGCGGTGGCGCAGCGTCTGCTCCTCGTCCAGGGAGTTCACCTCCTTGGGCCACCCGCCCTCGTAGTGGTACATCCCGTGATGGTCGAGGGTCACGTTCTCCGTCTCCATGATGGTCAAGGCCATCTGGCGACTCAGCTGGGTGCCCTGCACCGAGGGGTTGCGCATGATGTACTTCAGCCGCTGGCGACCACTGGGATGCACGCTGACCATCAGCTCATTCCGATCCTGGAACCGGCACTGCCGTCCAAAGCGACGCCTTTCGCGGGAATAGATGAACTGGTTCTGGTACATGACGGGACTCGGAGGAAAGCTCAATGGAGCAGTGGTGGATTAGGCTCCTACAAGGGTCACAGCTTCATGGGATTGGCCAGATCCAAGGGATCAGGCGGCTTCAAGAAACTCAAAAAAACCAAGGGATTTGGTGTGCTCCTGTTCTTCCTCCTGTGTCTTCTATATTTCTTTGTTTATTTTTAAGTTTTGCTAAATCAATTTGTGTGTCAATGTGTTTTTCTATGTGTATTAAGTATGTTTGATTAAATATGAAAATCCGCCTGCGAACAACCATAACTTTAGGAAATAAAATTGGATGGAGGTGCTTTTTGTTTTTTTTTATTTCTTATTTTTGAATGGCCTTACAGAAAAAAAACCAAAATCATGTTTTTCTTAGGCCATCCATTTTTTTTAATTTTTCAAAGAATTTCAAGCTTGCATCACTATCTTTTCTTACAGAAACTCGATTTCAAAGTGGAATACTTATAAATGCTTGTGGGTTAATTCTCAAAAAATATGCGATTATATCTGGATTTGAGATTTTGCGTCGATTTCCTGTCATTTTTATGATGTCCTTTTAAATTTAAATTACAAAATTGTTGTTATATTATTAATAAACTACGGTCACACTGCCCCCAATCGCCAACAATTAATCGTAGACGTAATCGATATCAGGACATTTTATCGACTGCTCGATTGACCGAGCACGCGTCCAATCGATTGTATAGTATAAAAAAATAAATACAAATATAAAATAAAATAAAAGTTATATGAAATAAGGCTAAGTAACAACGTATAATATAATTTAATGCGGAGCAGCCAGTGGAACAACGTTTCCTGCCATTGACCAACTTAAGGTGACTACATAGAAATTACGCATAATCACGCATCGCTTGCTCTTCCAAACAAAATAATTCGAAATGACTCTACTTGCCAGCAGATCGAATTTCAGAACGGAGCAACTGGGAATCCGGCAAAGTGAGTCCCGTCAAGCAATTGCCGCCATGCTAGCTAGCGAATCCACAGCACCAGACGCTCTGGAAGCGCCGGTGGCAACCAAAACAACAACAGAAGTCGCCACACCGCCAGAATCTGGGAATGATCAGGCGGAGGACAGTGGTAATGTGGAGGAGGGCGATGCCGACACGGATGCGGATGCGGATGCGGAGGCCGCTGCCGTGGAGACCGAGGAGCGCGAGGAACTGCAGCAGTTCATCAACGAGCTGCGCGACAAAATCGAGAGCAAGCGGCAGCTGCGGCTTCAAAACTCCACATTCGAGCTACCCGGCGAGGAGCACTTCGCCAAACTGGACTCCAACCTTAAGAAGAACACGGCGTTCGTGAAGAAACTGAAGCTTTTCACGGCCACCCAGCTGGAGGCGCTTCTGCGGGAGCTGTCCGCCCTGAATCTGAGCAAGTACATTTCGGAGATATGTGCTGCGCTGGCCGAGGCCAAGCTAAAGATGACCGATGTGCCTGCGGTGGTGACTCTGGCCTCCCGGCTGCACTGCACCTACGCCGACTTCGATGTCCAGTTCCTGGAGGCCTGGCAAAAGGCCCTGAACATCAAGGCCAGCGAGAAGATTGCCAATCCCAGCAAGCTGCGCGTGGATCTGCGCCTATTCGCCGAACTGGTCAGCTCTGGTGTAATCCAGATGAAGCCTGGCTTGGCCCAGCTAGGCGTTGTTCTGGTGCACCTAATTGCCCAGGATAAGGACGACCACAGCAACTTCTCTATCATCCTTTCGTTCTGCCGGCACTGCGGCGAGGAGTATGCCGGCCTAGTGCCGCAGAAGATGCAACAGTTGGCCAGCAAATTCGGCGTGGAGGTGCCCAAGTCCGACTTCCTCACTGCCGACAAGCAGCTCAATCTACGCACCATGCTCAAGGGCTACTTCAAGGCCCTGTGCAAACATGTCCTGGCCGAGCAGACCGAGCTGATGAACATGACCAAGAACATCCGGCGCACTATGGAGTGCAAGGGTGAGATCTCCACGGAAAAGCGGGAGAAATGCGAGCTCATGCAGGCAGGGTTCGATAAGCTGCTAGCGTCCGCTCAGTCCCTGTCGGAGCTGCTGGGCGAACCACTGCCGGAGCTGGCCAAGGAGTCGGAGTGTTGCAATCCGGGAACGGTCATCGACAACATGCTGGACAGCGCCGCCTTCGGGGTGCTCGATCCCTGGGGCGACGAGGAGACCCGCTCTTTTTATACAGATTTACCCGATTTACGGCAGTTTCTGCCCAACTTTTCGGCACCGAAAGTGGATCTGGAAACGCTGGAAGAACCCAGTGAACTCACCGAAGAAGCGATTGAAGCCAATCTAGATGCGGAAATGGATCTGGATGATCCGCCATCTACCACCTCGGATACGGCGCTGGAAACTGCCAGCGAAGAGCAGCCGAGCACACCAGCTACACCAGCGGAGGATGTGAAGCCACAAAAGATGGGCAGCGCCTTAATGGAACTGGGTCGGCAGCAGCAGCAGCAAAGCCAGCAGAACCAGAATCAGAGCCAGACCCAAACCCAGACCCAGATGCGGCAGCAGTTCGATGGCTTCCTGGTCAACCTGTTCAACTGTGTGAACAAGGAGCTAATTGATTCGGCGGCCATCGAGTTCCTGCTGAACTTCAACACCAAACATCAGCGCAAAAAGCTGACGAGGACCATATTCTCGGTGCAGCGCACTCGCCTGGACATCCTGCCCTACCTCTCCCGTTTCGTGGCCATCGTGCATCTGTGTAATACGGATGTGGCCGCCGATTTGGCGGAACTGCTGCGCAAGGAGTTCAAGTGGCACATCCGCAAGAAGAACCAGCTGAACATCGAGTCCAAGCTAAAGATTGTGCGGTTTATTGGCGAACTGGTGAAGTTCGGGTTGTTCAAGAAGTTCGATGCCTTAGGATGTCTGAAGATGCTGCTGAGGGACTTTCAGCACCACCAAATCGAGATGGCCTGTGCCTTTGTGGAGGTCAGCGGCGTCTATCTGTACAATTGCCGTGATGCCCGCCTGCTGATGAACGTGTTTCTGGACCAAATGCTGCGTTTGAAGACGGCCACGGCGATGGATTCTCGCCATTCGGCGCAAATCGAGAGCGTTTACTATCTGGTAAAGCCGCCGGAGTCGTCCAAGCGAGAGCCTACGATTCGGCCACCCATGCATGAGTACATCCGTCACCTGATCTTCGAGAAGCTCTGCAAACAGAATGTGGAGCAATGCATCAAGATGCTGCGCCGCATCGACTGGCAGGATCCGGAGACCAATTGTTATGCCATCAAGTGCCTCAGCAAGGCCTACCTGTTGCGCTTTCCGCTAGTCCGCTGCCTGGCCGATCTCGTCTCCGGCCTGAGTTCCTATCAGCCGCGGGCGGTGACCATCGTGATCGATAATGTGTTCGAGGACATCCGCGCGGGTCTGGAGATCCATTCGCCGCGCATGGCCCAGCGGCGCATTGCGATGGCCAAGTACCTGGGCGAGATGTACAACTACAAGCTAGTGGAGTCCACCCACATCCTCAATACGCTGTACTCGATCATCTCGCTGGGCGTGTCCATGGACCAGAGTGTCGTCTCGCCGCTGGATCCACCTGACAGCCTGTTCCGTCTGAAGCTGGCCTGCATGCTACTGGACACGTGTGGACCCTATTTCACCAGCCAGGCCACGCGGAAAAAGTGAGTGGGATCGCCTGTGTTGTCAGCGGGCTACATTCAAACGGATGAGCCGTTTAATTTAAGAAAAAACAAGCTTTCTGATATAATTATTTTTTATTTTTTTAGGCTGGACTACTTTTTGGTGTTCTTCCAGCACTATTATTGGTTCAAGAAAACCCATCCCGTGTTCAGCAAGTCGGAGAACACCTCCGATTTGTTTCCCATCCTGGTGGATCACACCTATCGCGACTGCCTGGCCGGTGTGCGGCCCAAGCTGAAGCTGTTCAAAAGTTTGGAGCAGGCCAAGGCGGCAATTGATCAGTTGCAGGAGAAGCTCTATCCGCAGCTGAAGGCCACCAGTGCCCAGGATCCGTCACTGGCATCCATCAGCGAAATTAGCGAGCTAGACGAAGGCGTAGGTTTTTCAACAAAAATATCTGTCCCAAACGATGCATAACTTGTAATTTGTAATTTACCAGGCCACCGATGAGGACTCGGGATCCTCAAATGACCAACGGGAGCGACAGGTTGCCGGCCAGGAGCCGGAGCAGAGCAACGACTGGACGGAGAACGAGGCGGAGCCACCGCTGCCGCCACCCCCACCGCTAGAGAAGTCTAAGGAGGACCTTGAGTTCGAGCACTTGTACGAAAAGATGACCACGGACTCGTACCAAGAACGGCTGAAGGAGCCGATCAAGGCCACAGCCAAGGATATACCGGTGCCGATGATGGCACGCTTGCAAAAGAAGTCGTACGAACAGATTACGGGTGGTCAGGCCTCCGGCAGTGGTAATGCCAATGCGCCACAGATCTCAAAGGCGGTCGCCAATCATGACGCAGCACCCGGCTCTCCAGGCTCTGAACCTCCTGATGGCAATGGCAAACCCAGAGGAGGAGGAGGAGGCGGCTGCGGCGCTGCAGTAGCATCAGCAGCAACAGCCGCCGTGCCGTTCGTGCTGATGGTGCGCGGCAACAAGGGTGGCAAGCAGCAGTTCAAGTCATTCGTGGCGCCTTCGGACTCACAGTTGGCAATCAACCTGAAACTGCAGGAGCAAAAGATCCGCGAGGAGAAGGAGAAGGTCAAGCGCCTTACGCTTAATATAACGGAGCGGATCGAGGAGGAGGATTACCAGGAGTCACTGCTGCCGCCGCAGCAGCGCAACTTCACCCAGAGCTACTACCAGAAGCCCAACAAGCACAAGTTCAAGCACCAAAAGGGCGCCCCTGATGCGGACCTCATCTTCCACTGAGACGCTGTCCCCGCTGCCGGAACCGAAAGAAAGCCGGGGCCGGTGAGTGTGGGAGCTCCCATGTGCCGCACATGCGTAGTAGCACCTTTGCTTGTTCTCAGCCTCCTGGCCAGCGCATCGATACCACTCTGCTGCTGTACGGCCCATCGACTGCGACTGCGATTGTGTACCACGGAATCGAGAGAATGAGAGAGAGGAACGCTCCAAGAGCCGTCCACTCTCCGCCACGAAAAATGCCCCCAAGCTCCGGACGATATCCACATGAGCCACATCAACCTCAAGCCGTACTTAAGCCAACCAATCCAAACCCACACTTTGCCAGCACGCAATCGCAGTCGTGGCAGCTCAAGCCAATCCAGATGGCCCGGGTCCACGTGCTCGTCTTCGATATTATCGTGTACATAAAACTGCTACTCCCCGATTCGTATCCGTATATTTTAACACTACATAGTACGTAAAATTGCCTAGACTTGTTTCGAAAACAGACCCCTATGAATAACAAAGCATGTATACAACGATATATACAGAACATATATAGAATGTTATACACACATCCGATATTGCCATCCGATGTTCGCTGTTCCATTGACATTTTTGAATCAAATGCAAAGTACAGTCTGAAAGTGAGTTTGTGTCCTTTGGGGGGAAAATGGAAAATGTTGAAATGCTCCCAGGGATGTGATCTGAGTGCCCTCCAATAAGTTTCGAGCTTTATTCGCTTGATCGTTGGTGTTTTTAGCGTTTTATACAAAAAGATAATGCTCAAAACAAGAATTACAATTTGATTAATTTTTTTTTTTTTGTTTTTATATTGCTAGAAATTATCCCCGGTTTTTATTTTATAAATCAAAGTTAAATCAAATCGCCGATTTTTAATCTGCAGGAGAGGAATATAAAAGTACATCAAGGGTCTTCGAATAACCGATTTACCCCAATCTTGTTTTTATATTTTATTTTTTATTCATTTTACTAAAATTAGCATCAAACAATTTAATTTCCACTTCTTTTTATATTGCTAGTGTTTCCACTTCATTTTGTATTAATTTATCATTCAATAAAAATACTCAAAATTATTTTCGTTTTTTTATACAAAATTTTTTGTTTTGGTTTTGTATTACTTTAAATGTTAATCAGTAATCAGTACAAATGGCAAAAAATATATATTTATATAGTAGTATTAATTTACTTTTAATGATCGAAATTCAATAAAACAAAACACGCACAAGAGACTATATTCCATTCTGTTCCACGCGGTTACCCTCTTTACTTTTACTTTCTTTTTCTATAAATAAAACATACAAAAATAAAAATGAACAGATTTTACAGAAAACTAAATGTCCCCGGGGCACTCTTGCATTTCGAAATTAACAATTACAAGCTTAAATGTTAATAGCTTAAATATTAAATGTAAAGTTAGCTTTAAAAACAATAGAAAAACATTTAGACAGGGGGACTTGGCGAAAAACGACAATTTCGGGAGGGTAGAAGCAGTTAAGTTTCCCATTTCTAGCAGTTTGCCGGGATCATTTCAGTTAAATACATCGCTATTTTGCCGTTGTTTGTCGTTAATAATAAAGGATGTTGATACAAAAAATTAGAAGTAGGGAGAAAAAACAAAACAAAAATTACAAATTAAAAATAAAATACAAATTCATTTGCTCCGATTTGGATGCAATGTGTACAAAAAAAGAACACAAAAATCATAGTTCTAACTATCGTTCGTAGTTCATTTGTTGTCTGTTTTTTTTTGTTGTTTCTTCTTTTTCTTGGCTGCTTGTTTTTGCTGTGCATAGTATGATATAGTCTAAAATATGTTGGAAGGCACAAATCGTTTGCTCGTTAAGTATACGCAATGTATAAAGGCTGCCCCGTCGGAGCGGTTTTGTAAATGTATATATAAATGTATATATAAATATATATATATATATATATATATTGTTGACTTAGTTTAGAACGCGTTTCAATGGCAGTTGACTTTAGTGGTTTTTGCACCCGGACAAAGCAGCTTTATCTATGTTTTCGGAGTCGTTTCTGATGATTGGTTATATATTAGTTATATTGGTTGGTTTGGTTGGCTGTTTTTCTTTCTGGTTGCGGTCCAAGCACAGACAATTGTTGTTCAATTGAACGACACAAGTTGCATTTCCCTAATCTAATGTTACATATCGGATTTATTTGCCCGCATACATGGGGTTCTTGAAGGTGGATGTGGCCTGCTTATATATGGGATTCTCGCCCTGTAAATGGAGTAGAGGAGATAATTTAGAATGGACTCAGGGGGTAAATTCTTAATCCAGGAAATACTCACCGTATCCCATTTGGCGTTCATGCGCTCCTTTTCGAACCGCGCAAATTCCCGGCGATCGTGGATCGTTGTTAGCAGCTTCCAGAGCAGAAGAATAGCCAGACCCACTAGCACAATGGCGGCAATTACGCCCAGAACAATGCCAAGCATGAAGACCTTAGGCGGGCACTCCTTTTCCTCCTGGGCATGGACGACTAGATTACCTTGCTCGCTGTACTTGAACATAAACTTGCAGTCGTCCTCGTCAAAGAAGGTGCACATCTGCTCGTCCTTGTGCTCGTCGATCTCCACCTTCTCCACGCCGAAGGGAGTAAAGCTAGTGCAATTATTGGCACAATCATTGCCGTTCTTCAGCACGCCCGTCTTATACATCTGGCACTGGACGCAGTCCTTCAGCTCCTGGCACCGTCCAGAGCAAGTTGGACACTTCTCGCAATGGCGGCCGGAAAAGCGTCCCTGTTCGTTAACCGTACACTTGCAGACACCACATTCGCAAGTACCATGGCCGGAGCAGATCTCGTCGCTGCCGGGTGGCATGCAGGTAGCATTGGAGGCCTGGCAGGCGCAACTGCTGCCGGTCCAGCCCTCCTTGCACACGCAACTGCCGCAGTCGCAGGTGCCGTGATCCGGACCCGAGCACAACTGGTTCTTGTTCCGTTCGCAGCTGAAGTTGTCGCATTCGCAGAGTCGTCCGGAAATCACCTCCTCGGGATTGGTTCGTTTGAAGCACTCGCAGGCGCCACAAACGCAATTACCCCGACCAGAGCAATCCGTCGTCGAGTTGCTATCCGCTCGGCAACTGGCGTCGCTGCCGTTTGTCGAATTCACATCTGTTGCCGAGCACTCGCAGATGTTGCCAAAATGATTATCATCACAATCGCAGATGCCGCACATGGAGGTGCCATGCGTACTGCAGCTCTTCGAATGCTCCTCATAGCCAGCTGTGCCTTTCTTTTCACAGTCACACGCGCAGAGCATCTCCAGATGGATCTGCATGGTCTCATTGATGCCCACGGGCGAGATGTTGATGGTCTGTTTCCAGTCTTTCGGATTCTCGGGGCATTTGAGCACCTGGATCTGGGCCGTGAAGCTCACCTGCTGGCCCGCGGTCAAGTTGTCGCACTTGGTAGTCTGCACTTCAGGACCGCCGTTCAGGCAGGACGAGAAGTAAGTGATTTTCACATCCCCACCGGCGTTGTCCTTCATCTCCACTGAAGAAGAGATTTTCTGCAAAGAATAGATAGATTAAATGGAGTTAGGATTTTAAACGGCTTCAGTGACCACTTACGTCGTATTCTCCCTTGACCAAATCGACCACGTTGGATGAATCGCTGGAGAGTATGGCCGCCGAGGAGCCCTGGATTTGGCGCACCAACTTCTCATACACGGAATGCTGACTGGCGGTCACCGCAAAAATAATATTGATGGCATTGTCCTTGACCTTCTGGTTTATTTGCGAAATGCTGGGATAGTCCTGCTCCGTCGAGTGCGTGTAGTCGCCAGACGGACTCAAATGGCACTCTCCGTCGTTCGGGGCAATCACGCCACCCAGTTTGCCATCGCCAGCATAATGGAATCCTGCGTCCGTGGAGAAGACGAGCAGGCGACGGGCCTGTTCACGCCAACCGATCTGCTGTCGGCAGGCAATGGCCTGCATAATGGCATCGAAGCCACCTTCGGGAGCATCCAGATTGCCCGATACTTTGGCACTCTTCACCTCTCGCTGCCGGTCAGAGATATAAACGATTAGCGGTGGGTTTCTCTGAGGGTTTTGGGTTAATTCGGTGGCTGAGTAAGGGTAATGCATTCTGGCACACTCTGTCATAAATGCCGGATTATTTAGTGCATAAACAAACTACTTGGACAACAAGAATTCTTTCAGCAAACATTTAAGAACCTTGAGCGGTCTGGTCTATCAGTATTAGTCAATGATAAGAATTGTTTCCATACTACGATAAGATATATGCAAGCAGTTATGATTAATAGCACTTTCCCCGCGTAGCTAAGTGAATAGAGTTCTATATTTGGAACCTTGAAATGAGAAACGGTCGCTTCTATAAAAGATATAGGGTTAATTGTGTCAAGTCCGGCAAGATTGTTTTCGGAAATGAGAAACTATTTATAGTGTTATTTGGTGTTCTGATATAAAGTGGAACTAGGTTGTCAGCAATATTTGCACTTTAAAAAACTTATATAAATTAAAAATGCCTCTATGTAAGACATAGATTTAGGATCACGTTTAACCATTCTTTTCGTAAAGGTGATCTTTTTTTAAGCATTTTTGAATGTTAGTTTTGCCTCAACTACATTTTAATAAAGAATTAGACATTCTTTAATTTAACATATACACTTTCTTATATTCTCTAAACGTTTACAGTTTATGAATTTTTCAGAGTGTGCCAGCAAATAAGAGCCTACATATATAACGTTAACCAAACAACAATGAATGCAAGATAACCAATTAGCATTAACATACCAACAGCTATTCTATATTAGTAAGCAATGCCATTTTTAACTTAATAACACAACATTCAAGATAAATTAATAATGAATTATACAACATAGTTAAGTTACAAGCAAACCAAACCCAAACAAATTAATAATATTTCATGCAAAATCCAATGAAACAAGCTCGGAACTTGAATGGATGTTGACCAAAAGAGGTTTCAGATGCAAGTGCGATAATTCCGATTCGGATGGGGGCGTGACCACTTACAGAGAATTTATATGTGTCCGTACTTAAGGCCATGGCATTTTGGTAGCCATAAGGAGCACTGCAATTTTCGCACGGCTCATTCAGGCTAATTAGTTTAGATTTGGTATTTCGTAATATTTTGTTCAAATTTCGAGCCAAGCAACAGGGAATTTTGGAATGCACAAGTACAATACATATGGCCAGATTTATATGGAGAAAGTGATGAGTACACAATGAAATAAAGAAATAGAGAGAAAGAAACACAAAAGATAAATAATGTTTTGACAACATCGATGAGTGCAAATAGATTACGATATAGATACGATACGGTATAAATATGCTAGTGTGGCTAATATATAAAAATGTGCTGATCACCATACAGCACAAATACAACACAAAACTATAGATAAAAAATGTATAAATAATGCTTAAACTAAAAGGTGCAATGGGATATTTGAGATATAATCATAGATGGAATAGGGCAAGCACATAGAGTTATGAAGATACATGCAATTGGATCTATACACAAGGCTATAGATCTATATATAAATATCGATATGGGAGCAGGCACAATTAGATGGGATTATACGGGTCAAGTATTGATTAATTGTCTCTTACAGAAAAGCTTGTGGTGTTTCTGCTGAGTTGCATGTGATTGTGGTAACCGTAAGGAGCCGTGCAGTTGTCGCAGGGATTTAAAAGTCTATGGATTCAATTCGATTCGATTTGATTCGATTCCGTCGATCGTTGGTGTTGTGGTCGAGTTGTTTGTTGGTGTTCATGGTATGGTTGTAAGTATAAAATAATTAACAAAGTTAGCGGCTGAATCGATCTGGTAAATTAGATAAAATTAGCTCAAAAGTTTGCATTAATCGTGTAGACATACAGCATAGAGAGACACTACAAAATCTAGCTGTGGACTTTTTAGAGAGCCAATTAGATGGGTGTGTTACTTTGTATTGTTTTTTTTTTTTTTTTTTGTTAGCAATAGGAATTATTTGGGACTTGTTGATAAATCACTGTGTCATCAGCGGACATTGCTCATGGATGCTATCAATAAGTGACGCTCTCAAGTCTTCGTAATTTCTCCAGAATGGCTGACTAATCGGGTACTCGTTAAAGCTTATGACTATTACAAGGTTTCTTAGCAGCTACAGATGATGAAAACACTTAAAAATAACCTTAAATTGATATGTTCTTTGATATATGTTCCTGCAATCAGTCATCATTAAAATAATTTATATAAGCAAATTGATATTTAAACATTTTGTTTATCAATAATAATAAGTCAATAACTTAAATATGTTCCTTAAATTTTAATCATTATACAAGGAACTGATAAGAGCAAATGGTAAGTAAAAACCAATTAACTATGATTTATTCTTATAATAACTAAATAATGAAATGACCCAATTTAAATAGTGGTCCCAATAGAAGAATCATTGCTCTGTACAAAACTTAAATATGACTAACATTTTTCGAGTTCGTAGAAACATATTGGTACATAACATATTGAGAACATATCCTTAACTAAGCCTAGTTTTTATTAACTCTTTCTTAAGGCCATACTCACTTTTTCTTAATGGTCGAGACATAGGGCATGAGCACCTTGTCCACAAACGAACCAAAACCGATTTGGAAATTCGAGGTTATGCTCGTCATGGTCTTGGACAGTTCGTCGCCCAGCGTGGAGAGCTTCTCCTTGTCGTCCTCCATGGATTTGGAAAGGTCCATCAAGTAGTAGAGATCCACCGGATATCCCCCCGCCTGGGAGTAACTCACCTTGAGGTTGTGTTTCTCATCTGATATTGGGGAAAGTGTAGAATTAGGTTCTGGGTCAAGGCTGCAGAGGCAATACTCACTGACGCGTAACTTCAGACTCACGGACTGGGGCATGATTTGAACAATTTCGCCGGAGCTGGACGACATGCCAGCGGAATATTGCGAGCCATAAAAGCTGGACGAGGATGAGGATGAGGATGAGGACGCTTGATAGGAGCTCGAGCTCCCGCCAGAGATTTGTGCACCACCACCTGCTCCTCCCGCCGCACTACCTGTGCTGGCCAGCGTTAGGTTCTTGTTTAATAGAATCTGCGCTTCGGATCTCGGGTCGCTGATGAACTCATCCGGACACAGATTGGAACCACGCTGGAAGCAGCGCGACTGGCCCTTGAAGCCCGGCTGCATGCACCAGGCACAGGACTCGGTCTGGATGCAGGTGCTGCACTTATCCTTGCCACTGCAAGTTGGTTGGTTGACCTTTAAGTTTGCTGCCTTCTGTCCGTCCGTCTGGCCAGCGATGGCGGCCAGAACGACGACCAGGAGGAGGGCCAATTGGCTCCTCCGGTTTCTCTCGATGATCATGGCTCTGTTAGTGTTGGTGCAGGTTGCAGGACGCAGGAGGATCTTCCTTGGGTGTGCGTGTGCTGTGTGCTCTCTCTCGCTCGCTCGCGAACGTTCTCTGTCGCTTTTGTGCGCCGGCTGTAATGGGAAACCAATTAAACTGATTAGTTTCTCCAATTGAATTGGCTTGCTTCTTAGGATTACAGTTGTGGAAAATATAATAGAACTTCGGTTCAACTGATTTTATGAATTTATTAAATTACTTTTTCATTACATTTATTAATAAAAACAACGATTTTAATACTGAGAACAAGTATTATTTTGCAGCAGTAGATTTTTTTAAAATATTTGTTTACATTTAACCACTTTTAAAAGTTTCTTAGCTTCTACATGTAAAGTTGTAAGATAGTTTTGTTCAATTTATATACTTTATTTAATTTTTTGATATTTTATATTATTTCGACCGCAGCTGTAAGTAAAAGTCCAGCTGCTGGCTGCACTGTTTCTTGAGTATATTGCTGAGCACTGCTTTTCCCGCCTGCCCTGATTTTTTTACTGCAATAACAGAGCAAATGGGCCCCACATCTGCCCTCTTTTTTTTGGATTTGCTCTACGTTAATGTTTAATTTTATTTTCCCATCAACTTTGCCAGATGACTCATCCCACGCACACACAAAAACAGGGGCATGATGTACGATATCATGAGTGGGTGTGAGTGTGCGTGTTTTTTTTTTCTTGGCGTCCAAAAAGAAAATAAGAAGAACAACAAAAAGAGGGAGGAAGAGAGCTTACGATAAACAACAAATGCAATGCAATTACTCATTCAAGCACGTTCTGTTAGCACGCTCTCGGCCACCCATCCCTCTCCAATGAACTCCCTCTCTCTTTTTGCTCCTGGCGAAATGTAAACAAAGAGGGAGTGGAAACAATGAGTAGTCATTGAGTCAGTCAACTGCACTGGATTTGGATTTCCGCTTAAATGAATCACTCACACCAACTTACTCAAAAAAGGGCTGCAAATTACGTATACGTACGGGAATTGTGATAGATATTCAAAAACGCCTACGCACAGACAACTGAACCCAATTCCAGCAGATCGAGTGCCGCCAAAAAATACAAAAGATACAAAGTCAGAGATGAAAACCCCAGTTTATATACCCTGCAATCAATGCAAAACATTTAAGTTAGACAAAAGTTAACTATCAAACCAGAAAGTAGTGTCAATTTTTTCCACTTTTACACAAGACACAACTTAAAAGTCACAGGAATTGCATAACGAATAATAAGTTATAATTTATGCTGTGAGTAGATTAGTCATGTTTTTCATCCTAGAATAAATCACTATCATTTAAAAAACAAAAAGCCACATAGCAAAGTTTCGCAGTTAGTCATCTTTTCGATCTTAACTGTAGTATATGAAATCTCAAACAATCTTGCTAAAACCATTACTAACAATGATGTTGTTCTTCGAAGACGTGTTAAATTCAGTCCAATCTACACAAACTTATTTTTGGAACTAAGAAAGCCTATACCATTTAAAATAAAAGGATTAAATTCCACATAAACAGACACAATGCTTTGAAAAATATTATGAATTGATCATAACCTTTTCTGCAACAAACTCCTGACTCACATCGCACTCTAAATAAACAGCATCTGCAGTACACAGTTTTTACCATGGATGGCCGCCCACGCCCACTAAGTAAAAACGAGCAACATCTGGGCCGCCCACATTTGGGTGTTCAAGTTAAACCAGTGGCGTACGGCGGATTTGTTTAGATAACATTTTGGATTTTTGTAAAGAAATGTTAATTTGAAGTTTTTTTTAATTTTAATTTAAAGTCGTTTACAAATAATGAAAAACAAATAAAAACCTATTCCTTCCCTTTTTAAAAATGTACGCTACTACTATGCTTTTTTTTGCCTCTGCCTACGTACTCTGTGATCAGTGGGCGGGGGAAGTTGCAATAAAGAGGCACCAAGACCAACAACTGGCGTCGTAACGTCGCCAATCGAACCCAAAAAAAAAAATAAATAAAAAAAATTATCGTTGAGGATTCATTATTTTTTTAGCTCAGCAAACAACCCATACACGCACAAAGATACGGCGCTCTATGAGTGTGTGCGTGCCTGTGTGTCGTCACTGCGAATGAAATCATCAAAAAATAAGAGGGGTTTTTTAATCTTTTTTTAGCCAAATGCAGCCGGAATCCATTGATTTATTACGTAATTCCCACTTATTTCACTTGATATCTGTTTAATGGCAGCTCTTTGGTTTAACTTTTATGACGTTTTTGCTGGTAGTTGGCGATATTAATTTCCATCAGGGGCGTTTATTTTTTTATTTTGATTTGCTCTCTCTCGCACACTTGTGGAGTTGCTTACTCACACACACTCACATACACAAACACTTCGCACACACGCAGTTATTACAGATATTTCGTACTCAATACCGTTATTCGCTGAATAAGCAAATAAGCACTTTTCGGTCAAAAAAAATACTAGCTGCAGCAGCCAGAAGACCGCCAATCGGAGGCAACAATTGGTATTTGATTAAACTAATAATTACTGCTTTGTCCGCAACTTCGTCCAGTGTGACTCGACGTGACCTAGGGATGTATCAAAATATCATTATATCGATATTTAAAAATAATATATATATATCGATATATTTTCGTAAGCATCTGAATGCCGATATGTTTATAATTATAAAGCATAGTATCCAGATCGACAAACGATTACGCTAGCGTAAAAACTTTAATCTTTCCAGTGTGACCAAAATTTTGAGCGTTCATCAGATTTAAGCGTGCTACGTTCGTACTGTCAATCAGCTGGGTTTGTTGACGAGCAGTTAAAATTCAAATATCGTATTTGCGGGAAAGAGCCTTTAAAAGATATTATCAAATACCTTGGCAAGACAAGTCTGCCGCTGTACAAAGAAATTAAAAAACAATACAATTTAAAATTAACAGTTCTTTTTTTTAATTTACTGATAATTATTTGCTAATTTAAAGTTCATAGCTGCACTTTTATTGTGTCTTTTCGTACATTCTGGACCTAAAAAACATTTTGCTCTGACAAGAGGCACCCCAGATAGTATTAATATTATTTTGTCCTCACATGTAAACACCTGCAATCGTCTTTTGTGAGTTTTTTGAGTTTTTCCCTCCATTTCTTATAATGTTCAGTGAGAAGCGCACGCCAAAAGATTACATTTTTTAACCTTTCGCTAGGGTTCACCCAAAGTTCATTTCCGCAAACTGGCAACGCTATGGAATTTTCTGGTATTTTTTCGTCAATCTGTGGACCGACGTGAAAAAAAGGCCCGACGAAAAGTGAACGCCAGCTGTTTGCCTCTCACTCTCTCTCATGACTAGCGTACGGTTTTCGTCGATCTGGATACTAGGCTTAAAGCCTGATACTCAGATCGACGAAAAATGTACGCCAGTCATGAGAGAGAGAGCTAGAGGCAAACAGCTGGCGTTCACTTTTCGTCAAGGTTTTTTTTACCTCGATCCTCAGATCGACGAAAAAAATACCAGAAAATTGCATAGCGTTGCCAGACTGCGGAAATGAACTTTGGGTGAACCCTAGCGAAAAGATTAAAAAATTTAATCTTTTGGCGTGCGCTTCTCTCTGAACATTATAAGAAATGGAGGGAAAAACTCAAAAAACTCGTATGAAAAAACACAATAAAAATTCAGCTATGAACTTTAAATTAGCAAATAATTATCAGTAAATTAAAAAAAACAACTGTTAAATTTAAATTGTATAGTACTCAGATCGACGAAAACTGAGCGCCAGTCATGAGAGAGAGCGAGAGGCAACAGCTGGCGTTCACTTTTCGTCAGGCCTTTTTTTCACATCGGTACTCAGATCGACGAAAAAATACCAGAAAATTTCATAAATTGTCTATCTTTACCAGATTTACATCTTTATTTCTGATATTTTTAAGATTGATTAATTGATGTAAAACTTGAAAATATGAATAATAATACATTTATTTCTAAATTCAAAATAATTAAATTTTGATAGCTAAATTTAAGTAGAAAATCCTAGTGCAGACCTTATCGATAAATACTCATAATTTCGTTACTGGTACGGTATATTTTTTGACGTTCCCGCACACTGTTTCGAAGCGTGGTGTTGTTGTTAGTGTTACAAAGGTAACATTTTATGGGGCGATTTCCGCGGTGAAAAGTAAGGAATATTGCTTGAAAACCAATGAAAAGCCCCGCCAAAAAAAGGCTTAATAAAAAACACGGAATAAAGACGGAAATTCAGAGGAGTAAATAAAACCGGAGGGGCACGCCATCGTAAAATCGTCGCACCGCATTCCGCGCTCTCAGCGCCATTTTGTTTCGCTTGTTACGTTTAATTCATCGTGCATTTTTTCATGCGCCGTGCGCTCTCGCTCGTTTGCTTACACGTCGAAATATGAAAATTCACCACCAGAGCGAGAGTGCGGCGGCGGCTCTCTCTTGCAATCGCTCTTTTCACCACACACGCACACCCTCACGTTAGCACGCTCTCTCCCTTGCTGGGTCTAGCCGTCGCATTCGTACATGACCACCCTGTGCAGTGCGTTAGAGCGGCTCAGCTGCATAGAGCAGGCGCGTGCGCCTCGTGCCTGTTGTCCGTGTGTTAGTGTGTATTCGCATTTTCAGTAATTTCGAAAAAAAACTTTTGTATATTTGATGGCGACGGCGACTGCGACTGCTTTACTCACAAGAAACTCGCGCGTTTGTCGAAAATCGTAGCGCGTACGTATATATCGGTGTGTAGAAATTACTAAAAAATTGTGGTAAAAAACGCCAAAAATTATATAAATTTGTGTTCGGTGTGAAGTGCTAATAGCGGGGCATACGTTGGATATGGAAAATTTGTGAAATTCCAACGATTTTAGCGCCAAAAAATGCATTTGAAAAATGTGAGACTTCAATGGACATGACAATTTTTTTCTTCTTTTTTTTCGGTGGTGGAACAAAAGCGAACGAAAGAGGAGAAGAAGAAGCAGAATCGCTCGTCAGTGTGTGTGTGTGTGTGAGGGTATGAGGGCGAACGTGTGTGTAGTCACTAAGTGAATAATATTAACAAAAAAAAAAGGGAAAAAGAGGAATACACACGCAGAAGCGCGCGAAAAAGTTTCACTAAAAAAAAAGAAACAAAAATACAAGTGCTAGCTCTGGTTGTTTCTCGCAAGCAAAACTAACGTACACATTGAAAATCTATAATTTTCGATTTTTTTATTGCATTATTTGATTTTGCGGTTTTGCGGCGCCGTCTGTAACGTAAGCATGCCGTTACGTAGCTTTACGTTGTGCGGTGACGTATAGAAGATCGTTTACGTTATGGGTTAAGTTGTATTTGTCGCTGGGGATTTCTCAATCTCTCTCCTCGAGCTGTCTCGCGCGCGCGAATCAAAAATACAAAAATATAGTGCCAAATAAAGTGATTTTTTGTTTTTATTTTTACAGTTGCACCTTTTTAACAGTCGTGTACAATCTGTATGTTGTATATGTTCAATTTAAATACAACAACAATAGCAACAACGCAACACAGTTTTAAACAAAAACAAAATCGACAAGCTAAACTTGGCTAATACAACGACTACCAGCACACAGCTACAACAACTATAGCAACAAAAACATCAGCAGCACGCAGCCATAAAACAAGTCAAAACCAAAAAATCATTCGGATTAATATCGCTTTTAAAACGGATAAACATCAACAAGAACGTGTGGATTTCACCAAAAAATAACACGAAGGAAATGTAAGTTACAAATGTGCAGCGCACGTGGCTTTTGCCTCGCCTCTCTTTACCGCCCCCCGCCCACACAATGAAGGAAAATTATCTAAGCGTGCCTTTTTGGTTTTTCTATATTTGTCTCAAATACTATTAGCATTTTCTCTGGGTTTTGACGTTTTGCTTTTAGGGGTCAGCAACCCTGAAATTGAAAAATGACAGCTACCCTTTGCCTGGTTTTAAAACTCCATCAAAAACCCTTTTCCAATAAAATTTAAGATTTTTCACTATTTAAACATTAGTTAAGATTTTATTATTTGCGATTTTTTGTCTTGATCTGTGTTAAATTTAAGTGTTTGCTCTTCAATATGCAAAAAAAAAAACAGCTTGGCTTTTTTAAAGTTTTTGTTCTAATATAAATAGCATCATTACAATTTAAATAAATATCATAAATAATAAATACAATCAAATAAAGTTTTACCATACATACAGGTAAAATTAAGAATTTCAAATAAAATTTAATATATATTGATGCTGTGACTAGTTGTGAACTCACTTCTGAAGATTTTAAATATTATTGGGGATTAAAAAAAATTGTTTGATATTGTTTTGTAAAGAATAATATAAAAAATATAATACAAATTAAAAATGGCCTAGAAATATGCGTTTGATATTTGTTTATATTTTTTTTATGAAAAGCTGAAATCAAGCTTAAGTTTTTTTTAAGGACTTTTTTCTTCATGCATTGCATATTTTATTAGTTTTAGGTGAACATTTTAGTTTTGCATCCTCCAGATCTTCTCTATTTTTCATGGATTTCCTTTGCTCTCACTTCTCTTTTGTTTTTTTTTACCGGCATGTGGAATACTAGTTTATTCGTATTGGGTTTTTGTTATGCTCTCATTTAAGTGTAATTGTTGCGGCTGCACTTTTGCTAAGTTGGCGCGTAAATAGGATAGGCAAACGCAATTCGTTTGTTTACTTGTCGGGGCGCAAAATTGAAGATATGTTTATCGTAAATAAGCGCAAAATAGCGGTGAGACATGCGGCTCTCTCTCGAATTGAATTCATTGATGCTTTTTGGGTGACTTTGCTCTTCATTTTTTGCTGCTTCATCTGCGGCTGCTGCTTCTTCTGAATTTGCTGCATGTTGCCATGTAAACCGGCTTTAAATTCGTGCCACTATTAGCACGATTTATTAACCTAGAGGCAGCTCCCCTTTTTCCCTCACCACTTTTGCTTCCTCTCTTTGTGCAGATACACAGCGAGACACTAAAATCAACAACTCTACTCTCTTCTTTCGAATGCCACACACACTGGCACACATGCCGCCATATTTGCATTTGGCTACGTATTACGTAGGACCCCTATTGTTATCTCGCTCTGGCGCACGCTTTGCCAGCTGCAACTTTCAGCAGAGAGTGTGTTTTAGTATTTGTGCTAGTGTGTTTTACTTCAGTATTTTATTTATTTAAATAAAATTTATATATTGCTCGTAGTTCAAGTGCATGGATATTTAAAGAGGATACAAATAACAATATTTAATTAATAAGTGGTCGGTCAATAGGTTTGGCAATGAAGGTAAATACAAAATAGGTTGTCCTCCCCATTTTGCTGCTACAAACTGTTGACCTTTGTTTGTTTGTTAAAGAGGAAATGAGTTTTAGTTCTTGATTATTAATGAAGGGATTAAAAATGGGATGTGTATCTATATATAATATTAATTAAATAGCGGCCTCTTCAAAATAGCGATTCCCAATTTCCATTCCATTTCCAATGCATGCCGTTGCTGTCTCTGCTTCTTCTTCCGCCACACTTCTGCTTCTTCCTCTTCTCTACGTCATCGTATCGTTCTACGTGAATTTCTGTTGAAAACTCAAAGTCTACTGTACTACATAATTACAACCGCTCTCGCGCGCGCTCTCTCTCTCTCTCTTCTGCCCCTGTGTTTGTGTGAGTGCCAGTTAATGTTTTGTTTTGTTGTGGGAGCGAGAGAGAGCCCCCCCTACCTATTGTGTATTTAATATTTGTTATTCCTAAAATTTAAATTTTATTTGTGGCGAGTTTAGAATGGGCCAGATACGTCATAATAATTGTCTGGCCTTGCTATCTACCTTCGTTTGTATTCGTTCTTCTTCCGCTTAATTTACGTCACTAACGCACGTACAAACACACACACTTTCGCATACGCACACTTGGCAACTAACAAAAACACAGTGGGCTAAAATGGACAATTAAATGCAACTTTGAAAATACAGCTGATCACAGTAAAGCATAAAGTGAAAGCCATCGAAAAAAAAGAGAGTATCAAAAATCGCTTGCCGGCCGGCGCCACACACAAGTGGATTAGTGTGTGTGCGAGTGTAAATAAATTCGCAACATCAACAAAAACTCTCTGGTGGGCCAATAAACAATTCGGGACTATGAAGCGAAGCCAAATGTTTGTGCTTGACCTACAGATTAAAAGTTAATATAAACAATAAACAAAGCAAATTCAAAACAAGGAATATTCTAATCAAAACTGTCCAATGGATTTTTATGTGCAACTCAAATGCAATTTGTACCACTGTCAATTTGGAATATCGGAAAAAGGCAAACTATTAAATTTTGTGACTGTGTATGTGTGTGTTCTTCCTCTTTCTTCACACCTCTCCCTCTCTCTATCATCCTTTCTCATAGCCTCATTTAGTTGAGGGTGATAAATAAAATGTGAAAAAACGTAGGAAAGTAGGAATTACGTGCTTTTTATTGCCTTTTTGGCATGCCGTTTGCAGTAGCGCTGCAACAACAACAAACAAAGCGAATGAATCATGCCGAGTGACAAGAATTCAACTTTTAAAAAAGGCGGCGTGGTGAATTTCGTTCAATGCAAACACAACACACGCCGAATCCGTGACACTGCGTGATTGTGTAGTCATTTTTGTCCTATGAGTGAGTTGGTTAAACTTTGATTCAGTATGTGCATTTGCATTAATGTATATTTATTGTGTTTATTAAAGGTTTTTTTTTAATTTTTAAAATTTATTTTGCAGCATTTGGCGTGCGCCATTTGTCCGCTTTTTGTAGTTCTTTGATTCACAAGTGCGAGCGAGACAGCTCTATGTGTGATCTCTGCCTGTGTGCGAGTGTGTGAGCCGGGTGCTCTCTCACTTTTCGATATTCGAAAATGAGAGCGCCGCTCACAGTCTATTTTTTCTCTCTGCGGCCTGTTTGCCTCTTCTCTATTTTTGCTGTTGCTGTGAGTGCCAAAACGGCGGCAAAGTAACTACTCACGACCAAACGGTGGAAGGGAAAAACTAAACGAAAACCGCAAAAAAACGGCTAAAAATAACGTTGGAATCTATAGCCAAACGCATAAACTAATAAACACAAGGAATATTGCTCAGCAAGTGAATTGATTGCTATTAAAAAGTGCCCGGAATTGATTGTTTTGCACTTGGCTTGTGTGTGTGTATTTTGTCGTTCTCTGCGTTTTCTGCTTCTTTCCGTGTCTTCTGTTTTGTGTTTTCCCTTTTCCGTTTTCCTGCCGCCTCTGCATATTCTACATAGATTTGCTGTCGCATTTGTTTATGGCAACCGCCGCAGTTTGTAATTGTTATTTTTGTTTCTGTTTTTGTGCGCCCCTTATTTATTTTTTGTTTATGTAACCCTTGGAGGAGTGTTGTGAAATGCAAATCCCACGACCAGAGTTGCGAAATATCCGAATATGCCGGCTAACTTTGATACTTTCTTTTGCAGATTTATAGCTGCTGCTACGCTTGTGAATTGCCAATAATAAAGGATTAAAACAACAATGCCGCCAATAACTGTCGTAGTTGTCAAATCCATGGCTCTTAAATCAGCTAAAGCCAGTCGATTCCAATGAGAGGAGCCTGGGCCCTGAGAATCTGGAGCAGGCGAGGTGAGTACCATCCTCTAAAGGCTCCTTACAACTATACTTACACGTTATTTACTCTATAAACTATAGTGCACAGACGTTGCTGAGTATGAAGCAACCACTACGGACCACTACGCATCATTATCCCTCGAACAAGAAGAGATTTCTATCAAAAACCAGAACAGGAGCAGCCGGATTAGGAGCTAAGAAAACGATAGGCGGAGGAGGATCACCAGGAGTAGGAGTCGCAGGAGCAGGCGAATCCAGTCACAGAAGGAGAAGGTGGTTATCGGCCACATAAGACTAGTCCCTCCCCCCTTCCCCCAACCCACTAAAACACCCCTTCCCTCAAATTACCCATAAAAAAGGAAGCTCAAAAGAAAGGCAAATCGGAGGACACAAGGAGGAGCGCAGGAGAAGACGGAGACGGCCCGTGTGTGTGTGTGTGTAGGTGGAGTGTGTGTGTCGGCCGTCTCAGTCGGATAACCATCAACCCAGATCCTCAATCCCAAGACCCACATCCCAAACTGAAGCACCAGAACCACCACGAGAACCACCACCACCATGTCGTCCAGTGAGCCACCGCCTCGCTACGAGCCACCCGTGGAGCCAGTCAATGGCATTGTACAGCCACCGGTGATGCCGCCAGCGGAGCGACCCGGCCGCAATACGAACCAATTGCAATATCTGATCAAGACGGTGATGAAGGTGATATGGAAGCACCACTTCTCGTGGCCCTTTCAACAACCCGTCGATGCCAAGAAGCTTAACCTGCCCGACTACCACAAGATCATCAAACAGCCCATGGACATGGGCACGATTAAGAAGCGTCTGGAGAACAACTACTATTGGTCTGCCAAAGAGACCATACACGACTTTAACACGATGTTTAACAATTGCTATGTCTACAACAAGCCCGGCGAGGATGTCGTTGTGATGGCCCAGACCCTCGAGAAAGTCTTTCTCCAGAAGATTGAATCGATGCCCAAGGAGGAGCTTGAACTGGAGCCGGTTACGGCTAAGGGTGGCAAGAAGAAGCAACGGGCGCCGGCTACGCCCAAATTATCGTCATCTTCCGGTGGCGCTGGAGCATCCACCGGTTCTGGTATGGCCTCCTCGGCGGCAGTTAGCAGCGGAGCAGGTAGTGGCTCCTCCAAAGTGTCAGCCGCCGCCTCTTCCGCGCAACAGTCCGGCCTGCAAGGAGCGACAGGAGCGGGAGCTGGTGCGGTGAGCACACCAGGATCCCAGGCGAGTTCCGGTGCCGGAGGAGCAACTGCTGCCCGACCCGTATCCGCCATGGGCGGCACGGTTTCATCGACGGCCGGCGGTGCACCGTCCATACCACCGATTAGCACAATGCCACCGCACACGGTACCCGGCAGCACCAATACGACGACGACGGCGTTGGCCGGCGGCGCTGGTGGAGCAGGTGCAGCGTCTGCCAATACCAATGCCGCCGCCCTGATGGCCAGCCTCCTGAATGCAGGTCAAACGGGTGCCTATCCCGGCGCCCCGGGCCAGACAGCGGTCAATAGCTCCTCGCTTCTAGATGGCAGAACAGCCGCAGCAGCGGAGGCAGCAGCGGCAGCGGCGGCGGCGGGAGCGGGTGGTGCAGCGGGAGCCGCTGGTGGAGCAGCGGGCGCAGGAGTGACAATACCAGCCGTAGCCGTCAATGCCGCCAACGCCGTGCAGGCCTATGTGAGTTCGGGCGTGAGCGTTGGAGTTGACGCCGTGATACCGCCGCAGCAGCCTGCCAAAATCAAGAAGGGTGTTAAGCGAAAGGCGGATACCACCACGCCTACGGCCAATGCCTTCGAATCGCCGTACACGCAAATGGACTCCAAATCGGCCAAGATTGCGACGCGGCGGGAGTCGAATCGTCAGGTAATTGGCAAGAAGGTAAGAGTAACGGGCATCACCAGTCGTATGAGTATGATCCTAGTCCCCAAAAAGCTTGTAAATATTCAGGAGCCACAGTTTTCAGAGTACTTTGTTTGCAACTATATCATTGCCAAAACATTGAGTTTGCAATTTCACAACTTTTGATGTAACCAATTCATAACTTAAATGTTGATCGATTTATGTATTCAAAATTCCAACTTCTGGCAGCAAATCACTATAGTTTTAAAAATTCCACAATCATAAATATATTATTTCAAAATTGAATTGGAAATACAACTTAAAATTAAACATGTTTAATAATAAATAACATTAAAAATACATTTTGGTTTCATTTGGATATAAAAAACATCCAACATTCTTATTTGTCACACTGAATTTTCTAAGTTTCTAATGTCGTATTCCAACAAAAGTCTGATCACTATATTTATTTGCCTAGTTCATTATTTAATTTAGCCAATCTGATCATTTGTAATTCTTTTTTTTCAAATTTATTAAATTGTACAATTCCTAATGCACAACAACAATCGATTAAATCATACACAATACGCCGTCCTGCCTTTTACTCGAAAACCATTTCATATATTTGTAAATAAAGCGACATGCGAGAGGGGATTTGATTTGACCTGTAACATCCGATGTCAACTCCCATCCGCATGATCTGCGATCACTTCTTTTAGAACCATTGGATTTTTTTCGATGCTAACCCCAAGCCGCTTTTTGCTTGTTTTATTTTCTTTTCTTTTCTTTTGCATTGATTTTGCTTGCACTCAACCAATCAATCGATTGATCAAATCAACACCACCAACCACACCAATCAACCAACAACACCACCAACAACAAACCACCAATAAATCAACTCATCAAAAACCAAAACGATGGGTTCTTCTGAATCACAGGATCTTACATTCCAGGGCTCGGGATACAACATGTCGCCGCTGGGCGTCTCCGGAGTGCCCGGACTTGGCGGTCTGGTTGCCGGTGGCGTTGCGGGTGTTGCGGTGGCCAAAAACAAGGAGAAGCTATCGGATGCGCTCAAATCGTGCAACGAGATCCTTAAGGAGCTCTTCTCGAAGAAGCACTCTGGCTATGCCTGGCCCTTCTACAAGCCCGTAGACGCAGAAATGCTAGGTCTGCACGACTACCACGACATCATCAAGAAACCGATGGATCTGGGCACTGTCAAGCGGAAAATGGACAATCGCGAGTACAAGAGCGCGCCGGAATTTGCCGCCGACGTGCGATTAATATTCACCAATTGCTACAAGTACAATCCGCCAGACCACGATGTTGTGGCCATGGGCCGCAAGCTACAGGACGTCTTTGAGATGCGCTACGCCAACATCCCCGACGAGCCGGTGGCCAATTCGGCCCACCATCATGGCCATGGCCACGGGCATGGTCACGGTCACGGTCACAGTCACGGGCATGGCCACGGACATGGGCATGGCCACGGGTACGGCGGCTCCTCCTCACTCAAGCACGATGCCAGCGATTCGTCCAGCGAGGACTCCAGCGACACGGAAAACGAATCCAACTCGGACGAGGAGCGGAGCGCTAAGCTGAAAATGCTTGAGTCCAAGTTGCTCGGCCTGCAGGAGGAGATCCGAAAGCTGTCCGAGGAAGCTTCGGCCAAAAAGAAGGCGAAGAAGAAACTTAAGGAGAAGAAGAAATCAATGGTCGGCGGCTCCGGCTCCGGTTCGGCCTCTCATCATGGTCACGCCTCGGGCGTCGGTGCAAGCGCTGGCGGAGCAGGCGGCACCGGTTCGGGCGGCCATGGGGGCGGTGTCTCGGTGCCGGGCGGTGTCGGCGCCATGGGAGCTGGTGGACCGGGCAGTGCTAGTCTCAACGCACTGCTCAGTGGTTCGTTGGTTGGCCCAGGCGGAGGAGCCATCGCCGGCGGAGTTCCCAATGTGGCGGCCCTGCACAGCCAGGTCCATGACGTGGCCATGGCCTTTAACCAGCTGGCGGGCGGCGGTGCCGCGGCCGGTGGCGGCTTTGGTGGCGGAGTGACTGCAGCGGGAGCTTCAACGGGCGGCAAGGCGGGCACCCTGGCCGGCGCTCTGGCAGCGGGCGCGGCGGCGGGCGCTGGCGGTACAACGGCTGGCAGCGGCAGTGGCAGCAGTAAAGGTGCTAAGAGCAAGGGCGGACGTGGCGCTAAGGGCAGCGGCGCCGGCGGCGTTGGAGCTAGCAATAATTCCGCTGCGGGCAATGCGGCAGGCGGTGCGGCGGGAGCTGCAGCGGGCGCTGGTGCCATTGGAGCCGTTGGCAGTGCAGGAGCAGCAAGCGGCGGTAATGCCTCCAAACGGGCCAAGGGCAGCAGTTCGGCAGGCGCTGGCGGCGCTGTTGGCGGTGCGAATGCCAGTACCGGTGGCGCTGGAGCGCGCGGCAGCAGCAAGAAGAAGCCTAGCCAGGTGATGAACTTTGACTCCGAAGAGGAGGATACGGCCAAGCCAATGTCGTACGATGAGAAGCGCCAGCTGTCGCTCGACATCAACAAGTTGCCAGGTGAGATGATAAAATATTGCTGTATTTATATTTTAAGTTAGGAAGCACACAAAATAGAAAAGTATATAGTTGATTTCTTTAATTATGTCACTGTTGTGAGTTATTTCGTATCTTTATAAAAATCAACAGTACAAATACGTAATTTTTAGGAAATAGACAATAGGGTTGCATATAATAAATACTTACAGAAATGGAATTCGAGCTATGGTAAAACGTATGGTAAATTATAGACTATAATCCACCCCACCTCATTTAAAGCGCCACTAATAACCAATTCCGTTTGCAGGTGACAAGTTGGGCCGTGTGGTACACATCATCCAGAACCGGGAGCCATCGCTGCGTGACTCCAATCCCGACGAAATCGAGATCGACTTCGAGACGCTGAAGCCGTCGACGCTGCGCGAGCTTGAAAGCTATGTGGCGTCGTGTTTGCGCAAAAAAACACGTAAGCCATATTGTAAGTTTGTAACTAAACCGAGACCACAACAAAAGCCAAAGCAAATGCAAAAGCAAAAGCAACAGCAAAAGCAAAAGCAGCAAGAACGGCAAAAGCTAATGAAAGAAAAAGAGAAAGATCCAAGACCCATTATAAGAGTCAAGTTAGGAGCACAACAAGAGCCATTAGACAACAAAAATCTATACATCCAAATTAAATTCGAAATACATTTTTAGTGCAAGATCAAAAATAAGAAGAGAGAAACAAATTTCCGTTTTGGCTTTGCTGACTGCGCTTCCAAATTTGATTTTAATTTCGAACCGAAAACCGTAGTGGTCATGTTTAGTTAGTTAAACTCAAAAAAAATAGCAATTAAACTGCAAATCCGTATGATTAAGTTTTTTAACACTCGAGGTCCTACCGATAAACTGTCTGTAGTTAGCAAGTGCATGCAAAAAAAGAAAAAATAAACCCTTTCCCTTTCCTCAAGTAGCTTGTGAATGCTGTAGAAGTGCCGATGTGTTAAAGAAATCTTTTAAGTTTTCAAAATTCTTTGGGTGCTTTAAGTAAGCTAATGGTGCGAACTTTAAGATACCTCTTGATATAGTATTTTGAATCTCAAGAGATTTTTATAATGCCGCTGATAGAGATATTGCCGCTTTACCTTTTTTCCCGCCCAAACTTTTGAGTACATTTTGTTTCGAGCATGAATCTATATCCTGCCTATTGATCTTTCACATCTCTTCGCCTTTGGAAATCAATCCGGATATAAACGATCAAACCTCTTTCCGTCTCGCAGATAAAAAGCCTTCCGGCAAGTCGAAGGACGAGCAGATGGCGGAGAAAAAACAGGAGCTGGAGAAGCGCCTGCAGGACGTCACCGGCCAGCTGGGGGCAAGCAAGAAAACCACCAAGAAAGGTATGTATTATGAAGATGAGGCGGTTAACCTGCAGATGCGGTCAAAAATAGGGTGTTTACTTGTAGGGTGTTTACTTGTAACATAGGCTTTGTCTCTCATTATCTGAATCGTAATACGTACAAAGTACCTATGAAAATGTATCTTTAATAAATATATCCTTATCGGGTCAAGTGGATAAAGAATTCGAAAAAAAGACCCTAACTGAATAGCCACCCCATTTAAACTTCAATTCAGCGATACTAATATTCCATTTTCTTTATTTTCTCACAGATGAGTCCGCTACAAACAAGGTCGAAGCAGTGCAGCCGGCGAATCCCGTGTCGTCGAGTTCCAGTTCCAGCGATTCATCGTCGTCGAGTTCGAGTGATAGCAGTTCGAGTGACTCGAGCGACAGTGAAGCAGGTTAGGACGCGTTTTGTTTGTTTGTTTTATTTTATACAACTTTTTTTTGATTAGTATACATAGAGATATGCAAATATAAATATATATATATATATAGATGCGTTGTTTAAGAAGCAAACAACAGAACTCACTAAACACACATACGGAAACCGATACCGACTCAGATACAGATTCAGATTCAGATTGAGACAGACTCACACAACTCTAGACCGCATCATTTTTATTATATTATCGTTTAACATTTCAGACCTAAAAACATAACGCTGAGGGGCGGGCGGGCTTGGCATAAATTAGAGAACAGAAGATTTGAACGATATGAAAAGTCTAGGATCTAGGAAAACCCATTAAAACCTGTTGAAAATGTAAAAATATATAAACAAATTAAATGAAAACGAAAGGATGAGCTAATACTTAAGTCGCACAGAATCAGGAGATTTGAACAGAGCGATTGGCTTAATTAATTCAATTGGATATAGGTTTATCTAGTTATATTTTAATAACTACCCCATTAGCACACGAAAAAATGTATGCCAATACGGTTATATGTAGAGTTTATTGATTGTGTTTTCTGCTTAACATTTGTTTTTATCAATTTTTAAGTTAGTTTCAAAAACCCACACAGACACGCACATCCACACTGACATTTGAAATAGAAGGAGACAGAAAGAGACAGAGAGTTAGGGGGATAGAGCGAGAGGGGAAATTATGGGGGTATTACTGCTTTTAAAGACCGACTGACCAAGCTATCCCGCTCACACACACACACGAAAACCCACTCCCCTGTCTCGCTCTAACCGAGCATTTTTAATTTATTGAAGTTAGCGCATTTTGTTTATGTTTTTGTGTGCTAAACAACAACAAAACAAATTAACAGGACGGCCCCAGATCAAAAACAAAACATCTCCATTTTCCAACCGTCTGATTTGAATAGCCCAAAAAAAAAAAAAATCCAACTCTGGTAATTTAAAAGTTTTTTTTTTTTTTTTTTTATACAAACATGTGTTTTTTTTAAGAATGCCCAAGAACCAAGTTCGTGACAAAGTGCAATATGCATTTACTCTAAGACAAAAAATGCACAAGGATATATGGAATTAAGCAACGTAAATTGGAAAATGAGAAAAAATCCTCAGTTAAATTGATATTTAAATGAATTTTATTTAGATATTGCAATAACAAACTTAGCCAGTCACACCCATATAACATGCAAACATATTGAAAATTAAAAGTTGAATGCAGAGTTGTTAAACAAATTTGCTGACAAACAGATGAACTGAACAGAGGTTTTTGTTTCAATTCGCACTTGATCCGAATAAGAGTTGGCTTTTGGGCTATACCAATATCAGACGGTTGGAAAGAACTCATAAAACCATAACACCTTTACTCATTTTTACGAAGCAGCTACACAAAACACCGACAAACAACATGAACACAACGTCAAAACTTTATATAATCGATATATATATATATATATCTATATATAAAAATCTAGGTCTAGTATATACTTAATTATATATACACACCCACACACACACATATATCATACTTAAGCATTTGTAGGTATTAAACGAATTGTATATGTAAATGAAAAAATGAGAAAACAAATCTTACACAACACACATACACAACTATCTAAAATGAGAATAATAAGAGAAAAACACACTCTTTACTACTTTAAGTCTTTTTTGAAAAAACAAAAAAAAAAACAATTCTTAAAAAAATAACAAGAAAAACCTTATTATTACCAATATTATGATTATTATTATTATTATGATTATTATGAGAATATGCTGAAAAAATCGTGAAGCAATTGTGTATTGGGGGCAGCCAATCTGAAAAAGAAAGTAATTAATTCCAACTCCAACCAACCAATCAATCAACCAACCAAACCAAAACCAACCAATCGAACCAATCAACCAAATCAAAACTCCATCAATCTACAAAACAGCAGAGCAACAATGCATGATTTGACAAAAGATCAACGAATAAATCGAAATAAAAACGTATCATCCACACTCCACACACATGATTAACCTTCAGTTACCCATTATCAGTATATCCTTTAGAGGCAGCTTGGGAGCAAATTCCTTCATCGGTCATCATCATTATATCCCCAATCCCTCCCACGACAAAAAAACAAAAACTTAACTGATCAAGGATTTTGCATTCTACTCACTAGACCACCATTAAGCGTATTAACCACAAGGCGTAATCGGATGAATTTTCTCCGCCGACTTTTCAAGGGTTAAAACCTCATAGTCCCCGAAACGAATACTTCTGTGCCAATTTCATATATTTTCTAGTCTTATTTCTTGATAAATCAAAATTAACTAATCCTGAACTCACTCACGACGAATCTTCTTCATCCAGTCTGTAATTGAAATACGAGTGATATATGTTTTTTTGAGAAAGCTGGACAACACAGTCACACGCACACACAAAACACCTACACAACCTCACTGAACTATATGTAAAATATAATAATAATGAAAATGAACAATAACCATAACCATAAAAATATGAAATTTCTAACAAAATTTAATGAACCAAAAATGCAAGCAAAAATACCATATATGTCTAAAGTATGCAAAAAAAAACCTATAAAATCCTCGATACACTTGCAGACAATGTGTAAAAAAAAAAGAAAGTATGAAAAGCTTTGAAAAGATATGGAAAGAAAACACCGAACCACAAACAAAAAAATTGTAATTAAAATAAACAACGTAAGGAACGAATACGTAAGAAATGTATGACAGAGAAAAAACACAGAGAGAAAGAGAGTAAAAGAGGGGGGAATCACTCAAAATTAAAGCTAAGAGGGCACAGATAAAATAGAGGGCTACTTCAACTAACTTCTAATTAAGTCCGCTGACAAATGTGAATGTTAAATTTGATGTTATTAATTGTTTAAACGTTTTTAACCTTAAAACAAAATATAGGCGTTTCCAGTCGGAATGAAAAGAATTGGAACACGGCAATTAGCACAATTCGCGAACTTTAGCTCGCATTATCACTTAAATTCTAGAATTGCCTAATATCTCTCTGTATATCATTAATTCGTGGTTAATTATTTGTTGTTGTCATTAACTTTATGTGTATCAATGTGGGAGAACCGTCATCCGAAAAACAAGAAATACTTCCAGCTTACTTCCAAAAAGACTCCATGAGTAAAAAACCAAAAAGACAGCTTACCAATAAATAAAATAAAAACCAATAAAACGGATCAAATATTGAAAATATCAAAAATCAACTAACGGGAGTAAAAAAAAAAACGATTACTTAACGAGGGGGTAACGGTATCGGGTCCACTTTCCATCTGAATATACTTTTTTTTTCTATCTCTCTCTGTGTCTTTGTCACTGTGTCTGTCTCTGTCTGTAGTAGTAACGGTATATCGGTATGAGAGAAGCGGATCGAATCGGAATGGAAAAAAGCGTTACTTATAGAGTCTTTTGCTCTATAGCTCTAAACTCCAACTAGTTCTATGTACATAGCTATATTCACATATATGTATGCTATACATGATCAAAAGAGGTATAAAACAAAAACAACTACAAAAAAGAAAACAAATAATTAAATGTATTTGAAAGCATTTTATTATTTATTTTTCGGCTGTCGGCTTTCCCCTTTACACATTGTTTGCACGTTTTTTTCAAAAAAAATATATATATATTATATTACGAAAATATACAGAAAAAAAAGAAATGCATAGAAGAGAAGAGGAGGAAGATTGATGATATGATGATGATGAGATGATAATGCAATGCAAATAAAGAAAATTTAATTAAACAAATTGCATAAAATCAATTTAAATATAAATTTTTACTATTAAATTAAATCAAATGAAAAGCGCAAGGAGGAAAACGAAATGAAACAAAAACCAACAATAATAATGATAAACGACAACAAACAAATCCACACGAAACAAAATGTAACAATATTTAATTTCAAATCGTAAAACTCAACGGTCAAAAAGCGAAGCGATAAAAACATGAAGTTAAGAATAGAGCCAAGCAGTGTAGACACCGAGAAAGTCAAGAATGTTGCATTATTTAACCACAGATTAGTTTTAGAATTACATTTTTGTTTTTAAACGCAATTGCCTGTTTTTTAGGGTCCGAACTTTTTTGTATTGTACGTAATATAGTAGCTCTTGTACTTTCTTTAGCGAGGTCAAAGCACCCCGTAAACGCCTTCTCCATCCAATTAACCCCATATTGAAATTGTTTTGTTGTAAGCCTAACTTCTTGTGTTTTTGTATAGCCTGTAGTTAAAGAAGGAAAATAAGAGCGGATATACGCAAAGCACCAACTTTTACACACATGTAAACACGCTCAAAAAGTCTTGTAAGAATAATAAAAACAATTTCCGTAAAGAACGTTGTGAGCAGAAAACATTAAAATCAAAACAGAAAAAATAAAAAAAGTGCATTTTTGGTTTCAATTCGCGCAGGCGTCTCACACAAAAATGATTTAAAAAGGACGAAATAAAATAAAATATAAAATAAAATAAACGCAAGGATAAATAGTAAAAATCTTAGGGAAAGGAAGAAAGTAGAGGGAGTAAGATGAACGAAGAAAGAATAAGAGCGGACAACGCGAACTACGTAACGTAACCCGACTCACGAACACAAATACAAACAAACCAATACAAACACATTTAGAATTATGAAAAACACACGCATACATTTAAATATTTATAGTAAAAACAATAATAATATTTATTATTACAAAATGGCAGCTGCGGTTGCAGCAGCGAAACAACAACTAAACTAAAATAAAAAAACGCAATGAATATAACAAACAAAAATGAAAAATGAGAAAAGAAAATGTTTATTAAAAAAAGAAAAAAAGAAAAACTAATTGTGTGTTTCCTCATTACCCCTAAAAATCCATTTCTATTCACAGAGGAGAAATAATTTAACGATAAAAAAAGAAAGTAACGATTACTTTAGAAACCCGATAACACATATCGATTGGAGCCCCGTTGGTTGGTTTGGTTGCGATTATCCTTTATCCCCCATTAATTTTCCTGGTGCAAAAAAGGTGGTCTGGCCGTTTTTTTTTTAGTTCATTTACAGTTTAGATATTGAAAATAAAGCACAGAGGGAGTGGGCGGAGAAAGGGAGATAGACAGAGAAGAGAAGAAAGAGCGCCGAAAAGCGGCTGCTCGCTCATCCACCAAACTCCAAAAACCACCACAACGAAAACCCACCACGACACAATTGTTTCATCGATCGGCATTGTAAGAGGTATTTTTAATACACCTATACTATATATATATTTATGTAAGCCGTAATTGTTTGTACGATATACGAATACGATCTAAGGCGTCCCCCAAATCACTATCGCTTGTGGTCCTTAGGGTGGAACTCTATATGCTCACAATCGGTCGAGGGCTCAAATTTGTTTTTCAATGGCTTATTTTAATATATTTCCAAAGAACAACCAAAGGATGTGGGATATTTATATTTCTTAAGGGATATGCTTTAAAGTGAAAATTGATGTGGTTAAACTTTTGAAACATAAAATACATACTCTTTACTTTTCATGGAACTATTAAATTGTTTAAAAATAAACGATTAAATATACATTTTTTCATAGTAACAGCTATTCCGATTCAGGTTCCTCTATTTATATGCCTTGAAACTAAGCCCGTTTGTCATATAATGAGGTCCACCCAGGTGTTTTGTTTTTTTTTAGCTTGTTGCTTGTTGTTGATACTGATCCCCCCCCTCCATTAGCTTTGCTACTTTTTTTTTCGGAACCTCGGCCGCCGTTCCTTGCTAACCGCTCTCATTTGTTTTTTGACATTCCACATCCAACAGGTGATGGTGACGAACGACCGCCGCGCAAGAAAAAATCCCGAGACTCGAATGGAAGCAATGTAAGTACCGAAATCCAGTGACTATATCAGATTGAGAAATTTAGGAGGGGTAAAAGATAGACAAATAGATTAATAGACACCACAACGAAGGCTTGGCACCTGGGATTATTTCGATATATTATCATCCGATCAGTAAGAAATTTATTTTATACTGGGTCTTAAGATAAAAATTAAAAATCGTCATAAAAATGTTGATGCAATTGAAATGAAATAAACTTTTAATTCAAGCCAAAAGCTTTTGAAATAAATCATCTTAAACACTTGAATAATAAAAATTTCAAATCAGTTTTATTGATGGTTAAATTAACCTATACTCCAGTGATAGATTGATAATAATTTATTGATTAACCCATTGCCATTGAAGCATACTTGCGACACAACACATTCACTGTGATTGTTAAATGTTGTGATAACCATTGTTTATGTACCACATGTTCATCTCCACCTTTCCTTTTTTCTACCCCGTGTTTCCCTTGGAAAATCTTGACCAGCAGGTAAATAATCCAAGTATAAACGTTGTCCTGGGCGGCAACCTGACGAGTGGCCCTCTTACGCCGACGACCATGTTGATGGGCCTGGACCATGTGGTGAACTCCAACACACCCTCATCACAAATGTGTAAGTACAACCAACCAACCAACCAAAAAACCGGTAAATGGTCACAGAAATCTTTGCAATATTAAGTTCCTTAGGAGAGAGAGATTTCTGTGAACTATCCGTTTAAATCTTGTGATCTCCGTGACTAATTTTTGTGTCTTATGTGTGACCTTTCACACCCTATCCTTCCAATCCTCCCTGATCCTCTTGTAGCCAACATGCTGGGCAATGCCAATCCTCTGACGGCAGCTGCCATACTAAACAACAACAACAAGACATCGCTGCCGGGCAGCAATTTCGGTGGTGCGCCTAATCCCGCCGCCGGCAACATGTTGCACGGTCCAGTTGTCGGCGCTGTAGGTTCTGCGGCGACGGCGGCGGGGCAGCAGCAACAGCACAACAAAAACGGACCAAACGATCTGAGCAAAGTGCCGCCGGGTGGCTCCATCACCGCCGCCCTGCCGCCGCACAGTTTCGCCGGAGGAGGAGGAGTAGCACCGGCCGGAGTGGCCACCAGTCAACCGAGCGGCGGTATTCGTATAGCCAGCAATCTGCACAAGTCGTCCGGTTTGGGTGGCGGTGATCTGGGCGAGCATCATGCGGCACTGGCGGCTGCCCTGACGTCCGGCGTTAACAGTACCGGCGCTTCTGGCGGTGGCAACACCGGCAGCAGCAACAACAACAACAACAACAACGGTAGCAACAACATCCCAAATCCATTAGGCGGCTCGCATGGGGATGCGATGGCCAATGCCTCGCTGGCTTCGGGTCTTAAACAAATACCGCAGTTCGACGATCCCGTGGAGCAGTCGCTGGCCTCGTTGGAGTTCAGCGCCGGTTCCACGGGCAAATCATCGCTAACGGACAACTTTTTGATGCAGCAGCATCTGATGCAGCCCGCCGGACCCCAGCAACAGCAGCAGCAGCAACAACCCTTTGGCCATCAGCAACAGCAGCAGCAACAACAACAACAACAACAGCAACAACAACAACAACAGCAGCAGCAGCAGCAGCATATGGACTACGTGACAGAGTTGCTAACCAAGGGAGCGGAGAGTGTAAGCGGAATGAATGGCAACCACCTGCTGAACTTCAATCTGGACATGGCGGCGGCCTACCAGCAAAAGCATCCCCAGCAACAGCAACAGCAGCAGCAACAGCAGGCGCACAACAACGGCTTCAATGTTGCCGACTTTGGCATGGCCGGATTCGAAAGTCTTAATATGACGGCGGCCTCAGCATTCCTCGATCTGGAGCACACGCTTCAGCAGCAACAGATGCAACAGCAGATGCAGTTGCAACAGCAACAGCAACACCAGCAGCAGCAGCAACAGCAGACGCACCAGCAGCAGCAGCAGCAACACCAGCAGCAACATCACCAGCAACAGCAGCAGCAACTTACGCAGCAGCAGCTCCAGCAACAGCAGCAACACCTCCAGCAGCAGCAACACCAACAGCAGCTCCACCAGCAGCAGCAGGTGGCCAACAAGCTGCTTATCATACCCAAGCCCATCGAATCGATGATGCCCAGTCCGCCGGACAAACAGCAACTGCAGCAGCATCAGAAGGTGTTGCCGCCGCAGCAGTCGCCCTCGGACATGAAGCTGCATCTAAACCAGGCGGCGGCGGTGGCGGCGGCGGTGCAGGGCAAGCTGGCGCAGGCCTTCAAGGCCACCAACGAGCAGAACCTAAAGAACGCCAGCTCGTGGTCCTCGCTGGCCTCGGCCAACTCACCCCAGTCGCATACGTCAAGCAGCTCGAGTAGCAGCAAGGCCAAGCCGGCCATGGACTCGTTCCAGCAGTTCCGCAACAAAGCCAAAGAACGCGACCGTCTCAAGCTGCTGGAGGCGGCCGAGAAGGAGAAAAAGAACCAAAAGGAGGCCGCCGAGAAGGAGCAGCAGCGCAAGCACCACAAGTCCTCGTCATCATCCTCGTCGACCGCGGCCGTCCAGGCAGCAGCCGCTGCTGCAGTTGCGGCCGCAGCGGCGGCATCTGCAGGATCAGCTGGGTCGGCGGCGTCGGCGGTGGCCGCCAGTGCCTGTGCGTCGAACGCCTCGGGCGGCAGCAGCAGTGGTGGCGGCGGCACGGCCAGCAACCAGACGATAAGTGGCGATCGCGAGCGTGACAGGGATCGCGAGCGGGAACGTGAGCGTTCCGGCAGCGGCGGCGGTCAGTCCGGCAATGGGAACAATAGCAGCAACTCGGCCAACAGTAACGGACCTGGCAGTGCGGGCAGCGGCGGCAGTGGTGGCGGCGGAGGAAGTGGCCCGGCCAGCGCCGGAGGACCGAACAGTGGTGGCGGCAATGCCAATAGCAACAGTGGTGGCGGACCAGCGCTGCTCAATGCCGGCAGCAATAGCAACAGCGGTGTTGGCAGCGGCGGCGCAGCCAGCAGCAACAGCAACAGCAGTGTGGGCGGTATTGTTGGTAGCGGCGGCCCCGGCTCCAATAGTCAGGGCAGCAGTGGTGGCGGCGGAGGACCGGCAAGCGGTGGCATGGGCAGTGGCGCCCTCGACTACGGCCAGCAGGTGGCGGTGCTAACGCAGGTGGCGGCCAACGCCCAAGCCCAGCATGTGGCGGCTGCTGTGGCCGCCCAGGCTATTCTGGCCGCCTCCCCCTTGGGAGCCATGGAGAGCGGAAGGTGAGCTATATCCGGAACTATCTCGACAGAAAAGCTTTAAAGTCAAAAACCATAAAATGCATCCAATAAGTAGCAAAGGGGAATATTTTGAATAACAAGTTTTTTTTCTGGGCAAATGTTGGATGTTATTAAATCATTAATATTGCTTATCTTTTGAGTGCCTTGGCTTATGAATCACTAGAATCAATTGTTGAAAATAACCAAAACAAGAAATAAAAATATTCGGACCGCCGAAGTAAATTCTAAAATATATTTTGGTATCAGGATGTTAAATTACAGCATATTAATCTTTAAATTTAATAGGTGTAAAGTAAAATATGTTGAAAAGAACAAATCATCTAAAAAAAAGGAAATACCCAGTGGAAAGCCACTAAAAACTGAACGGGACACTTTGAAACCCCCTATCTGTGAGCTTCTCTAACCAACTATTTTTCATAATATTGCAGGAAAAGCGTGCACGATGCCCAGCCGCAGATATCGCGGGTGGATAACATCAAGGCGTCGCCGGGTGGACAGGGCCAGAATTCGCCGGCGCAGCAATCGCCGCAGGATCGGGCGGCCGCTAAGCGTGCTGAGCAGCGGAAGGCCGAGCAGGAGCGGCGCAGGCGCGAAGCGGTAAGTTAACCAGATGAACTTCCACCCAACTTTAAGTCTAACCGATGAATCTTCTTTGCAGATGGCTGGCCAAATTGATATGAACATGCAGAGCGATCTCATGGCTGCCTTCGAGGAGACACTGTAGGCAAAGGCCCGGAGAAAGTCGACCAACCGGGGCGGTAGCGTCAACGGCATCACCTCAACTAAAACCACCACCTCATCATCCTCCACCTCCGGCGGCCAATCGAAGCGGCGAACTAGGCGCCAGCAACGGACCACGTTGGACAACGGCTTGCAAGAGCAAAAGCAACACGGCTAGGACAGCAACAACGACGACAGTTCGGGACAGAACTGTTAGAGCAAAGAAACAACCAACCCATCAACAAACAAGCAAGCCAACCAACCAACCAACAAATAAAAGAAACAAACAACACAAGCTAAAACCAATAAAGCAATGTTATAAGGCGTAAATAACATACGTACATTTAGTGAGTATATATATATTGCGCATACGGAAGGAGCGAGCAAACAAGAAAATAAGTGAAAACCACCTGCAAAACCCAGCAGCTGTAACCCAGCATCAACAACACAACAGAAAATGGCAAATTTCCTTCGGTTAGCAATTGATTCCTCACAACTTTTTTAAAAATCACTTATCACTTTCGATTATTATTGTGTATTACCATTACGATAATGATGGATCGTGGCGACAAGGATGTCCGCACATGGTTCCAAAGCTTATTATGTTTAATATTATTGATTGCATAGGCAAGTTTAGTTTGTAGTTCTAAACCTAATTGATAATGCTTTTTTTTTTCTTAATTATATACACACACCTATGCTTAGAGTTGTTAACTAATTTAAAAAACAAAACAAAAAAAAACCCTACAAAAAAAGAACAAACAAAACAAATCGAAACGAAATCAATTCAAGATATCTATCCGCAGGGAATGGCACAGTCGCGCTCGCAGTTGTCTGTACACGAATCCAATTATATTATTTAAAAAAGATGTCATTAAAAATAGAGCCATCCCGATCCCCATTCCCCAACCCACGGACCGCCGTGAGCAAATTTTATGGAATCTTATTGTTTTACGATTTTAATTTTTCGCAGCTGAAGAGCAGACTGCACCCCACCCACACAACTGTAATTTATACACATACATAAGAAACTCGCACACATATACACACCGGCCCACTAAGAGAAAATGTGAGCCGATAATTCGCAGAACCAGAACCACAAACCAAAAGCAAATTTAGTTACTAAGTAGATACAACATTTTTTGTATGTGTCGCGCCTAAACAAAACATAGAAAAAAAAGAAATGGAATATAACTTGTAATTTCTTTTCGAATGACCACAAGCCTTCGCAAGCAGGTGCCAGGATGCTATCCCCCCAATTGCAGTGACAATTCAGTAAATTAATGATACATGTTTGGAGTCTCTGCCGTCTTCCATGTATAATCTTTGTCTATATCTTTATCATCTGCATGCATTCGATCCTCCTCGTCAATGTGTCCCTGTAAATAGATCCATAGGTCCTTCTAGATCATTTCTTCATCAGGGACTCTGATCCTGTAATAGCAATAGGAATTATGATAGCAACTATCTATGTAAAAGCTAACGAAATGATTCATGTGTTGTATTCGTATAATGCACGTGTTTTGGTGAAAATTCATACTGTATATTTAATTTACGTTTTGGGGTTCTGATTTCCGAATGTTCTGTGTGTGTGAGTGTGTGTGTGGGTGTTCATAGGGATACGTGTATGTCCTTGTATATAGAGGCGGTCAATAGATTCGTATCTTTCCCCGACTTAACCGGTCTCCCAGTTGTTATGTACACTCGCAGGAAATGTCATTTCGTTTTGTGTAAATTAGTTTTTTTTATCGACAGCGAGTAGAAAGCGAAAGAAATTATCACAAAATATCCCCAATTCTACATAAAAGAATATATATATATACACGATAAAAAGATGCATCAGAAATACATATACAAAAAGAAGAAACATTTTTTTTCTATACTTAATTTTTAGCATTTAATTGAAAAATAAATCACACGAGGAGATAAAAAAGAAATGTATGAAAATAAAAATTGAGAAAAAACCAAACGATTCAAATAAAAAGAAGTTTTTAATTCAGCGATAAAAGGAAATATATATAAATATATTAATTAACACCTCTATATAGATTACATCCCTGATATGAACAACTTATTTGCATATATGAATATAAAACACCTATAAATACATATATATATTTTAACACGAATGAGACGTATTTGATTTTTGTCCAATCTGATCAAATCGCCCAAGTTCTAGCAGATGCATTTGGCATATTAGCAATTAATTGTTGACCTTTTGTTGTTACTTAACGAGGGCATTAACTAGACGACGACGACGACGACGACGACGAGGAATAGGATAGCTGGATAGCTGGATCGAGGAGTATGTAACATATAGCGAAAAACTCACTAAAGAATCACTTTTCTGAAACGTAAAAGCAAACGATCTTAGCCTTAAGCGCCTACCGCTAAACAGAAACACTTTAAAGCAACGTTACGTGTGGAACGTAATGCAGGAACTAATAATAATTACTATTATAATTATAAAGCAAAAATCAAGGGGAAACAATTTGGGATGGCAGAAAGAGTTGATATAGAAAGCATTACATTTACATGACTCCATTTTGGCCCCTTTAGCATTCACTACATATATACAACACTTTTTAGTAAGCCTATAATTAATGAAGGAGAACATAAAAAACAAAAATCGAAGGAAACCAATTAACAAGTAAAACATAAAACATATTTTACCTTTAATGCGTACACTTAGTATTAATGAAAGGCCGACAAAAGCAAAAAACTAAAAGAAATGAAACAAAAAACAAATAAAAAACAAAAAACTGAAGAAAAACAAAGAAAATCCGAAAAAAATAAACAAAAGTTCATAAAAAATAAAATTCAAACGTGTGTTTTTATTTTAGAAAGTAAGTTTGTCGTGAAATCGAAACAAATTTTAATGTTCTATAGCAACTATATGGTATCCTGGATATTTCTGGAATGGAAAAAAAAACAACTTTAAAGTACTTTATAACTTGCTTAATCAATATACATATATTATTCTATATGGACAGATAAAGCGTAATCACGTTTATATAGGTTACACACAACAAATTTGTTGCAATACTTGATGCAGCTGTCTAATTAATACTGTCGTTATTTACTGTACTATTTTTTTCAATATACTACAGTTAAATACATTTTTGAAGAATCCACTAGTTAGAACTAACAACCTGTTTTTATATTTTACATAAATATTTAAAATGCCCTAAAAATTGTACACTTTCATTTATTTGTAATTAATCAATTAGGCCAATCTATCTTTAAAGCTCTTAATTGAGAAATCCCATAAATGTATTTTAATGACGGTGTACTTTGTCAATACATATAGTTCCAAAATGAATTGACAGATTATGGAAAAAAGGAAACTGCGGAGTAAAATCATCTGATAAGAAATTTTGCGGAATCAGCAGATCCACCCTATAAATGCCCGCCATCGGTCATTCCCAAACCAGTCAATAACTAAATTCTTGCGATGGCGGCGGGGGCGGTGTTATTGTTACTGGTTTTGTTAGCTGCTTATGAAAACTCAAAAACTGTGACAAAATGTGAAATTAACACTTCGCCGACAGGACCTCTTCTTGTAACAAGCATCGGGACCCGAACAATACTCTCTGATTATTCAGGCTTAATAGAGCTAAACATAAGCGAAAAAATCCAGTTTTATTGCGGCACTGGATTTATATTCAAAAGAGACGGGTACGTGGTTAAACTTTACCAATAAATATAGAAGTCAACATTTGGCACATATTTTTGAGATACATTGAGATATGTACATCCAATGGATCTGTTCGAAATTTTTAACAAATAAGTAACACGGGATGTAGAAAAAAACGAGAACGAAAGCTATCTTTGATAACAGCGTGCACTGCGCTTATTTATATGTAAGACAGCTTAAGGTTATAGTCAACTCAAGGGATGGATCCGAGGTTATATAAACTCTATTTATTACGCAAAACAACCGAATATAGCAATATTTACCCAATTGTTATATAGTTATAGCAAGATTTTGAAGTGTACACATACGAAAAAAGATTTGGAAAGTTTTATGTTAATAGCTTTTATAATGCGCAACTAAACTACAATTTGAATAGAGATTTATAGTACACTTTTGTAAGGGCGGCAAAAATATTTGTATTTTTAAAATAGTCATTTCGTGCAGCATTATAAAACTTTTTCGAAAATGTTTCCTTTAATATAACATTCCATTTGAATATCTTTTTTATACCCTTGCAGAGGGTATTATAATTTTGGTCAAAAGTGTGCAACGCAGTGAAGGAGACATCTCCGACCCAATAAAGTATATATATTCTTGATCAGGATCACCTCCTGATATAGCCATGTCCGTCTGTCCGTCTGTCTGTTTCTACGCAAACTAGTCTCTCAGTTTTAAAGATATCGAACTGAAACTTTGCACACACCCTTCTTTCCTTTGCACGCAGTATATATGTCGGAACGGCCGGGATCGGCCGACTATATCCTATAGCTGCCATATAACTAATTGATCGGAAATGCCATAACTTTAATGTTTGTAAAGTTAGGAAGCTGGGATTTTCTATTGGTTTTATATTTGGTTAGTCAATCCGACCTACCATATTTCATAAGGATCGGCCGACTATATCCTATAGCTGGCATATAACTGAACAATTGGAAATGCCATAACTTTGGTGTTTTTAAAGTTAGGAAGTTGGAATTTTTTATTAGTATTAAGAATGCATCACATGAATAATTTTGGAGAATATAATGTACATAATATTCTGCAAGGGTATATCAACTTCGGCTCCGCCCGAAGTTAGCTTTCCTTTCTTGTTTTGTTGTAGCTTTGCTAAAAGAAGACGCACAGCGAAAAGAATGACTGTTCTGTGTAGCTGACAGCCTACACAATCGATTCCAGGAGGTTTTAGTAAATTTTATTTTTTGACCGATTTTCGCATTTTTGATAAGGGGTAACACTTGATTTTTTTCGAAATATGGGCCAAAATAAAATTTTTGAGCTGAGAATACTATTCGATTGGAAATTTTGTAACGAATTCAACGAGGTATGACATTCCAAGATCTGACCATTATTTCCAAGGGTTTTGATTGAAAAACTAAAAAAAAATGTGCTGTTTTTTCTGGATTTTGTATATTAAAATCATATATTTAAAACGCATTTTTAAGGGTTTTTATACCCTTGCAGAGGGTATTATAATTTTGGTCAAAAGTGTGCAACGCAGTGAAGGAGACATCTCCGACCCTATAAAGTATATATATTCGATTGATCAGGATCACCTCCTGAGTTGATATAGCCATGTCCGTCTGTCCGTCTGTCGGTCCGTCTGTCCGTCTGTCTGTTTCTACGCAAACTAGTCTCTCAGTTTTGAAGATATCGAACTGAAACCTTGCACACACCCTTCTTTCCTTTGCACGCAGTATATATGTCGGAACGGCCGGGATCGGCCGACTATATCCTATAGCTGCCATATAACTGATTAATCGGAAATACCATAACTTTGGTGTTTGTAAAGTTAGGAAGTTGGGATTTTCTATGGGTTTTATTTTTGGCCAATCAATCCGGCCTACCAAACTTCATAAGGATCGGCCGACTATATCCTATATATAGCTGGCATATAACTGAACGATTGGAAATGCCATAACTTTGGTGTTTTTAAAGTTAGGAAGTTTGGATTTTTTATGAGTATTAAGAATGCATCATATGAATAATTTTGAAGAATATAATTTACAGAGTATTCTGCAAGGGTATATCAACTTCGTGCAAAAAAAATACCAAAAAAATTATTACAAAAAATTAAATTAAATATTTTTCATTTCCATTTTTCCTGCCATTTTTACAGTCGCAAATAGGCCAACTGGGTAAACTTGGATTTGATATAAATGTGAACGCCAGCGATCGATTCTTAAAAGTTGCCAGGTGCGATTATATAAAAAATAAAAAAAATAACGAATTATTACGTCTTTAGATTTTTTGTGCCAACGCAAACAATTATTAATAGAAAAAATGAATAACAATGAAATTTAATTTGAAATGCTATTCATATAATTGAATTAAACTCTAGATGTAGTTACTTGTTTGTAAAACACACTGAATGTATTTCTTATTAAAAGCCCTTTTAAGAACTGAATAATAACTTATAAAGGCCATGATTGTTATCATATAAAATTACAGAAATAATGTCCAAATAAGTTTTAACGTATGTACGTCAAATACCACTTTATCTACTCCGCCGGTTGCAGTCAGGCTGATGTGGACGCCTTTTGGAACAAGGACAAGCAGCTGTCCCAGATGTTCGGCACGGGGCCCTTCGATTACGCCAGTTTGGTCCAGGACGATGCACTAGGTGCCCATGTGGCCGGCTACGAGGTCATGATGAGCATCGTCTGGCTGCACAGCCTGCGCACCGGCAACTGGAGGCACTGGCTCGCGGCACTGCGATCGGCCAGTGAGTCCGGCGACCAGTTCGACATCCGCCTCGGAGTCTCCGGGATGGTCGAGATGCCGGAATCCGGGGATCGCTGCGATCTGGCCATCGACCTGGCGGACGGCAGCACCCTCCCGCTGCCCGCCCACATTTGGGCCCATGTGCGGGCTCTCCACCCAACCGGATCGCCGGAGGACGAGTTCGTCCTTGTCGGACACAACTCGCCCTTTGTAAGTACAAAATAATGAATAATTTAACACTCAGAAAATTTAGAATGTGTAAGCCAATCCAAAGGGGAATTATCCTTGATCTGTGCATCCTAAAACGACTTACTAAATTTATAAAGATCCTTCGCTCGTAACGTTGGTAAATCATTCTGTTTTGTAAGCAATTTAAACAAGGCTGGCATTGAAAAATATTTGTTGATCGCAAAGAATAGTTTAAAATCAGGTCAAAGCCAAGGCCAAACACTAAACATTTAGTTGTAAAAGAATATATTTTGAATTTGTTGTTGGTGTTTATTTCTGTTTAAATAATTTTTTTATTCCGTTCGCAGTTCCGAGACGACCCCTCTGCGGAACAACTTTGCCCATCAATGTGCGACCAGGTGTCCTGGCTGAGGAACACCCTCTTCGCCAGGCTGCATCGGTATCCAATCAACGGCTTGATGCTGTGCTGCCGAGTGGAGGATGTGGCCCAAAAGTTGGATTCCTTTTACGGGTCAAGAGTGCGTGCCACAGCCACCACCGAAAAAATTAAGGAGCTCGAGGAGTAGACAGGATCGAGCACCACAAATGATTTTGTAAACAAATAACATCGGATAATTAATATCTGCATTATAGCTAACTAATAGTTATGTTAGCAATCAATTTTATTAACTAACAAAGAACAAAAAATATGGCAAAAAAAAAATTCCAAAAAGGCAAAATGCATTTTGAATTGTAAACTAAAAATTAATTAAAATAAAAGTTGCAAGTTTTAAGTCTTGTGAAAATGTTTGCTTATTATTTTGCATTTTTTTAATGCGACCGGTTGAATTTGTGATCAAAATTGTCAACCATTCCACTTCTATTGGCTTGAGATACACACTTTTAAACAGAGAAATGTACTACCTGATTATATTTTTGCAGAATTTGTATGTTTTCAATATTGTGTTTATAGTAAATTCTTTAACAACCACCAACAATCTTTTGATCTATTGCCAACTGTCTATTATTTAGGAAAACAAATCGCTTTAGCAAGAGTTGCAATAATATAATAATAATAATAATAAATGCTATCACCTGGTGCACAGTATGTAAATTATTTACATACAGACATTTTAAGTGAGTATTACTGTTCCTATCGACACTCTCATCTTTCAACGGGAAGCAATCTGTGAAAACTTGCGAAAAAGGGGGATCCCACGATCAGTCAGCACAAGCAGCTTTAGCAATATACACACAAATGTCCGTTTGTCTTATTTATAAAGATAATACAAAATATGTATATATATGTATGTTTGTATTTTGTATTTTTAGAGCAAAGGAGATCAACCCATGGCTTATCGCTTTTAGCGCTGCACTCGTCAGAAATGCGCTTACGATTACGAATCCGCAAGTGCGATACGAATTTCTGCTACATCGGCAATTCGACCCTTTAAAAAGGGACTGCACTGGGAGGCAAGATCAGTTTAATTCCAAAGTCGTCGCGATGTGGTCGTTACTCACCGTGTTCCTGGGTCTTTCAGTTCTCTGGGGACTGCCCCAGGATGCAATTGGATCCTGTCAACTTAAGACCACACCCACCGCCCCCCTTATCGTTACGACTTTTGGCTCCAAGCAATTGGTGTCCAATTCTGCTGGGAATCATGAACGCGATAGAGGCGAAACTATTGAGTTGTTTTGCGGCAGTGGATTTCTATTCAATTATAGGTAGGTTGCAGAGTGTATATTAATTTGATTGTGGAAAAGAATTTGCAGAAGGCTCAGAAGCTTGTAACGTAATAAAAACTTGTTTCCAAATTTCCCCTACCTAAATAATTTTCAAGACATATAACTATAATGTACAAGTGTTGACATATTCAATTAGTTGTAAGTGAAATAAGTTTGCAATTTGCTTGTGTTTTTATACCCTTGCAGGAGGTATGTTAATTCATTCAAAAGATTGCAACGCAGTGAAGGAGACATCTCCTATCCTATGAAGGATATATCTTCTTGATCAGCATCACCGTCTGTCCGCCAGTCTAACTGCCCGTTACTATGCAAACTAGTCTCTCAGTGTTAAATCCATTTGGATCGGTCGACTATATCATATGGCTCCCATAGGCACAATCAGTAAAAAGAGAATTCAAATTATAACTTAGTTGTTTCTTAACATATACCCATATACTTCCAGATATAGTAGTTTTTAACGATATCAGAAATACGGTTTTAGTTTTATAAAAATCGTTTACCATATAGCTGCCATAGGAAAGATCGGAAAACAAATAGGAATATAGCATGCAAATACACAGAACTTCGTTGTTTATAAACATGTAAGAAAATTCTCCGAGATAAGTTATATTTACGATTATAGACATACCGTTTAAATTGTAAACAAATCAGACGACTATATAATATGTAAGCTAATTGAAAAGATCGGATGATAATAGGAAAATCGACAAAGCTTCGTTGATTTTCAACATATTCGGCACTACACATATAGTAATTTTATACGGTTTTAGTTAGGATCTTACATCTTTTTTCTCTCTTTTAGCTTGACATTAATTTGTATACCCTTGCAGAGGGTATTATAATTTCAGTCAAAAGTTTGCAACGCAGTTAAGGAAACATTTTGGACTCTATAAAGATATATATTCTTGATTAAATATTACGGAATTACAGTTTTTATCAAATTAAATTAAATATAGCTGCCATAGAAACGATGGCAAAATGCAGCGCAAAGTCGACACAGCTTCATTGTTTTAAGTAATATGGGCATATAAATAGGCATTTCGATTTGTAATAACTGCAAGGGTATATAAACTTCGGCTTGCCGAAGTTTGCTTCCTTTCTTGTTTTTTTTATGTTATAAAAATATCCAGAGAGTATCTTTAAAAATTTTAAGATTCATATTAGCCGTTCTCAACTTATAAATACTTGAGTAACTGTATGAGACTAAAAAATGTTTAAAGGTTGTATTGGATTGAATCTAACATCGAATTAGGTCGATTTATACAATTTCTGGATTTTAATTGCCAGTTCTATCCAAAAAGGAAGAAATGACCAATCGGTCCAAACACATATAGTTCATTGGGAAATTAATGTTTAAGACACTGCAAGTTTATACAAAAAGGTGTGTAAATAGTTTGTATTAATATCTATTTTTTATAGACATTCCTACGGCCATACAGAGTCTTTGTCAATAAATGACAATAAGGTTTCACTGAGATGCGAATCTGATTATTTTGTATATCCAAAAAATCGAGACCGCTTAATGAACCTTGTTGTACAGTGTCAGAAGGGAGTGTCGCAGTTGTTTGAGAGCAGGACCAGTTTGCCCAACTGCGAAGGCGACATGACACTCGTTTTGGGTCATGACTTCGAAGAAATGGGGACCATGAAAAATGCCGCATTGTGCTATAATATTGTCGCCTCCCGGATGAAATACATTGCCTACACGACGTTCCCCGAAAAGAACCTAATTTTGCAAAAGGTAGGACTTACGGAATTGTTATTTCCGAGATCTCGGCGTTGTAAAAGCTTGTTTTTCGGTTTCCCTGCCTACAGACGCAATTGGGTCAGCTAAATACTATCGGATTGGACATCAAAGTAAACTACCGCAAAAACCTAATCAAGTCCATCAGGTGGGTTATGAAATTCTTTGACTCTCTGTGTCTGAGAGTTTAGAACATAATTTAGTCATTAACTTGTGTCTCCTCGAGCAGCCAGACCGAAATCGACGCCTACTTGAAGAAGAAAGACGTGCTGTGGCAGTTGTTCCAGGGAAGAGTCTTCGAATCCGCCAGTCTAGTTCTGGACGATGCTGTTGGTGTCCAGTTGGCCGGCTACGAGGCCATGATGGCCACCACCTGGCTGAGCTCCCTGCGTTCCGGCAACTGGAAGCATTGGGTGGCGGCGATGCGGGAGGCCACCAAAGCCGGTCTCCACTTCGACGTCCGACTGGGCGTCTCCGGAGTACTGGAGCTGCCGTTGGATGTGGGGCGATCCTGCAACGCCAGCCGCTCGCTGGTCTTCGAACTGGCGGACGGCAGCTCCCTGCCGGCTCCCGCCCACATTTGGGCCCATGTCCACATCCTGGAGTCAACTGGAGGCGTCGAGGACGAGTTCGTCATCATCGGCCACAACTCCCCCTTTGTATGTACATATATGCGACCAATCGCAGTGAGGGGAATCTCTCGACTCACCAAACAAAAACCCCTTGACTCTTGCAGTTCCGCAGCGACAATTCCACCGAGCTGTGCTCCTCGATGTGCGACCAGGTATCCTGGCTGAAGAACAGCCTCTTCGCCAGTCTCCACCGGTTCCCCGCCTACGGATTGGTGCAGTGCTGCCGGGTGGAGGACGTGGCCAGCAAGCTGGACAACTTTCCCGGGTCGTTCGCCAATGAATCCGCCTCCAGGAGCACGACCCCGGCACCGGATCCTATTCCGGCGTTTGTGATGTCCCTGAAGCCAGAATCTGAGAACACTGAACTAGAGTAATTGCATACCAACGTTCGCTTGATGGAACTCAAATCGTATTTTTCGAATCGATTGAAGCGCTGTTGCGCTATAGAATAGTTTTCAAACATGTTAAGCATAAAGTAACTGCTACCCTTCATTAGTTTAAATAATAAAGATCCAAATTGCGCATTTCTAAGATAATTTTGTATTGTTTGGAAAAACATAATTCAAAGTTAAATGATCCTTACAACGATCTTTACCACAACTGTGTTTTGTTAAACATAAAAATGTTCGACAAGCTAAGATTCTTGGGCTTTTCTACATATTTCTTCTTTTTTTATTACACTTAGATATTTACAAATTGTAATCTATCCTTGGATTTCGTTTTTAACTGGTTTAAAGGTCTTAGAGGCGCATTGATTTTTTTTTATAAACAAACCATTATTTGGCTATTAGAATAAGAATTTTAGGACATTATTTTCCAGTTGCACATGTATTTTATTGTTTTATTTTATTTATCATCAATAGCAACATATAACCAGTTTGTGTACATATATGTTTTAAGCTTTTAGGCCATATGTCTGAGGTTAACCGCATCTGTTTTGAAAAAACTGCAGATAACATAGTTGGTCAGCTTACTAGAGTTATAATTTATGGTGTGGTGCCATTGGAGACGTAAACGGCGATTGTTATTTTGAGTGTACTGACGATCGATTGGGGAAACCTCAACCTAAATATCCTCCAATAGAACCCCTTTTCTCGTGGGATCGACCTCCATTCGCTGCCGCAGTCCAGGTCAAATGAGCTTTGGCTTATCCCGTTTATTGCGAATTCCTTCTGACTGGTGACTCCCCCCACATCCCCCCCCATCCTTTCGAAGAAGGTCGGCGAATACAACTGGAAGCCACAAGGGGGAGCGGGGGAATGTCAAGTCACTTTCATTATCAACAAAACAAAAGAAGGAAAGTCATAGTGCAGAAGTCCAGAACCGAACCTGAAATACTCTTCATTACTTAAATATTCAAACAATTTATGTTTCGCATTGTCATATTTAAGTTCGACATTTAAATGAAGGAAATAAATACTAATTTGCATGTAAGTTGTGGCATTAAATTTAGATTGTTAAAGTTTTTAAATCGATTTTTTTAGAGCATAATAAATTGTTAAGCACTGGTTGTACAAATATATTTATATTTAAGCTAAGATTAAATATAAATAAATAATAAATCAAAAATACAACAAATATATTTCACGTATTGAAAAGAATTTAATTTAAGCATATTTATGAAATGCAGCTTAATTTCATTCGAATTTATTCAGCCATAATTAAAGCGGTAATAAATACGGAATTTCGGTTTTTGGCATATGTACTTACGAATGATATTTAAATAATTAACCGAAAGTCAGTCATGGGTTTACCAATTATTATGCATAAATATTAATTTTCGAACAAAAAAATGCGGCTTTATTTGCACGATACCCTTTTTGGCACACAAACAAAACGTGGCGAAGGCCGCAAAGGACATTAACGCTGGGCGGTGGGTGGATTTTTGGGGGTGGTAAATAGCAACGGCAAAGGCAACAGGAATTTCTTGATTAAGTAATAGGAATGTTGGGTCGGTACAAAGCGGAGCACACCAGAAATGTCATGTCAGGCCATGAGTGCGCCTTTATCTCGACTCTGACATTTTCGCAACGGGTGTGAGCTTCGGGGCTTATCCTGGCAAAAGTCCTGCGACCAGCGGCGACGGGCGAGTCAATAAAGCATACTGATTAATGTCAATTTGTACTTGGATATTTTGCATAAATTATGCATGAAACAAAGCAGCAAGCAGAAACAAAAAAAAACGCTCACAGTGCGCAATTGGTCCCCAAAGTCCCATCCCGCTGCCACGCCCCCTCTCCTACTCCCCTCCTCCCCTCCTCGCCCTCGTTGATTGGGCGGCACAAGGGCATTTAAGCCGATTTCAGACGCTTAATGCCAGCACACAAAATAAATAAATACTCACAAATGACCATCAAAGATCAGAAAATGGCTGCCAAATAAAATTGATTTAAAAATTCCCCTAGGCATTTAATATTGATTTTTTTAAAACAGTTGTTACCATTTTTAAATATTAAAAGTCAATGAACAGCAGTTTAATTTTTGATAAATTTGTAAACTTAACTCATGTTGTTTTCATGATATTGGAAAATAGTCCTTAAAAGGTACAACAAAAATACATGAACAAAAATGAAAACAAACTTGCAGATTCTAAAATGAATCTAAAAGTTTTATGAAAAGGTAGAAGGATAAGGTAAAGGCGTAAAAATGTGTTGATAAAGTAATAAGCATACATAATATTAGGAACAATATTGTCTGTTAATTTATTTAATAAAATTACGATTATTTTACAAAAAAAGTAAGTGGGGGTCTTCTTTTAACCATTCCCAAATAGTTCTATCATTAAAATTATAAGTCTCTAAAGATAAATTTCCAGTGAGTCCTATTACAATAACCTTTTCTTACAACAGTATAACTTCTTGGAACTTTATTAAACTTTACTTGAAAGAACAGTTAGAAATTAAGAACTCATTGTTAAAGCTCTAATAAAATAAAATTCATCTTTATTAAAAACAGCAATGAATTATGCATATACATATTTTTATATAGCGCGTATCCTAAGGACGACCAGCTCAGAAAAACTGTTTTTATTTTCATCTTAATGCCAAAAATGCGGAAAAGCCTTCATAAAAGGGAATGAAATTACCACAGGCTCCGTGCGGAGGACCTGTTCTTGCTCCTGCTCCTGCTCCTCCTGCAATGACAACAACAGCAACAATCAGCCACCACCATAAATGAAAAATAAAACAAAATAAAAAAAAAAGTAAATCTGTGTTCAAATTTAATTTGCCCTTTTTTTTGTTTCGGTTTGCCTCCCTTGATGCTCTCACAAAAGCTGAACGCAAAATGTCACATAATCAAATTTTTAAACGCAAGCGATTTAAGAGTTGTGGCCGCTTACAAGGAATTCAGGGAGTCGGAATGCTGGGATGTGGGTTTCGGGGATGTGGATGTGGAGTTTGGGGATGCTGGGGATGACGGCTGACGAAAAAAAGTGGAGCGAAGTGGTGTTTCTGGGACTCCTTGCGATGACATATGAAATATTAACAAGAGCACCGTTCGCTCGAAAAATGTTCAATGCAAGGAAAAGCTGCGTGTTTTTTTGGAGGCTTGTGGGAGAAAGTGGCAAAATCTGGCTAACATATAGGGACGGGTGCCTAAGGGGGGGCGGGGGTAACGAAAGGGGCATGGGAAGATAAAGCAAGTCGCCCAGTTCGCCGTCAAGCGTGAAAACAAATTTACTTTAACGATTCGGGGCCAAGCCAACGGGTATGACGATATTTACATACCTTAAATTAAAATAAGCACGTATTGATGTGTTATTATTAACTTGGTTAATATATTATACGAGTTTTTGTTTATTATTGCACAGACCCAAAACTTTAGCAATCATGGGGATAGTTGCTCAAATTTTCATAAAGTATTTTATAATTTTTTTGGCCACTTGCCAAACTTGAAATAGAATTATAAGTTTGTCCAGCCCCGAAGAAGGTAATTAATGCTTATTTATTAACTAGACCAAAAGGAAGCATCTTTGGGAACAATTATATCCCTTGAAAGGGTATTAAGAGAAGATAAAGAAGCCATGCTGTCGTCTGCCAGTCTGTCTATTTGTCTGTTTGTATATAAATTAGAACACATCAAAAGTTTGTGACATTAAATTTGGTCCCTCCCTCACTCCCACTTCCATTCCACAAACTCGTTCACACACGCCAGCGATTGGGCCACAGATAAATATTTTAGCAGAATGAGTCTGCTGTTGGGAACGGGAAATGGGAATGGAAATGGAAATGGGAATGCCGATGCCAATGCCGATGACGATGACAGTAATGATGGTACGCGGTCGCGAGAATCCGGGTCTAAGCCTCAACCTCAACTCCAACATTTACCTCAACCGAAACCTCAGCATCTACAGGCCAACTTCCAAGTGCCGAATTCAACTCACTCGAAATTGTTAGGTATAATTGTATACGATGATTAATGATTGGAGCACTTGGAGCAGATGTTGGATAGTTCCCTGGAAAAGAATTAAATTATTACCAATATAATGTTTCCTAACGAATTTTGGTTTGGTTTCTATTAAACAAAATTTCATGTAAATGATTTTTTTAGTTCCAGCCATATAAATACATATCCTAATTCGGTACAACGCGTTCGCTTCCACATTCATTAATTTCCAGATATTGGGACTACAGAGACAGGGGTTTCTTCTTGATGGATTTGATTTTCGTAAGCTTTACTGTAGCGTACAGGTTGTGCCACTAACCAGAACAAGGCGGTCACGATGAAGGTTGGGTTGATTAAATGTTCTGCCCCTGCCGTTGCAAATGTGTGCGTGTGTAGTGTGTGTGCGAGCGTGAAAATGCAATGACAACAACCCGAAAAAGGCGATTACGCACACACACATACAAACACACAAGCACACACACGAGATTCGGGGCGCCATGCCTTCACGTATGTCATTACGTTAGGTTACGTTACGCATACGCCACATACGCCGCGACCACTTGACTTTTCGCAGTCACGAATCGGGAATCTGCCGCTGACTTTGCTTGGCTTGCACGAAGCACTCTGACTGTGTGACACTGCTCCTAAAAAGCCCATAAATTGACAAATATATTACACAAAAGTTGTATTACTTTGCGTTTTTTACCAATAATAAAAAAAATATTATAATTATGAGCACCGCTCCAAAAATGTTCAATGTGTGGATTGTAAAAATTAAAAAAAATATTTATCTTTTTATTTGTTCTCCTATTTTTTGATTAATTTTTTGATGGATTTTGATTATGCAAAAATAGTTTAATATTATAATAATATTTATTATTAAACGTGTTTTTAAATTACAAGTTTTTAGTGAACAATTTGAAAAAGGTATATAAGTTTTTCATTTTAAATCATACTTTAATGTTCTCAAAATTTTACCAAGTCAATTTTATTATAAAGTGCTTTCTTGTGTTGTTTCGTTAAATATTTTAACAAATTATATCAGTTTTAAAATAACTATTTTAGTTTCTTGTAATTAATCGTTTTCCATGTTTCCAATGTTTATATTAACATTAAATTGGAAAAATGTAAATATATTTTATTTAAGCAAACAACCAAAGGCATTTCCATGTAATCCAGTGTCACACAACTGGAACCTGAATTCCATTCCCCCTCCTCCTTCAATGTTCATTCTTATCGTTCATTCTGTCTGACTTTTTCCTCCCTCCTTTTACTTATATTTTATTTTTCTTCATAGCTTTTCCGGAAAATTGGAATGGGGCTGCGTGGGACGTACGTATGGAGTCTGTCATCTGCTTGAAGGCTTCCACGTCTGATGAAATAATGCTAATGGAATGGAAGCTGTTATATATTTTGTCTCCAAATATAATCCATGCAAAAAAATTACCTCACGGAATACCGCCAACAGAATTAGCTGAAATACTTTCCTTAAAAATTCAATCATAGAGACTCAGTTTAATTCTAGAGATACTATTCAGCAGGCTAAGTGTGTATATGATATTTTCTTAGCCGATTACAATTTAAAATATTTATTTCATGTGTACCCTTTGCACATCTTCTCAACGCCCTTCAATAATTATAATGTAGTTTGCCCCATTCTCTTTTTTTATACCGCCCCAAATTTCGGTGTCTGCGTGTACCCCAATGAATATTAAAATATTTGTTGTTTCGTTAAAAACTTTTAATTGCATTGCAGCCTTTTTATGCCCTTGCTGAGCGCATTATAACTTTGGTCAGAAGTTTGAAACGCCATGGACAAGTATATATATTCTTGATCAACATGACATGGCGAGTAATACTTAACTTTTGTAAGCGTTGATATATAGGATATCAAGTTTGAAAACCACATAGCTGTCATGGGAACAATCGAGTCAAATTTGACTATAACCTGTAGCTGTCATATATCTGCAATTCTGGCCATATCTATAGAATCAATAGTTACGGCCTCAGCAACACAATCATTCATTTGGCTGTGCATCTAGTTTTGGAGAAATTAGAACAAAAACCCGTTAAAAAACGTGTTTTATTGTCAAATTACGGAAAATAATCGCCAAATGTTAGAATGTTATACCTCGTTGAATTCGTTATCAAATTTCCGATCGAGCGGCATTTACAGCTACAATTTCATCTTAGACAAATTTCTTAATAAATAATTACGAATGCAATATGTTTTGGCCAAAATCCAGAAAAGGTTAGTTCAAAATTTTTTTTTATCAAAATACTTTTTATGAAATACTGGTTAAATAATGGAATGTCGTTTAATTCGTTATAAAATTTCCAATCACAGCTAAACAAATTTTATATTTGACCAGTTTTTGGAAAAAACCAGGATGTAACCATTTCGTCCATTCCTTAAGTTGACTTTTACCTCTAGCTGTGTTATATAGGCAAAGTCATCCAATTTCGTTGTGGCTGCAAGGGTTTTACAACTTCGGCTTGCCGAAGTCAGCCTGTGTTGTCGTTGATATTCTCATGACTACCCGTGCGCTTGTCCTTTTTTTTTTTTGTTGGTCACACAAAAATTGTGCACAAAACTGAAAAATCAATTAAAATGACCGGTCGTCAGTCAACGCGTTTAAGGATTAAATGTGCAAAAAGGGCAGTAAAAAGCGAATGTCCATCAATGAACGGGTTAAGCTCTCGAATAATGCCAAACATTCTGGGATTTCCGTGACTCCGTTATGTTGTCCAATTTAAAGTACACTCAACTTTGAAATCAAGAGCATGTGGTAAGGGTACTTAATTAATTTAATTTCCCACGTTTTTCCCGCATAAATAATTATATGATCGCAGACATAATTCTGGTATGGTGGTCAGTTTTTATTAGATAAATTATACATTTTACTTTTTTTTTGGTTTCGCTTTCGATTCGTTTTTGTTTTTTATAAATATTTCATCTACATAGTTTATATATTCATGTGTATATATATTTCTTTTATAGCCATAGAACAATTATCACATCTTACATATGTATGTTGGCTACACTTAAACGTATCCATTACATGTTTACTCAAATGTATGTTTTGTGTGTGTGTGTGTGTGTGTGTCTGTGTTGGTCAGATGAGAATTAAATAAGAAGAAAACCAGGGTGAAGGAATGATGGAGATAGTGGGGGATATCCAAAAGTACACGGGTGCATGTGGTAAGCTCCTGGCTGCTGGTAGCCCATCGACCATGCCCCATGATGCCTTGCCCCCGTTTAAGTGGTGCCAATCTTTCACATTTCCAATAAGATCCCAAGCCAATAGCCATCTATTTTTTTTTTTTAGATTTTTGTCCGCCTTTTCGTCTTGCGTTTTTCTTCGAGCTTCTTGGTAATTAGACTTGGCAACGTCGGGTTGCATCAAAAGTTTGCTCATTTATATTGTATAAACAGTGCGCCCTCCCCCCTCACCCCATTTTCCTGGCCTTCTTGGTTCCGGACACTTCGTCCCGTCCATTTAAGTCCGTTCCGTTCCATTCAGTCAGTTGGCCATTTAATTTTTCAGCTGGCGCTGAGAAGTATGCTACAATTTTGTCTGAGCCAAGTTCAGTGCGGGTGCGTTGGTGTTTGTGAGTGTGCCTGTGTGGGAGTGTGTGTGTGTGTGTGTGTGTGTGTGTGGGCCATGCCTTGTAAGCTGCTTTGTGTTAAACGTTTTAGCCTGGCGGCGCTGTCAGTCGGCAAATTTCAAAGGCTTGCCAAGACAACAAGGGCAAAGGGCACGAGCACGAACACAAACACAAGCCAAAGGCAAAGGCAAAGTCGAAAGCAAAAGCGAAAGCGAAAGCGAAGGGGGGAAAAAAAAACACGGGCGGGATTGGTAAATGCATTAGTTATTTAAAGAGTGAAAACATTTGTTTTGGCCTGTTGCCCTTGCGCTTTCACTTTGGCCCACACACACACACGCACACACACGCACAAAAAGGACGATGATAAGCTAATGGCGATCCGGATGAACGGGCGACTACAGTCGAACTTACATAGCTCATAAAACTAAGTTTTGCAGCTTAAAATAAAATTAAAATTATAATTAAAGCCATTTAATTTGAAATGGAGTTTTCTTCTGACAAGTTATGTTTTATACTTTAAGGGATCATTTCGTCGTTAGGACTGATATCAATTTTCATTTCAATTCATATAGTTTTTCTAAAAAAAGTTTTCATAATTGTTTTTAGTTATCATCTTTTACTAGATAAATATTTTGTTTAAATTTGATAAGCTTTTTTAAATGAAAATAAAACTAAATACTAAATTTTTAATTTTTTTAAAATAATATATCATATGTATGCATATGTATGTACTTGAAGTATGTACGCTGAAACAAGAGTTAAGAAATCCAAAAAAAAGAAGTGATTTCCTTAAAAATTCGCGTTGCAAAAGTTCAGATTATGGAGGTACGACTGTTGAAAACGAAATCCCCGTTTAATCCATTTCGTGTGCTGATGTGTGCCCGTGTGTGCTGTTGTGTATTTGTGTGCTACGTATTATGCCACGCCCCCACGCCACCCATCGGGAGTGCGCCCTTCGGCTAATGCCTAATGCATAGCGCCCTAATAGATGCACTCCCCAAGCAAATCGCACTCGCCCTTCTCCAACGGCCTCAGCCAGAGCGGATTGTAGTTGGGGCACAGTTTGCGGTGGATGGGTATGCGGATTTGCACGGGCGTCGCCGCCACGCCCTCCCAGCTGCCACGCCCCTCGAAGCGAGTGCCATCGGACCTGTTGCACTGCATGCTCAGCGGCTCCTGGATGTACATGGTGTACAGCTGGTCGACACGGGGCTGACTCCACTCGATGCTCCGGTAGTTGGACGACCTGGCTCCGTTCAGGTGCACGCCGTGCTGGTGCTCCGTGCTGCGGGGGGAAAAGGACTATGTAGATTATTGAGAATATATATTCCTAAATATTATATATATACGATCTCTATCCTAGACACTTGAGGTACTGCTCTCATCCTACAAAAGTAAAATTCAAAGTAACTGAGAACGAGACCACTAAAGTTAACAGGAAGTATATTCCGAAATAGGGTTTTTAAATATTGGGGATTGGCAAGTATTCTTCTGCGCTTTGCCGACCTATTTTTTTCTACAAAAGTTAAATTCAACAAGAAAGGAAGCAAAACTTCGGCAAACCGAAGTTTATATACCCTTGCAGTTATTACAAAACGACTAAATTTTAATTTATTACTAAATTTATTACTACATTACTAAAAAACACTGAAGCTATGTCGATTTTGCACTGCATTATCGGCTTAAATTTGGTAAGTTATGGACCCTCGAAGTCAAATTTTGAGTCACTGTATTACAAGACATCGGAAAATTAGAAATAACTGACATGAAATTGGGACAAAAATTTGATCAACTTTAAATTGAAAATTTTGAATGCAGTTTTTTAGAGAATCGAATAACAAGTCTTTAGAGGTAAGCCACTTTGGAATCGGATTAAATTTGGTGAAGTTATGGACCCTCGAAGTCAAATTTTGAGTCACTGTATTATAAGACATCGGAAAATTAGAAATAACTAACATGAAAATGGATATGAAATGGATATGAAAAGGATCGAATCACAAGTCTTTAGAGATATGCAACTTAGCAATCGGATTAAATCTGGTAAAGTTATGCACTCTAGAAGTCAAATTTTAAATCACTCTTTTACAAGAGATCAATTCCCAAAATAGGGTTTTAAATCAGTTCCGATCTGATTTGAGCATATCCAAGTATTCTTTTCTGCCGACCCACGACGACAAATCACTCACCGTCTTTAAGTTGACCTAATACCAATAGGCCAAGTTGTGGTTTTAATACTAATAAATAGACCGAATAATCGAAAACTAACCCCAACATATTCATTGCGGAATACAAACATTGCTGGGTGGCCCAACTTTTATGGACTATCCTATGCTGCGGGGAGTACAATGATTAAAGCCTTGCTAAGCGCCGGCTGAGTGCAGAGTGTAACCGCAACAATAACTTGAACTTTAGCCAGCCATTTCCATTTGCCACTCCCACCTGGCTGATGGTTGATGCTCCTCCGCCAAGGACGAGTTCCAAGTTTCCCCGTTGCGGTGACCCTAATCTAATGCAAACTTCGCCATCAACCGCTGCTCAACTGCTTAAAGTTGGCAATTAGCGAACACCTTTTGGGCCAACCGAATAGGAATAGGGCCAAAATGAAGGGATGCGGGAAGGGGGGGGCGTAACAAAGAGAATTTCGCCGTTATGAATGCGCCAAGGAATCGGGGCCTTGAAAGGGAATGCCGAAAAGTTTCCCTTTGATGCACAAGGAGCTGAGCGGAAGAACCCCTTAATGAAAACCCACAATGCCACCGCTCATCACCCTTAAGCCCCTTAGAAACCGCCGTACCCCCTTAGACCCCCTAAAACCCCCTTAGACCCCCTAAAACCCCCTTAAACCCTCCTAGAACCCCCCTAAATCCACGCCACTTCCATTGTGACGTCGTCTGTCGTCGGTTTCGCTGCGTAGATTAAAAAATATTTCTTCCATTAACGCCGCAAACGCCCGCGGGACGGATGGATAGAATGCCATGAATGTGCATGGGCGTTATAATTGTTGAATAAAGGCAGGCCAAAAAAAAAAAAAGGAGAAATAAAAAAGAATAACGCAAACTAGGGAATGAGCAAGCAAGGAATTCGCCTGCAGCACATTTCAAAATCAAAGGGCTTTCGTTGGTTTTGGGAGTTCTGCGATCAAATCTAATGTAATCAAATCAATTTTGTGAGGATATTGTGATTGCCGTAGTAATTTACAAGTTAAGAAAACTTGTAGCGCTCCTTCACTTTAAAGATATCAAAATCTCCTCAACCAACAATTATGATTAGCTTCCATTATTAATGGTTTGTAAGCTAAATCTCTTTATACAATAGCATTAAATAAGTAGTGAATTTCATGTGACATTTTTTCTAACCGAATTCCAGTGACTTTACAAAGAACAATCCAAAAATATAACAACATCTCCTAAGTACCTAACTAATGCCTAATATATTTATTTAATTTAACCCTGTGATCCCACTCACCGCTTCATGTAGATGAAGTAGTTCTCGAGCGTCTCCTCGGACACGGAACTCTTGCAGACCTCCAGTTTGGTGGCCGGGTAGTAGTGGATGTAGTTGACGCACATCTCGTCGCTGATGGAGAATCCCCCGAGGGTGGCGGTCTGTTCGTTCTTCGTGTCGTAGTAGCAAGTGGTCACCAAGGCGTCGCCCTAAAAAAACAATGGTAGATGGTACAGCTAACAAGTATATCAAGGCTGAAACTAAAACGGAGAATTAAAGGCACCACCAAAAATGTAGAAAAACGTTTAAAGAGTGGTCTTAAGTTGTCTGCGATGTGAAACTAAGGAAAGTTAGTTTTTTCTATTCAGCGTAAAATTGTGAATGTAAAATGACATTTCTTACCCACAGTTACAGTTATTTGGGCAAATACACTTAGCGAACAATCTGACCTTTAAAGTATCAAAATGGGCTACAATTTAATAAATAATGGCCAAAATTCTAGCATAATTTTATAGAAAAAGAAAATGAGATAATGAGATAAAAAAGATTTACCTAAAATATTCGAGCTAGGCTTATCTTTTGGGTAATTATTTGTAAAACTTAGGTAACTTTGTTTTCTGGTTTATGCAATGACCATTTCATGAAATCATTTCATTAAATGGGAAACGAACGATGACCATGCCTTTTGGGTGAATTCATGAAATAGTGCAGTGTTGCCAAATTGTATTTGTTTTATAATAGGCCCAAAAAAGTCTACACCTTCACCTAATGACGTCACTAGCTTATGTTTATTTGTTATTTGTTATTGGGTTATCGATGGCCACCTGACTGATACACCAGGCGGTTTTACTATTAGCATTTTATGAATTCGATAAGATACAGACATCGCATAAACGAGGTCTATTTTGACTTTACGTATTTAAGAATTCATGAAATTCATGGCATAAACATGGTAGTGGTATGTGACTTGCAGTGAAGTTGTGTATTACAATACTAATATGATGCACACAAGACCCGAATGGAAGTCTGGGATGTGGGGCACTCACCGGCAGGACACGTGGCTTGTAGTGCAGGGTGCGCATCTCCTGGAAGTGGTGCGAGTAGAAGTCGTCGCGGTTCACCTCGCGCAGCTCCTGCTCCCCGCGGAAGTGGCGGGTGAGGACGCGGACGCCGCGCAGGTGGGTGTGCAGCTGGGAGCCGAAGATGATGATGCCCGTCGCCGGCAGAGCGGCCCGGGTGCAGTCCGCCACGCAGTAGCCGCTCAGCGGGAAGGCGGTCTGGCCGGGCGGGATAGCCATCTTGTCGGAGTACTCCAGACCCAGTTCCATTACGGCGGCGTCATATTGACGCAGTGTCTTCGACATCTTGATGCGGAAGCCGGAGTTGTCAATCAAACCTGAAAAGGGGATTGGCCAGGCGGCAACGGGGCGGATGATTAATATTGATTGGCCTTAACCAGGACCAGTTAAATTCATGAGCTTAAAAATATTAAACTATATTAATTTGTACACATTAATTCGAAAATTACATGATACTAACTCATTAAAGTAGAGCAAAGAATTTTTGTACACTACTTCTTACATTGCGTATACGACTAGTAAAACAGCTTATAAGTATGCTAACTTTTTCTCTTCAAGTTGTTTCCATAAATACAAATCTTAAAACTTTATAAAATGTAAACAATTAAAAATGATTACTCAGAGCGTTAAAACTGGATTTTAAGCTACAATAATGGTTTCGAAACTGCTTCTACGACTGGTTATTTAGCTGCAAAAAAAATATATTTTCTCGACTGATATAATATGGATATGTTATCCTAATGGCGCCCAAATTGAGTTCCAATTAAAGTTTATGTACACGAACAGCAGGGAACGTAATAAGCTTAAAGCTGGAAACGAAATCCCTCCACTGCGCCACGTGTGGCGATGCAGCTCATCACTTAACCAAATGGGGGCTGTCGGGACGTGGTCGTAATCCCCTTTTGCTTAAGCCATCTGCCATCTGGGGTCAGCACACTCACCAGCCTGCTTCTCCGGATTATTGAAATGGACCTCCAGCCGGACGTAGGGATTGAAGCCGGGCCCGCCGATGGGCAGCCCCGCCTCCGGGGGATAGGTGAAGGTGCCGGCGCCCATGGCCCACAGCACCATCACCTTGGAGCAGACCTTGGCCGGCGGCGGCAGCTGCTCGCAGTCGCCGTTGTACAGCGGGATCTCCTCCCGCTCGCCGGCCTCGCAGTGGAACACCTCCATGTGGTGCACGATGCCCGGGGATCGGATCAGCGGCTCGAACTGGACGATGTGGTGGCGCCGCCGGAGATCGCCCTCCAAACGCTGCACGTGGCACCAGTAGGTCGTCTCCCGGTTGGGAATGGGCGCCTCCTTCAGGGTGATCTCCACATGATCCAGATCGCTGAAGCGGAAGACCGTACAGTAAGTAATTGATGTTTAGTAAACAATGGGAACTATTTTGTTTAAATACAAATTACTTAATACACATAGTAATCTGGACTACGTATTTAGTAATTACTTAATACACATAGTAATCTGGACTATGTGTATTTAGTAATTTTTTTGTATACACATCTTGGGCTTTGTTCTTAATAGTAACTATTAAAAATTTTGGTTATATGAAAGTAATTTGTACCAATAAATTATATATAATAAAATGAGAATTCATTAGTTCCGGATTTTGGGCTGAATATTTTTCACGCTTTTAATGCTTTCAAAAACAATTTTTTTATAAAATTTTGTATTTTGGAAATTTTATAACGAATTAAACGATGTATGAAATTCCAGCATTGGAAAACTATTTACCAGCGTTTTGATCAAAACGCGAAACACGAGTAGTTTGTTGCTAATATTGGCCATAAAATACTCCTGTTTTAGTACTCTTGTTTTCTAGTGCTTATGTTATTTGTGGACCATTACTTTGATTTATTTTACTAAAGTCGAATTACCATATCCTATAGTTTTCATTTTTCATATTAATTGCCACAAATGTAAGTGATTTGTTATCTAAAACACTATATCGCATGCCTCCACTTACTTCTCGGGAATAAGTATCTTGTCGGCACGGAGCAACTGCAGCATCTTGACACCCGCCTCGTGCGGAGCAGTCACATTGGGCAGGGCGAACTGGTGATCCTCCAGGGCCAGCTCCGTTTCCCCGCGGGCCCAAACCACGTACATGGTGCCCTCCTGGAAAACGGAATACCATATAGTCCAGGCGGATCAACTCTCCCCAGGGATTAACTCACGTGGAGTCGGAGATCCAGGGGATCACAGGTGTCGAACTTGCGCCGGAAGGCCAGCGTGAACTCGTCCATCTTGAAGACCTCGCAGTCCTGCTGGTAGTCCCGCCTCACCCACCGTCCATCCGGACTGGTGTACGTATCGGTCACCGCGTTGAAGAACCCGTTCTGGTTCTCGAAGAAGCAAATATCCGCATCGGCCAGGCCGCCCCGCTTCGAGAATCCCAGATAGAACCACCTGTGCTGCTCGTTGAAGGCGTTCTGCAGGTGGAAGAGCACCTCCTGCTTGTACCAGTCCACCATCCAGCTCAACTTGATCTCCTTGTCGTCCAGGTAGATCTCGTGGAGCTTCGTGTCCGACAATCCTAAAGGAGAGGATTGGGGATTCAGGGCTAAATTTAAAGTATAATTGCAAATATCGATATTTACTCAGACTTAGTATATCTTAGATTTGGTGTTTAAAAATAAACGAGAAGGAGTGAAAATGTCTTTAAATTAGTTTCACTTCTTTTTATACCCTTGCAGAGGGTATTATAATTTTGGTCAAAAGTGTGCAACGCAGTGAAGGAGACATCTCCGACCCTATAAAGTATATATATTCGATTGATCAGGATCACCTCCTGAGTTGATATAGCCATGTCCGTCTGTCCGTCTGTCTGTCCGTCTGTCTGTCCGTCTGTCTGTTTCTACGCGAACTAGTCTCTCAGTTTTAAAGATATCGCACTTAAACTTTGCACACACCCTTCTTTCCTTTGCACGCAGTATTTATGTCGGAACGGCCGGGATCGGCCGACTATATCCTATAGCTGCCATATAACTGAACGATTGGAAATGCCATAACTTTGGTGTTTTTAAAGTTAGGAAGTTGGGATTTTTTATGAGTATTAAGAATGCATCACATGAATAATTTTGGAGAACATAATGTACATAATATTCTGCAAGTGTATATCAACTTCGGCTCCGCCCGAAGTTAGCTTTCCTTTCTTGTTTTGTTGTAGCTTTGCTAAAAGAAGACGCACAGCGAAAAGAATGACTGTTCTGTGTAGCTGACAGCCTACACAATCGATTCCAGGAGGTTTTAGTAAATTTCATTTTTTGACCGATTTTCGCATTTTTGATAAGGGGTAACACTTGATTTTTTTCCAAATATGGCCCAAAATAAAATTTTTGAGCTGAGAATACCATTCGATTGGAAATTTTGTAACGAATTCAACGAGGTATGACATTCCAAGATCTGACCATTATTTCCAAGGGTTTTGATTAAAAAACTGAAAAAATTTGCTGTTTTTTCTGGATTTTGGCTATTAAAAACATATATTTAAAACGCATTTTTATACCCTTGCAGAGGGTATTATAATTTCTGTCAAAAGTTGGCAACGCAGTGAAGGAGACATTTCCGACCCTATAAAGTATATATATTCTTGATCAGCATCACCAGGAGAGTCGATTTAGCCATGTCCGTCTGTCCGTCCGTTTCTACGCAAACTAGTCCCTCAGTTTTAAAGCTATCTGCTTGAAACTTTCCCAAAAGTAGTCTTTCTATTGCAGGTAGTATATAAGTCGGAACGAGCCGGATCGGGCGACTATATCATATAGCTGCCATATAACTGAACGATCGGAAAAGCCATAACTTTGGTTTTTTTTAAGTTAGGAAGTTGGGATTTTCTATGAGCTTTATTTTTGGCCAATTAATCCGACCTACCAAACTTCATAAGGATCGGCCGACTATATCCTATAGCTGGCATATAACTGAACGATTGGAAATGCCATAACTTTGGTGTTTTTAAAGTTAGGGAGTTTGGATTTTTTATGAGTATTAAGAATGCATCATATGAATAATTTTGAAGAATATAATTTACAGAGTATTCTGCAAGGGTATTTCAACTTCAGCTCCGCCCGAAGTTAGCTTTCCTTTCTTGTTTTTTATAGAATTTATAGCTTTATTCTTTTTAGAGAAAGTAATTTATATAATATCCTGCAAAATTTAGTAGATTTTGTATTGACTTAAATTTTAGTCATACCAAACCATTTGTTTTTTTGCCAACTGTCTTAGCTTCTGATACACTTAAGATATTATGAAGCCCTTTGAACAGAGACGAAGAGTGTTTTCAATATGTTTACAGAACATCTATGAGTTTTTTATTTTCAGCAAAATAAGTTGAATTGCCCAGATTAACAGACAGGGTCTTTGGTTTATTAGAGACAACACCCTGTGGGAAAGTGCTAGTTCAATTTATTAATTAGGCCAGCTCAGATTGACTACGATTGGATAGCCCAGCTGCGGGGCCAATTTCCCGCGGGAACCCGTGCTGTCAGTGTTATCCGACCTGTTACTCAGCCCCGAGTCCTGTGAGTCCTGTGAGTCCTCGTTGTCCTGGGTGGCCCGTCCTTCTGGACAGCCCGAGTTATTGCTGGCCATTAAGGCGGCTCGTCTGCTTTGGTTACCAATCCCGGCAACTGGGCATCCGTGGAGATGGTGCGATAATCAAGTTGCCTTCTACTAATTACCCAAATAAAAGCAAGCCACGCGACTTCAATTCATCCACTGCCCGGTCAATAAAGCCTCATAACCCCCAGGAACTTCGTAACTCGGGGAAACCATGGAATGGAATCCATGGAAGAGGGAGGGGCTGAAGGGACAGCGTGGATTTATGTTGGCAGCGACTTGGTCGAAACGGCAGCACATCAGGCACATCAATTACGGCAACAATATCAACAACAACAGCAATCGTGGATCCAGTGGAGCGGCAGTAACGAGAGCGAAGGAAAACCCAATAAAATGTCAAATCCAATTGGCAAACACACGCCGAGATCGAGGACGACTAGGACGAGCACGAGCTCGAGCACGAGGACGAGGACCATGGCCAGGACTCCGGACTCAGGACGCAGGACTCAGGATGTGGATGTGGAGGTGGATGTGGATGTGGCTGTGAACGTTGATGGTGGATGTGGCTTTGCAGCGCAGTTCGTAAAGTATATCAAACTGTTTGTCAGTGCGCACACATAGCAAAAAAAAGCAAGCAAAATAATTCATATTTAAAATTCCTTTATTTTTAATGGGATTTAAAAAAAAACATAAATATTTTTTTTTTTTGTGTTACCCTATTTCCAAAAATATAGCTGTCCAATCATATATCTTAAAGCTTTTTAAAATTATATATTTACAATAAGATTTTATTTAATTTAAATTTTTTACAAGAACAAATACATTGTAAAATCAAAATTATGTTAAAATTATTTTTAAACAAAATATTTTAAGTAAGTCTATGCTAAATAAAAGTGGATTATTACAGCAGATTTAGCTTTAACTATAACCCATTCATAACATAGAAATGAGCTTACAAATGCACTTGCCTCTTTCTTTTTGAATAGGAAAAACTTGATGAAATAAAATACAATTTTTTGTCCAGTGTAGCTAGATGAAGACACAGGAGGCAGAGCAACGGCGAGAGCGAGAGGGCGACAATAAAAACACTCGATTACAATCAAAAGTGACAGGGGTCCGTGGTTTTTTTACACGGACGGGGGGAGGGGGGGGCGTTCGAATTTGACATGGGTGGCGGATGGAAGTGGATAAGAGGGTTGGGGTGGGTGGTGTTGGTTGGTGTGCCTCGGATTTTGGGCAATGGTGCGTTGATGAATTTCGCTTTCCGCTCGTTCGCTGTTCGGACCAGAGCAGTTCAATCAAGTTCGGCGGAAGTAATATGCCCCAAAACGGGTTTCGGCTCCACTCGCGGCACCACCCACTTGCCACCCACCGCCCCTTGTCTGTGTTTGCCACTAAAATTGATTTGTTACTGTACATATGTCTCACTTCACTTTTACAAGCGGCACGAACACAGAAACATGCACATCGGCCCAACCGCAGACTCACCTCCCCCCCCTCACCCAAATCGAACCGGAACTGAAAGCCCGTAACCCCCCTCCCCCCCACTTTCTTTCTCCGGCAAAAGTTTGGTAATACGAAACAAATCGGTTTCGTTCACCCAAAAGAACCCAGTTCGAAACCAGTGCCAAACGAGTTCAAATCATAATTGGCTGGTTGATCTGTAATTACTTGGAATGCGTTATGTGTGTTTGCTTTGAAATTCGGCAACACAATGGAATTTAGGGCACTCTACATATTAACTTAATCGCAGAAGGCATATTACTTTGCAGAAAATATATCTTTTTGTACCTTTAATTAATTACAAATAAGCATTTTTAAGGGCTTAATTTGAAATGCAACTGGCATAAATTTAATGATTTCAATAATGTATGCCAAGTAATTCGTTATAGTTTGAAAATTGATTTTAAAATAAAACTAATGTTTCTGGATTTAAAATGTAACTGACTTTGAATTTATGATTTGCATAAAGTTGCTTACAACCTTCGCTTCTTTTATTTAACTAAATATAGATAGCATATTTTGGTGTCCATATAATAAACTTGATAGCTTTAAACCTTGAACTGAATCTTTTGGAATTCCCCTGGAGTTTCGGCTGCCCCGCTCACTTAATAGCCGTATTATGCGGGTAAGTATAACCATATCTGCCTACCTAAGTAATTCAATTTGTATCGTCTTTTTATATTATGTTGGAATGAGTTCGTGGGTCAGTGCTGCGAGTTCATTGTAGATTCAGTCGGTGGAACTGGCCGACTTGATTTGATTTGACATTGATTGGGAGGCTGCCACTGCCACTGCCATTGCCGCTCGCATCCTCGGAATTTACACTTTTCCTTTGGTCTTTTGGCAATTTGATTCCGGGCAAACAATTGCCCGGCCACATACAGTCCATAAGTCGAGGTATGAGTGTGATAAAATTTAATAAACTTGAAGTTTATTGCATTTGCTCGACTGCTTCTCAGTTGTGTTCGCCCCTTATCCAATCGAAAACTTTTCCGATCCGATTTTTCCGCCCCGCTTGAACTTGAAATGCCACTTTGACGCTGTGCTCCTCCTTTGAATGGTTGGTCCTGGGACGGGAGATCCTTCGGGGCTGCGCCGCATAGTTTTGTGTCTCCGGACGAATGACGGGAATGATGAGGATGTTCGGCGCGGAAATGCCAAGGCGCACAGGAATTTTCTTATTATTTACTGGATGCGAGCGAACGGCACTTGAAGGCATGTCCAATTCCTCGCCACCCGCCCATCATTTCGATTCTCTTAAGTTCCCATCGAACATACCAAAGTGCTCCTCAAAATTACATTCAGAGAATGGGGTGCCCATTCTGCACATCTGTAAAAACTACTTAAATATTTTATTTTTTTTATATTATTTTTTATTTCTATTTTTATTTATATTTTTTTATAGTAAAAGTTTGTGATATAGCTCATGTTTTCCAAAAAATAAGTCTAATTTAGTTAACGCAATGTAAATTGTTT